GGCCCAGTCTGATCAGCAATTTGTCCACATGCAACGAAAAGCCGTATGCATAACTCCGCGGCTGTTGGGACCCTTGTACTGAGGGCAGAAAGGGAAGCATGCATAAATTTGTAAAGGGCAGATAATTGCGACTCCCAATTGTCGTCATAATGTTCTCTTGTCTTGTATCGCCTAGCAAGCTTCATTGCCGCCGTAATCAAAGCAGGTGTCGTGAACTTGATTCGTTCGTTCCCTTCCACATATGCCTTCCGAGTCATCTGCAATAGTTTGAACTGAGTGTCGTTGTTGTCGCTGTTTATTAAATGAATTATCCGGGCAAGCCAGCCCTGTTCCTCTATCGTCTCATCAGTCTCCAACGCTTTTCTTTGAGCAACACCGGGATACCCCGCAGGCTGTTGAGTCCCCTCTTTAATGATAACTTTCAAGATTTCCAGAACACCCTCTAGAGCCGATAGTGTGGATATTCTAGTTTGATTCCGCTGTAAACTCCGAGCTACCTCGCCCGCAACGGCTCTTCGCGTAGGGTATGTTTGGGAATGAAGTAAGGGTACATAAGTCGGAAGAGAAAGAGCTGTAAATAAAGAAACATATGATTTCATGGGTGCCAACAGGAGGTTCAGAAGGTTGTTCTGCGCTTCTGGCGAATGGAGATCTGCGCTATTGGCATGTTGTTTGACTTTCTGATTGGCGTAGTCCAGTATCTGGTCAACATAGTCGAGGCGATCGGGATAAATGTTGAGAGCCAGGTTCGCAAGAGAGACTAATAATGCTGTAGTGTCTTGAATTGGTAGGTGTTGCGCATTTACCAAGTTCATAACTTGCTCGAAAAAGATCTCATAGAGCTTGATACTGTCCGGAATGCCTACGTTCTTGTTATCATCAGATCCGTCGGTCCCGTTGACTGTCTCAACCGCGGTCTCGCTGCTGGCTTCCGTTGGAGTAGCATCGGTTTTGTCTGCCTCTGTCTCGGCCTTGGTTTCTTTAGCTGCTTCCTCGCTGGCTCCACTTGTTTCTCCATTTGCCTCCGCGGCTAGTTGATCACCATTGGTTTCTGTCTGGGCTGGCGGCTCGTCGCTTTTTTTCTTGTCTAACTCGATCTTCTCTAAGAGTTTCGCAATTGCATCTTCTTCCCGCTTTTGCTTGTCTTCTGCGGGTTGAGCTTCCGATTCTCGCGCCGCATATTGAGACAGTCTGTCCATCAGGGCAATTACGATTACTTTGACATTTACATGCGGATTTAAACGTGATACCGCAGCCAAGAATTGATCGAGAGTGTGTAAATGGAACTCGTCAGGGAAGACCTGGGTAATAACCTCTAGCAAGTATTCTTGAGCCAGAACGTCTCGACACTGCACGACTTGTTCCAACAGAGGTTGTAGAATGACGTTTTTGTATGTTTCGAGATCCACGAGATGACTTAACCTAACCAGATTATTGCCGACAAGTAATTGGAGTTCTTTCCGCTCCTGTGTTCGCAATTCTCTCTCCCTTGAGTGTCCCTGGTGTTGCAGTCGCACCCAAAGCTTGTTCATTTCCACAAAGTTTGTCAATGTGAAACTGATCGAATCTTGAAGATTGCCCTCAGGTCCATCGCTATTTCCCGTAGGACAATTTTCTCTCGCCTGGCCAGAGAGGTAATATCGTAGAAACAGCCCACGTACAGGATGCTGAACACCCCGACTCATCTCCATCATATCCTTCATGATCTCCTTCACTGGCGCATCTGGAATGGACATGTAAACAGTCCCCACCGTTATCATCAGGTATAGTCGAGGTATAATGTTCCCAGCATATTGTACAAGTTCGTAAAGATCTGCGAGATGGTTTACGGGATGTGAATCTTTTAGATATGCGGAGAGGTGTCGCAGAGCGTCGAAGACGCCCATATAGAGCTCATAATACTGCTTTGGCCCTAAACTACTCGTTCGGAGTTCGGAAACCAGGGTAGAGCTGCAAATTGAAAATCAGCAGGTATCGCAAGGAAAGGGCCGGGCTGCGATCGCAAATGGGGTAAAATTTGTATGAGTTGGAAGCTAATTCCTACCTGCACTTCAATGCGTCCATGAGCTTTCCTGGTGTTTCCAGACACTTGCGCATGGTATGCGTTTGATGCCTGACTACGGCGAGAGCATCTTCCAGCAGTCTGGCTTGATCTTCGACTACTGGAGGACTGGCCATGGCGATTACTTGAGCAAAATATGTGCACGATGGCTTGTTGAGCTCAATCAGCGCTCCTCGATGTTCCTTCAATAGCGTATGTTGTTGATAGAGGGACGGCTTGCGCTCACTACGGTTGCCGCCTTCGACGCGCAAGACCGACAGGGGAGAGCCGAAGCTTCAAGAGCTCCCGTCGGGAAGAAAACCAGGTTACAGTGTGCTCACATGACGAAGTAAAAACAAATTTGAATGTTTTGTATTATTTTGTATTCTTATGAATATTATATTCTATCTATCGTATCTTCAAATATTATGTAAGTGTCTATGCAATGAAACCATTCCGTACTCCGTTTCAATGCTACGCTACCAGCTCTTGGTGTGCGTGCCCATCCATGCTATGCTTAAAGAAGAACTGTTGTACAAGAGAAATGATTACAGGAAAATGAGGACGTGAGTCTTATATCTATCGGATCCTCGGTATCGTTGAAATGAACAGTAGACCCTGCGTGGCTACAGGAAGCTCAAGTCTGAAAGATGCGCGGATCCGAGGACTTCTGTCAGTGACTTGATGTTGGTTTCAAGAACTGCTAGAGAATTTGCCACCAGGATGAACAGGTAGACTTGATGGACGACGTTCTATGAAGCTACAGCAGTTGGTGCTGTGAAATTTAACCATGGATAGGTGGTATGCCATTGTCCGTCGTCAAATGCTGGTCTTGTTGGTGTAGGAGTAGAAGTGGAGCTCGTCGATAGTGACGTTGGAGTTGGTGTCGTAGAAATGAGGGTGCTTGTTTGCAATAAGGCGGGAACCGACGAGTAGCTCAAACTCGAAGTACTCAGGGACGCAGTAATTGTGGTAGACGTGGAATCAGAGCTAGAGGCCGCTGTTGACGTTGTTGGCGATGTATTTGATAGTGTGGATGAGAGTGAAACAGAGGTCGAGACTGGTGTGACCTCCGAAAGAGAGCTCGAAGATGCTGTCGCGGTAGATGCTACGGAGCTGGTGATAGCTGTGGAAGTGGCTGCGGCGGAGGTGCTGGCTGATGGGTTTGCAAGCACCGGGGAAGCAGTGCTAGAGGTTTGAGCGTTGCCATTGGAATTGGAAGTGGTTGACTGCGAAGCTGGTGCCGATGCGGAACCAGAGGATACGACGATTATTGGTATTTCAAGAGTAACAGTTGGTGAGTTGCCGATATTCACTATCGAATAGCCAGCGGTTGTGGTGACCGTGGTAGGCAAAGGGATACTCAGGATGCTGGTTTCTGTTCGATCAGATTGGACTGTGGTGGTCGTAGTCGACGGGATACTCAGGATACTGGTTTCTGTTCGATCAGATTGAACTGTGGTAGTGGTAGTCGAAGTGGATATGACAATATTTGTCGTAGGAGACGGTGGTAGAGTTGTTCTGTCGGTCTGCACTACTGTCGTTGTCTTTGGGCTTGGAGTTTGGATAATGGTAGAGACAACGGTTGTACGAGTGGGAGATTCATCTGCACTGCTAGTAGTTTCCGGACCACCATCAACAGGAACAACTGAGTAAGTTGCTCTTGCGAGGAGAGGTCTCAAATCGAACAAGTCCTTTGCAGGAAATGGCAGAGCAGAAGCTGTGAAGAGTAGACATGAGAGCGAGAAGGGAGCGAAAGCAAAGCTGGTGAGCTTCATCTTGAGATATTGGGAGAAGATGTGAGGTGAGGAGGAGTTGAGAGTAGAATGAAACCCACGATCTGAGATTGACCAAAGTATGGAGAGGAGCTTACCACGAAATGAGGGTTCCTAGTATTATATGCTATATGCGCCTACCCGATAGAAAATGCGCGAGGGGTTGGGAAGTGCAAATGTTTTCGAGTGGCTGGAATTGTGGTGTTGAAATCGAGTGGCTGGGAACACCAACATTTCGAATTCTACCTAGGCAAACGACCCGAGGATTGGAGGAATTTAGCTGTTAAGCCGCAACATGTGCAACATCATGAGTGCAGTAGATTGCAAAAGAAACATATTGCGACATGTGAAAACAAAGCTCTCTGCCGCCGTTGCATGAGCGTTGAACCAAGGTACTGGGTGGAATAAGAACGCCGGAGATAAGGTTTCCATGGAGCTCGCTTCTGTCCCCGCTCTGTCTTTGACCGGATCCGACAGGCACCATGTCCCATATCACGTGCACCCCATATCTATCGGCTACCTAGTTATCCCCATCGACCTCCCAACGTCAGGTGTTGTAATATTCTACAGAAGTTTTCAAAACATGGCTTACAATTACTCCCTTGTTAAGAAGAGCCATAGTGGCCAATATCGTTATCATAGCGGTCTAATTGGGTAACAGAACCACATTCAAGCTCCCAAACCGTCTCTCCTTCATGTCCACGGCTCCCACTGCTCACAGTACACTATTTTCTCACCACTCAGAACACTTGATCACAAAGCAATAGAGAAATTATGCCTGAAACTGAAGGGAAGCACACTGCAAAGTGTTCCGCAATGTACGTAAAACGTACGTACTATTGCCATTGAAATTCCAGCCTTCCCGGCTTCAAACTGGATGACCGTCCGCCATTCAAACACCAAAAAATATGTCGATTTCATCGTTCATCTCTTTACTCAGACCCAAGCTCTCCCTAGGGGCTGAGATTTTCTGCGATCCCGAAGACATCGGTTTCCAAAAATGTCTTGAGAGATGGTCTAATGTAGACGTCAAGGTACCAACAGCGATATTTTGTCCGTCCACCTATCTTGACGTCGGAATTATCGTAAGTGAGAAATAAAACATAGCTGTCACAATATGTGGAAGATTTGTACATCAGTGAAGAACATCACTAACACTGTAGCAGATTGAAGTCGCAAGCGAACATGAAATTCCTTTTGTAGCCGTGAGCGGAGGCCACAGCCCTTGGTCAACTATTAGTAGCCCAGGGTTCATTCTGGACCTAAGAATGTTGAACAAGATCACGGTGGATAATGAGAACGAGATTGTGAAAGTCGCTGGCGCAGTTCTGACGAACGAATTGGCTGCCACGCTTTCAGAAGCCGGTCGTTGCACCAGTTCGTTCATTCCTAAAGGTCTGACATTTTACTGGGTCTAACGTCTCATAGCCGTTGCGAATGGGAATACTGTCGGTGTAATTCCGTATTGCCTGGGTGGCGGGATTAGCATTTTGACAGCAGTGGCTGGATATGCCTGTGACCAGATCACGGAAGCAACAGTAGCTCTGGCAGATGGCCGCATCGTCCGAGCCAACGAGAATCTTGAACCAGATCTTTTCTGGGCAATAAAAGGATCTGGTTGCCATTTTGGCATCGTACTAGAGTTATCACTCAAAACCTTTCCACTGTCGATCCTGGGATCTGATGATGGATCTCACTGGGCTGGCACTTTCATCTACACCTTGGACCGTGCTGAAGAAGTGTGCAAGGTTTTGGAGCCGATAATGGCAAATGAAGAATACAATACGGCCGGTTCAATCGTCCTAGCTGCTCCACCCCCAGCATTTCAACCCATGCTAGTTGTAGCACCTCGTTTTATGGGGGATCCTGAGAGAGCTCTAAGCCTCTTCCAGCCATTGTCAGATCTAGGACCTTCAATGATGTCGTCTTCCAACCCGCTGTTCTTCGAATATCAACATGCAATAGATTATGCTTGTGCTAAAGGAGACTTTAAGCACTTCAACCTGGTTGGCATTTCGGACTTCAAGACTGCAAACTTCCTCCAGGTTGTGGAAGTGTACAAGGAATTATTGAGCACTTGCGCGGATGCTGGACCGTCGAGTTATTTGATCCAATGGCACACATCAGTATCAAAGCCAGTAGTATCGGAATCGGCATATAGCCACCAAGATATCTTTATTTGGTTGTAAGTGGATTCACGAGTTCCTCTAGTGAGTTTGCCTTTCTAACAACAATACTTGTGCAGAAATACCTTTTCTTGGTACCATCAAGCAGAAAACCGAGACCTCGTTATGGACTTTCAGAATCGAGCTATCGCGGCTATAAGAAAAGATCAGGAAGAAGCCAATTACGTTGACTATGCAAGCACCAACCGGGGTGCGCCTGTGGAACGACGTTATGGTGGCGCTGATAGGATCTTAAAATTGCGACAGCTGAAGCAGAAATGGGATCCGAAAGGAGTTTTTACTAGGGAGTTCTTGTGAGGACGTTGCTTAGCAATATTTCCACATAATCGACATTTTACTACTCGAGGTGTGTGGGTAAATAAGAAGCCCATGGTGAAGTGCATAACTCAAATCCATAGCTTAGTTCTCTGCTTGCAGAATCAGTCTCGTTATACTGTTGTCATACAATGTGTAAGCAATTTTAACGCTTAACATGTCTTGTTATCAAAATATCATTGAATTTGTGTTTTGAAGGAGGTTGTCTTTTATTACTCTGAAAGCAAACTCGATCATCAACCTATACAATTGCATACGTCCGCTTAACATCTCCATTGACGTATAGGTGGATACGAAAGTACTAAGAACACTTTTCAGAAGTGACTGACTGAAGATACCAATTGCATGTATTTCAACGTTCCGAAGAAGGTCAATTAGCTCAAGTCGGGCAATGCCATTTCCGCCAAAACCCATCTTCCTTCGGCAACACGACTCCGACCAGCAAGCCGAAAGTATTTTGGCGTCCCACTCATCCCACCTCCCGGAGCACTACCTAGGATATCCCAGTCTTAGCCATGCATTCGTGACCTCGTCATATCGCATCTGTCGGGCGCTGACACGGTTATCTATCACAACTATCTTAGCGGTGAGATTGTGGTTATTTCCCCCTTGCTTTTCGTCCAATCTGGTTGATATCACGACATCTTTAGCCCTAGCGCGGGTACCAGAGAGGCTATGATGGTGATGTGAGATGGTGGGGGGACCTTGATGGCTACTCATTTTTTTGTTGCGATTTCTGGATTGATCTCAAACATCAATCGGTTCCGAACACATCTTGTGCACGATATGGTAGTGTCGAATTGAGGGTTTACCCTGAGATTTATTGGCCCCTTTGAAAGCTCCTCCATTTCCGACCGCAGCTACAAAATCGACAATGGCAGAACAACAAGCTTCTTTCCTCGGCCTACCAAGCGAGATACGTCTACAAATATATAATCTCCTCCTCGACGACAAGAATCAAACGACCTTAGAAATCAAAAACCAAAACCCAGAAATATTCAAACGTCGAGTAACGCCATGTCGAAGCAGCTATAGGGTATTAGGAAGGGACCTGACCCGACAGAGTTCACCTACAACCTACCACCTAGTCTCAGACGTGGAGATGCACACTTCTATCATGAGAGTCAATCGCATCATTCATGAAGAAACATCCTATCTACTTTACGGACGGCACACTTTTAGTTTCGGACGAGATATTGAGGCTATCGTTCCGTTCTTCTCGGATATCACGAAAGAGAATAGACCATTGATCCAGGAGATCTCACTGCTGAAACAGGGCTCTGTCTACAGTCGCGACTACGATAGATGTGAATGGAGTAATGTATGCGAGTTTCTACAAAATGACATGCAAATCCGGAGTTTGGTTTTGACTGTTGAAGGAGGAAGACCGAGTCTGGGATGGGACGGGTTACCAGAGTATTCGGTATCGGATTTTAGGACTTTGTCGAGCGTGAAATATGAGGCGTTGGAATGGGTTTGGGAGTTGTTATCAATTAGAGGGATTCGGAAGTTGGATGTGAGGTCGGAGATTCATCATTGTCCTCCTTCGCATTCTTCTGCGATGGCATTCTTTGCTGCGTTTTCGGCGTCGATTGAGAGTGGCTTTACGGAGTTTTTGAGAGAGGAGTTACTGGTTGAGGCGTAAGAGATGTTGTTTGTGATTTTGAGTTTGAATACCGATGTTTGGTTTTGGATTTCCGCATCCCTCAGCAGATCTGGGAATAGTTGCAATGATATCAAGATTAACGTACTACAAGCGACCAAACTAGAGAAATCTTCAGCAAACGGAAAGTCCCCATACTGTGTGAGAAAACCCCGATAAATTTTCATCTCAGACATCATCATGACATTATCCCACCTAACCTCCGTTTAGTTTTCATTCCAAACCCTTAACATTACAAGATCAAGAATACTTCCGACACAAGTAGCGGTCAACACTAAAACAAACTATTCTTAGAATCCCTCAACAAATCCCAAAATCCACAAGAAACAAATACCGAGGAAAAATACTAGTAGTCGGCACGCAGTCGTCACCGCTATACTTTTTTTCTAAAGACGTCAAAGCGAACACGAATCATGAAATCGGAGAATACGAAACCCATTTTCGGACATTGGGCCGGAAGTGAGCCCACTTTCGAAGCATTCGAATCCTTCTAAATCTGCGGGTTGGTCCATGCTTTTGCTTATCGGACGGTTGGTCGGTTTCAACCGTTGGATGATTTCTTTTGCAAACCCAGTAACGCACGTTAGCAGAGGGAAAAGGGCTTTCAGCCTTGATGATGCATAATCTGATGATGAGTAAGTATGTTGCCAACATTCATATACCCATCTCTCCCCCTACCCAACCTTTCCTTCCCATAGTATCGTTTTCTCACTCCAAGATACAACATGGCGATATCAACGCTCCCCTCCACAACTACAACGCTCACTCCCACCAAACCTCTCTCAAGCACAACCCAACAACCCCCATACAAACGCCCAACTTTCCCCTTCCTCGCTCTGCCCATCGAACTCCGTCTTAAAATCTACCATGAGCTCCTGCCCCCACGAACCCACACGATCGTCAGCGACACGCGCCCCTCCGGCCTCTTCTTCAACTCCTCCCCACCATCCTCCACCTACCCGTTTGGCACTCCGCCAGCCCATCCCCCAAAATACAGAATCCTAACCACAAACCACCACACCTCCTTCCCCTCCGCCAGCATCTACCCCCAAATCCTCCGTTGCTCGCGCCAAACCCACGCAGAAGCCGAATCGCTCCTCTACGGGCACAAAGACGCGATCTTCGATTTCGGCACGCATAGCGATGCGCTGATCTCGTTTTTCTCGGCACGTTCGAGCGTCGCGAGGAGCGTGGTGCGGCATGTGCGGTTGGGGAAGGAGATTCATTGTGTGCTGAGTAATGAGGAGGGGAATACTGTGTTTGCGGGTGTGGATGGACGGTGGGTAAGGTTGTGCGAGTTTGTGAGACGGGAGATGACGGGGTTGTGGGGGTTGGAGTTGAGGGTTTGGGGGAGTCATGGGGGGAGGTTGAGGATTCCTACGTCTGAGAGGTTGGCTGAGAGTGAGGTTGCTCCGCTTGATGTGGTGGCTCTTGAACGGGAGCCGAATTGGCATATTCATCCTTGGACTTCGCCATTGCTCACGCTGCCTTCGCTTCGTACGGCGACGATTACGGTGTGGGATTTCCAGATTGGAGGGAAAGAAGGGGAGAAGCGTGGTTTTGACAGTTGGCTTGCGGAGAGGATGGTGGTGGATGAGGTTACGAGGGATAGGATGGTTAGGGAGGGGTTGGTTGTTGAGGGGGTGGTTAAAGTTAGAGGCGAAGGATACTAGATTATGACGAAGATGTGGTGGAGGAGAGGAGATGGCGATGGAGGAGATGTTAATAAGTGATTTTCTGAGTAACAAAGTTAGCGAGGTGTTTGGATGGGATAAATAGAGGAGTTGGGATAGAACTTACTTTTAGATACTTTATTATACCACTTAGAACGACAAATTATACACGAATCAACCATTTAAATAAGCGTATCCTCTGGATCTCAAAACCTTGTTAATTAAAAACCTACGCACGTGAAGAACCATGTTCGTTTCGTTGTCATTTAGTCTTCAACAGAACCTTGTGTTAAAACTCCTGTAGAGACCAAAGGCTTGGAGAAACAAAGCTTTGCAAGTCTCTCTCAACCTAAGCAGGCCAGTCGTACCATAAATGTCAGCCTCCGACGTTTGTAGAAGTAATTGAGATGATAGTGACATCACTTGTAGCTATTCACTTAAACCCACAATCTGGAAGAAAATCTATGATATGCTGGTATTTATTGAGAGATTACAATAAACCCTTCTCTCGCATATCACATTATCTAGTCTTTCCATTGTTTTGCATTTGAAAGAAGAGATCAATTGCTTCACTATGTCAGCTAGCCTTTTTTCCATCCAATAAAGAAGGCTGACTATAGTTAAAGTGGGAGGCAAGAGCAGAATGCTTCTGATAAAGTGGGAAAATCAATTTGATGGTCTCCTGTATAATAGACTTTGTTTGGTTGATAATAGAGAGATGTATGGGTTGGGTGTTTGAGGATATTTGGTGAAAAGAGGAAGATAACTGTTGAGGCGAACTTGATATGTGTATTCACTTATAACTCAATTTCATCTTGTGTTATTTAATATAGGGTGGAAAGTAAAACAAAGACATCCAAAGATTACATGGAAAAGGGAAGCATATCTGAAAGCCAAGAAAGCTTTATTTCTTGTCACTTTTGGTATTCAGCAGTGAATGAGAATATAGAGTGAATGTTTCCAAAGCTCGACTAAACTGTGAAAGGCAAACGGTGACATCAACGGTTCTCAGCTCGATATAAAGTACCTCGATCTTTCAAAAATCCGTATTGAAACTGCTTTACCAGACATGCTAATGTTTGAAAGATTTGAGTAGCAGATGATCTTTGTTTACGACCCTTCTGTGTTAATAGTCCTTTCATGTAAGTCAAAAGCTTCTGACCATGACAGGCACTTATGGCTGACCAGATCCTAAAGAGGTGATCAAATCAAAGATAGAGTCTTGCAAAACTCCATCTTGAAACCACACGAGAATTTCAAAAAGTAAAACCGCCAGTTCTCATCACCCTCAACTCCATCACACTCCAACTCCTCCTTCTCACAACACCCATCTAGGCAAGCAAACACCCCCGAAAATGTCCAACCCCTCAACCCACCCACAAATCGATCTACCACTCCAAGCCCTCCTCGTCATCCAATACAAAATCCACTCACACATGAGATTCATCGCCTCAAAAATGGAGTCCTACACCCATTCCACGGAAGGAAAAGCGAGTATCCTGCGAGATTTCGAGAAGGGGAGGAAGCAATTAGTGGATCTGACGGTGTTGACAGAGAATATGTATCCGACTCGGGAGACGGTTGTGGTTAGGAAGCAGCTGGAGAGTCTGAGGAGGACGTTGGAGGAAGCGATTTGGAAGGTGGGTTTGAGTGTTGGGTGAGTGAGTGAGAGTTTGGGAGATCGGAGGGTTTGGATGAGTTGGTGTTGTAACTTGTCTAGTGACGGAGGTTGAAAGCTTTTTGTTTAATATGGTACATGCTTCTCAACGCCGTGAGAATAAAAATACAAGATGATCATACATTACACCGCTTTCTCTCTTGGTCCGGAGAGTTTCTCAAACTTGTCAACAGTCATGACGAATGTGCCTCTGCCACCCGTTATACTTCTCAAATGCTTTAGGTAGCCGACCATCTCTTTCAATGGCACCCTTGCCGTGACCTGTCTCTGCTGACCTGGACCGTCTGTACCTAGGCTTCCTCCAGATGCGAATGGATCAGCAGGCGCATAGATTCGACTCGGGTCTATGGCTGGAAGATCACTACTATCGTCGTTACCTTCGCTCTCAAGAGACATAACGTGCCCGCCACGAGCAGACGATATGTCATGAACTATCGCGCCTAAAGTTCCTTCGTTGCAGGATATTACTGCATTCATTACTGGTTCCATAAGACCAATATTGTCATTCTGGAATACATCTTGCATGGCGGCTTTGACAGCGAGACGAGCCGCGGAGGATATTGCAGCTGGTGATGTCTCTGAAGGAAAGATGTCGGTGGTGGGATCAACGGTCAGCGTAACATGACTTGCGTGTAGGGGAAAGCTTCGACGTGGTCCACGAGCCAGAGCGGCAACAGCGCCGTTGATGAGTGCCTCGCGAATTTTAGGAAGTGGTAGATCTAGTGGTAAGGCGGAAGAACCGAGTGGACCGTCTGAGGCGTTCGAGCCTATGACACGAAGAGTTATGTGATTACCTTCGCGCACGACTGTGTAGTCTTGTTTTGGGGGTGTTGCGAATTCATCGAAAGGCTCGATGGTCGCTACGCATGCTGCTTTGCCCTTCTTACCGGCAACTTCACGATCAAAAAGTGCTCGGTGAGTGTCTGATGCGGCAAGTACACACTCGCGATAGCTGATTTCAATATCTCCCATCGTCGCCTTAGCCTTGAAGTCGTTGACCAGTCGATCTCGAGCGATTTCCAGATGCAATTCTCCCATGCCACTTAATAATATTTGACCTGACTCTTCGTCGATGTCAACGTGCAAGCTGGGATCTTCCCTTAGGAGCATGCGTAGGATTTCGCGAACATTTCTCTCTTCACTTAGACTGTTAGGTTCAATAGCTGCGAAGAATACCGGAGGTGGAACATCTATAGGACGCAATTGTAAAGTGTTCAAAGGAGCAGGAGGCCCGCTCTTAGGATTGTTACCAGGCCAAGCAACCAAGGTATCTCCAGTTCGAGCATGCTTTAACCCAGCAATAACCCCGATCTGGCCGGCACAAATCTGTTGTAATTCAACTGCATCAGACGCCTGCATCTGTAAGAGTCTTTGGGCGCGCTCCATGACATGTAAATTTGTGTTCCATGTTGCGGCATTCTTTTTGATAGAGCCGGAGTATACTCGAACGTAAACAAGAACTCCACGCCTGGGGTCATGGACAACCTTGAAAGCCAGAGCACAGGACTCTATCTGCGCTACCAGCGCTTTTGTCGATTGAGTCCTTTTTGCTAGAGCTTTCTGATCTGAACTGTCTGTCAAGATCTTGCCGTTGAGAAGGTCAGAGAGACTATGTTCCTCGCTTCCCAGTGTTATGTCAGGATCTGGTCGTTCTATTGGAGCTGGAAGGTAATCGTTGACGGCATCTAGCAGAGGCTGAACACCAATGTTCCTGAAGCTAGCGCCTGCAAACACGGGGATGAGCTTCCCAGAGCCATCGGCGATACATCGTCTCAGACTATCGCGGATTGCCTGGGGAGGAACTTGCATCGGATCATCGTTGCAATCCATCCAGATTGATAAAAGCTCTTCGTCAAATTCACACAATGCCTCAACCAATGCGATACGAGCTTGTATTAGTTCTTCACGCAAACCAGGATCTTTTTCCACAAGTCCATCCAGAGTAAAAGTCTGAATTGCCTTGCCATCACCTCCCTCTGCCCACTCAAGGCCGCAAAGATTGACGGCGTCTCCAATTCCAGTAAATCTACCCTTGCCTCCAGCCCACCAAGGAATTTGGCAAACTGCTGGGAAGCCTCGAAGCCTAGTACCGATCTCTTTCACAGATCTTTGGAAGGTGGCACCATCTCTGTCTAATTTGTTGACAAAAATGATCCTTGGAATACTATATCTATTGGCTTGAGTCCACACCTTTTCGGTTTGGGCTTCTACACCTGCCACCCCATCTAATATGCAGACTGCACCGTCAAGAATTCTCAAAGACCGAAGAACTTCAAAAGTAAAATCCGAGTGACCAGGTGTATCGATCAGGTTGATAGTATGAATTACTTGTGCCCTTGGCAACTCCCGTTTAGTGGGCGTTGTTGTTCCTAATGGTGGCCAGTGGAAAGTCACGGCTGCAGATTGGATAGTTATTCCACGAGCGCGCTCTGCTGGAAGGAAATCCGTAACTGTAGAGCCATCGTCGACATCTGTAGAGCTACAGTAAGCTTGCTTCAATTGTATTTTAACGTGATCGACTGATGCATACCTCCTATTCGTCTAGTATTCCCACTGTAATAGAGCATACGCTCGGTCGTCGTTGTTTTCCCCTATATTCTAGATCAGAAATCAGAGCAAAAAGATTCTTCGGAGCGAAAAGTCTTACAGCATCGATATGAGCGATAATGCCTATGTTACGAGTCTTTTGGATTTGAGGTTCTTGTTGATCACCAACAGCACTGGAAGCACGCCGAAGCAAAGCGCCCGCCAGGCTTGGTCGGTTTACATCACGGAAAACAGTAGACCTCGAAATCGGATGCCATGATGGACAGCAGTTTCTTACAATCAATGAATTCATCACATGATATATTCGGTCAGGTACGTGGTGTTGTCTCTCAAATATTTTGTGCTCGCTAGTGATGCGCCTAAATCTGGTCAAGCGCGCTTGTGAAGTGGGTCGGACCGATATCCAGGTGCTGACCTGCGGAAGCTCTTCCAGGCTGGATGTGTTGACAATCATACACAACAGTAAACGGAGTAATAATCGACGATTCGACAAGCTTCAATTCCTCACAGAATGGCAATCTAAATTTGCCGATGCCACTTGCCAACGACCAACAGCAAGAGAACCTCTTTCATCCTGGCCGCAACGTCATTTGAACGACTGAGAACCGCAACCTCACTAAATTAGCTACAGCCCCGCGGGTCCCCGAAACTCTTTCCCCAGAGCTACGATGGATTATTCGACCTCGATTAATGACGCTGATAACCCAGCGGGTGCCTCTCCATGGGGTTCCTCGCCGGTGGCATCTCCCAGACATGCAAGGAATACCGCTTATGGAAACTCAGAGGAGACACCACAATCACCCATACCGTACGGCACGAATCAGCAATCCAACGGAGCATTTTCAGGAGACGAAACAATGGCTGGCGGTGTTTACAACAGACCAGAGAGTAGCACCGAGACATATTCGGCAACGGACGGCGAGAGTCAAAGGCCTGATACAGCAGACTCTACCCCTCAAACCCAAGCGGAACAGAGATTACCTACTCAACAAGCACCAGTACAGCAGCAACAACAGCACCGATCCGAACCTCAGCGATACCACTCGAGTGCGCGGCAGGCGCATCAACAACAACCTCAAGGACCCCAATACAAATTACAAGCCAAGATTACTGGCCTTGAACGGACTGGGAGGAAAGACCCAATCCTGCGATTCGATGTACATGTATGAGCTTGTCAAATTCACGTAGAGCCGGAACCCTGCTAATCATACTGGCAGACCAATCTTCCAAAATTCCGAACAACCCAGTTCCGCGATGTCCGAAGAACACATTCTGAATTCATCAAACTTGCCGACCACTTAATATCATCGAACCCTGAAGCGATTGTCCCGGCAGTACCACCAGCGCTAACATCGGCTGGAGCTGGAACGGATGAGGATGAGGCACGCGTGAAAGCATCTCTGCAAAGATGGCTGAACTACGTTTGTTCAAACGAAGTGTTGATGAAGGATGATGAAATGGTTCTTTTCGTGGAGAGCGACTTTGGCTATAGCCCAATGTTAAAAAGAAAGCAACCGGCGACCGGCGTCAGAAGACGAGTAATCAAACAATTTGCGCCTCCTCCTGATGATACACCAGAATTGCAAGATGCAAGACCTGTGGTGAAACTTTTCTATCTTGGTACGATGGACGCAGGTCACAAGGTAGACAAGCTAGTAAAAGCGCGAAGAGGTTTGTAATGACATGATACTGGCGGAAAATTGCTAACTGGACGTAGGCTTGGGACTTGCCGAGTCCGACTTCGGCGTGAAACTTGGAGCGATGAATGTTCAAGAACCACATTCTGGTCTCGCGAACGCTTATCGAAAGCTGGGCAAAACGATACAAACCACTGGAGACTACCACGCTGCACAGGGTACAGCTGAGGCGACTACTATTGGGGACCCTCTGCAGTATCACTCCCAGGATGCTTTCATTGTCAAAGAAACCTTAACCAACCGCCACATTCTCCTCCGCGAACTCCTGCAAGCCCAACAGCTAACCAGGAGCAAGCTGAGCGCTGCAGACAGGCTTAAGGCAAGCTCATCTGTACGACGAGATAAGGTGGATGAAGCTATTTCTGCATTGGACGAGGCACGGAGCAACGAGCTTTACCTACTAGGGAAGACGCAGCGTGTGACTTCTAATCTACTTCAGGAGCAGCGCCGTTGGTTTGCAAGAACAGCCGCAGATTTGCGACTGAGTATCAGAGAATACGCTGTAAGGGAGATCGAGGCAGAACGACGCACACTAGCAACGTTAGAGACGATCAGGCCCGACATCCGGGCCATCGATTCTTCCGGTGGCTTGAGTCGACTTGGACGCGAGGCGCATCCTGCGGCGCGACGTGCCAGTTTAGCGGCGAGTCAAGGGCCAAAGGGGGATGCATGGAGCGGTGTACCCCGGCGCCCTGATGGCCTCAACAGAAGCATATCAGGCAGTTTCATGGCCAACGTCGCTGAGGATGCCAACGGAGAAGATGAGCAGGTACCGGGACGTGCCCGTGCTCTCAGCGGTGGGAGTATAGGAGGTCTTAAGGGGGTCAAGGAGGAAGATGATGAGGATAGAGTTGATGCACGGAACGCTGCATCTCGGCTCGCAACGAGGTAGGTGACAACCCGCTCAACCATTGCATCCGATTCCACTAAATTATTCCAGCACGTTCTGATACTGGCCCAAACCCGACAATGCGGGATAGCTGGTTTAATCGCGAGGGGTTGATACGACGGTAAGAGCCCTGCCACCACTGTAGGCTGTACTCCCCCGGTATTCACGTCTCGCTTGTCGGATTGACGACATGCGATAGAAGGGATATGTAGGAATTCCTGTGCATTCAACAAGAAACCAACTCAATGATATCAATTCGAAGAACTGCCCGTACAACGGATGGGTAGGATGGCTAGGATGGCTACACCGCCACGTCACTAGGACCAGATATCTGATATGTCGTTATCCTGAGCAATTATAATCTTCGAAAATCCTGACAATCATGTTCCAGTCGGGTATCGACAATGTGCTCTCCCTAGCCCTAAACGCCCCTGCAAAGCCGTTCGACAATGCTTACTCGCTCGCCTCAGGACAGCCTCTGAACCATGCACGAGGGGTCACTTCACTCCACATCATTAGAGCCGCGGGCATTTAGGCTCCGAAAAAATATTGAATTATCTGGTCGAATCAATTCATTGAGATGTCTTTTTCCGTTTCGTTTTCGCCCTCTCTCGTCTCTTGATTCTGTGCCCGAGGTCTTTGCAAGTGGGTACCGTACCTTTGTATTCGCTGGGCATTGCTCGGAGCTGCTGCGGGGCGTCGAAGAACATCTCATGTTCTTGCCTCTGCCACGACATCAAAGCGGGTTCCTGAGCTCTGCAAGTCGGCGCACAAACTTTGTCTGTCACCGCTTACATGGACAATGACGAATTTGTGGGATTGTCTCACAGCAGCCATGCAGTAGTAGCAAGCGCTATCATTGATATTGTTTTTCTGAACACCGCTTTATCAACGTTCACATTCGTGGCACGAATTCTCCGTCTTCCCGCATCCGCAGTTGTGCTGTCTATCAGAAGCAAATAGCCCAAGCAGCATTACTTGTCCAAGCACACTATCCAAGTTTCCGTTTTTTTGGCACTCCATTGATAACTCGAGACGGGATCCTCTGCCTCCGGGGTGAACAGTTCACTCCTCGGTAGTGGTAGGCACAGGGAGCGGTAAAATTGACTACCTCCAGAGTGTCATCGAGCCATGCTTGACTAAACTCTGGGGTACCTATATGGTTTAGAGTTATGTACCGAAACCCCAGGAGCAGGAGCCGTTGCATCCGCTTAAGCCAAAACTGCATAGCTTTCCATTGATAAGAGCCATGTCAACCTCTTATATCAGCACACTCTGTCCAGTAATGTTTGCTAGTGGGCTATTAGACGAAAGCCGCCTAGGGTCCCTCGTGTCTCTTCTGCTTCACTGTCAGGGGTAGCTCCATAGCTGCCATTAGTATCGGCGGTGCTCAAGGACGGCGAGTCCACTTCAGACGACAAGTCCTAGCTTGTTTCTAGTTCTCCCAATATGTGCGTTGTGCAGTCACTGCAATACCCTGGACTCTACATGTACTCGCGAATAGGAAACTCTTGATTTCCCAGTGTTGTGCCTGCAAGATAACCCGAGATTATGAATCGCCTTCGAGTAAAGATTAGAAAGATAGCTGGGAGCTCTCTGAGTGGTAATATCCGGGTGCTTCGAGGGTAGCGCTACTTGTACTATCATGGCAAGGAGCTACATTGCTACTAGGAAGCAGACATACCGCTCTCCCTCCTGCCCTTTCTTTATAAACCCCCACGTACTTTCCCTCTTCGTGGAGGCCTTCTCTCCAAATCGTTCGTCAGTCCCCCACAAATACGCATTTTACGTGTTGGTTCAAGTCTATTTGCTTGACTAACAGAATCTAAGTCTTCCCCTGATTATAGTCATCTTTGCTGTGCAGTATGGCTCCCTCTGCCGACTCGGGATGCTTTCCGATCCTCTTATCAAGTCAGCAGCAGCAGACGGGTCACAATCACAGCTTCCCTGTGTCCAAATCTGTGGTCAACGCCTCGGTACTGCATGGAAAACTCGACCTGCGCTTAGTAAGAAAAATCCCCTTTCATAAGCTCCTGCATCATTCCCATCAATCCGGTTCTCTCATTTCACTTCTGACCAATCACTTAGGAGACGAGAACTATCGAAGATCCAGCATGCGGGGAAGTACAAATCCAGATCAGGTCGACCGGCATATGCGGCTCAGATGTCAGCTACTACAAGAAGTTCGCCAACGGTGACCTCTGCGCTTGTGCTCCATTGTCACTCGGACATGAATCATCAGGTGTTGTTGTCGGAATCGGTCCTCAAGTCAATGGCTTCAAACTTGGTGATAGAGTTGCTCTTGAAGTCGGCATACCATGTGGTCAATGTACCATCTGCCGCAAAGGAAGGTACAACTTATGTAAGAAAATGAGATTCAGAAGCAGTGCGAAAAGCGTACCTCATTTTCAGGGTACACTCCAGGAGAGAATAAATCATCCAGCCATCTGGTGTCACAAGTAAGCTGAATTTTCTATCAAAATCTGAACATTCGCTAATCATCTATTCAGGATCCCAGATCATGTGTCATTCGATGCAGCAGCACTTTTGGAGCCCCTTTCAGTCGCCATACATTCCGTCAACAGGGCAGCACCAATACCAGGCTCAACCGCTCTAGTAATTGGGGCTGGCACCGTGGGTCTCCTAGTCGCAGCTATGGCACGTCAATCCGGATGTACCTTTGTCACCATCATGGACGTCGATGAAGGTCGCGTCGAGTATGCGTTATCAAAAGGATTCGCAACCCACGGATTCGTCGTCCCTAAACCACTTCACTCAAGCTCATCCTCCTCCTCCATTTTTACCGATGGCACCTCTACACCAGTCTCATGTGACGGGATCATGACTCCAATCTCCGCATACAGCAGTCTTAGTGATCGTCTCGACGGCGCGAAAGCAATGGCCGCTGAAGTACTCGCCGTCCCAAGAGCCGACATGGTTACGCTTGAAGAAGACGAGGATGAAGGTGTCGATGTCACGTTCGAGTGTACCGGAAAGGAAGTCTGCATGCAAACCGCGCTTTATGCCACAAAACCCGGCGGCAAAGTTATCATGGTTGGAATGGGCACTCCTATCCAGACTGTTCCGCTCTCTGCCGCTCACCTGCGCGAGGTCGATATCTTGGGCATTTTCAGATACGCAAACACATATCAGACTGGTATCAGATTACTCGGTGCCAAAGGACCCATGGCAATTCCAAGTCTGGATGATATGGTCACTCATAAATTTAAAGGGCTTGGGGCTGCCAAAGCTGCTTTTGAGCTGGCTGGTCGGACGGTAGACAATGATGGGAAATTGGTTCTGAAGGTTGTAATTGAGGCTTAGATAGATCTTGGGATTATGGGATATAAAATTTGGGATCGAGGGAAGGAAGGGCTTGGGATTTCTGGGTATACTTTGGGACGGCGGCTTTTTGTTTTAGTAGATTTCGGAGTCTTTGCGAACAGATTTGATGTCTTTATGAGTATAATTCATCTCATTATCATATATTTCATGGTCCCGTTCCGCTATGTAAAAACCATCCGACGCCGGTTTGGACAAGTCTACTCCTATCTAAACGCCAAATGTCAAAGATGCCGTGGAGGAACTTTTGGTGTAGATGCAATCAAGAAAGCAAGTCACCAACGCCTGAGACTCCAGAGCCTTGCCCATCCCATATTCCCTGACTGCCTTTATTTTTACTGCTCTTTCCGGCTTCGATGACGGCGGACTTCTTCCCAATTTCTCTAACGTCTTTAATGCTGTTGGTTATGGTGCTCAGTAAGGACACTAAGTTGACGTCGTTCTGCTCGGATAATAGCTCCTGTTCGAAAGCGGCACTGTCTGCAGGAATAAGCAGGCTTAGACGGGTGAGTAGCGCTTGGATGGAACGGAGGACAGAGTGGTTGACAGGGGTGTACTTTTGATCGTCCGGCTCAACTCCTTCTGGGACCGAACTCGATATGTATGAAGGCGGCAGATTCCGAAGGTAGACCGATATCAGGTCGATCCGACTTCGTAGCATCTTAATCGCATTTGCCTTGGTGGTCAAAGACGCAATTAATTCTTCATCTTCACGAGACAGGATGTGCTGATCCTCGCTCTTCGAAGCTCCGACTTCTTGGTCGTCTGACTTTTTCGCAGCACGTATCGTCCCTTTGCCCTTGGGTTTCTCTGGGGATGATGCGGGCTTCTCGACAGCAACGGTTCCATCCACAGCTGTTGCATTACCGCCTCCTCGAGCTACAAAATCGATACCGATCATCTCAGCCTCCCCTGTTTCAATGGTATATGGAAGCTCCTTAAATCGCAGACCCAGTAGTGGCTCCCCATCTGTCATTTCCTTGTCCTCTCCTCCATCGGGTGTTATCTCCTCCGCTTCGTAATTACTCTCGTAGATCGTGATAGGCAGCTTGCCCCCAACTGGTCCATCAACGACTGCTGATGGATGAAATCCAAGAAGAATTGCCGATTCGTTGAACTCGTTTAGGATCTGTCGATGAACTGGAAGATGGGCAGGTTGGGGACCTGATGTAGGTAATATGGTATACCAACCTACCAGATCAAGAGCTGGTACTTTGTGTACATCCTTTACTGAATGAAAAAATATGATTAGTAGACATTGTTCGAAACTACAAATTATTTACTAACTCTGCTGTAGTCTTTCTTCGAACCATGCCTTGTGCAGGACAATATCGCCTTCTACCTCCACAAGGCGGCAATCAAATGCATGTTCGATTGTAATTTCTCTACCATTCTGCTCCCCCAGCAGAGCTCCCACTATCGGACCAGTCTGCTGTCGAAGAGTATGCCTTGTAATGTAATCGGATATTGTGAGAAGCACTAGAGGATGAAGCGCTACCTGGAGTCCGCTGTCTGTAGATTTCTGGTTAGAAATAAGGGGATTGTGGGCGACCTCGATCGCCATAACGCCTTATTAGGTTCGTGACCGAATCGTTCTGGCAGTGAGTTGGTGGTTTTGTGGTAGAATGTTATTTGATTTGACGTCGAGCTTGTCTTGTCATTATGTTGGTGGCCTTGCGAGGCTGCCGATGAATGATGAGCTTGAGCTTTATCTATTCTACCGATGTTTAACCGAGGGTCATCCGGGAGGGGCACGCACGTGATGCGTCCCGACCCGATCGCCTAGGTTTTTGAGCGACGGAGCTTCCATATTCACAACCTTACATTTATCAACAATCAAAGCACAATTTGCACATAGTATTGACCCTTTCTTCTCCATTACTCAGTTTGATATTCTCATCACATACGATTTGCGTACAGTCTTGCTAGAAAATTATTACTGCTCCTTACGGTCATGTTCTTCGATGTTTATTTGGACCCAGCAGCACGTCGGAATTCTCGAGCTCTTGGGGTTGCTTATGGACAGAGGATATCAGCCCCCATTACCGTGAGGATCAAACCCATATTAATTTGTACTCCATCAAAAATTATATCATCTCTTATTTCTACGTCGTATATATTCCAGAGTTAGTGAGCGAAGCGAAACAGGTTTGTGAACTCTCCCTATAAATATAGCACTGAACATAGAGCATAGGTACAAGCGATGTTGTCTAAGAATTAGAGCACCGATCGAGAAATTTCCTGTCAACTCTGTCGAATATCTGAAAGAATCCTGATGGCTCGACATGCAAGCGCATGTAGCACGCAACGACCCTTACTGTACGTGGTCCAAAGAATAGCAATAGTCGTACCAAGGTTTCACTGGCACTTGTGTCTGGCCTCATCGTTACGCAAAACGAAACTCAACCTCGAGCAATACTCAACATGTCGATCGTGGTCTGAGCATACTCGACCGTTTCGTCGCCCTGGAAGAGTTAATTTTCTGGAAGCCATTTAGCCGCAAGTCAAGTGGACGAACGACCAAGGTTCTTTAACACCAATTCGGCGAACTATTTCATACGTCCGCGATTTGCAAATCCCAAAATGGTTTCCGGTTTGGACTTCAGCTATTTCCCGGAAGACTACAAAGCCCCCGTCGTGGTATTATACATATGCAGGGTTGCGAAGGGTGATATTCAGCTCGTGAAGAGACTTTGTACATGCCAGCTGGTCGAATTCCAATTGTAAACCACCAATCAGTTGTGATCAGCGCGACATAGGATTCATTGTCACCTAGGAACGACCGCTCCGGGCACTACTTCATCGATGACCTGTTCGCGGTTTAGTACCCTCGTAATCGGATACACAGGGCCATGGCATCGACGTACACTTGCAGCAGATGTGCAGGATGTGACTGCGAAATGTCCGACCTGCAGATGAACCGCCCAATGACCAACTCTACCCGTATATAAACTCACCAGTCTTCTCCAGACTTTGGTTTGACAATACTACTCGTTGATGTTGTAACATATGCCGGCATCATAGTCCGCTTCCCCTAGTACAAGGTTCTCTACCATGGTCATATCTGCTGCTGATAGGTTATATGTATCTGGTTAACCATCTTTCCGTTAGAGAATCATCGTTCGCCTTATCATTCATACTCGGCTGATACATCATGTCACGCTGTCGCATTAGAGTCCCACCTTGGCCATCTTCTCGGAATGGTACCTTGAGGAAGGCGTTCCAGATGCAATTCTACAACGTTATATTATAGCTTCTATTCCAAAACAGCAAAGTGACTTGAATCAACATTGCCAGTACAGCATGTCAGAGCTACATCCGCCGGACCGTTTGGCCTGTTCAAGATATCAGCTGCGCAGTCCTTATTCCTGACATCTCAACAGCAGAGGCTTCAGGTGGCAAGTTGCTAGAAGTCCCACATCTGAACACATTTATCATGCGTCTCGTAAATGAAGACACCTTGATTCTTTCCAGAGATTTGGATTTTCGTATGCGCGTCTCCATAGTCAGCTCTCTGCTTCTTTCATGCAGCTCACGGTTTTATGATGGCAGGATACTTGCTATTCCCGAATTCTATCAGAGTGTTCTCCGCATCGATGCTTGCTGGGTCTACAGCCTATCAACAGGCAGCACTTCCCCTCAAAACCACTTGCTTTCAGCAGTTGTCCAACTCCTCGCCTCCCAGCTGCGCGGCATAGCCGAGCGCGCAGATCTCATGGAACCAGAGAATTACGACGTAGAGGTACAAGGATGTGAAGAGCGCTGGTATAGGAGCGCATAATGAGGGGCTTCTCAAAAATGTAGATGTTGGCAACTTTCGCTGCGTGGAGACGAGGCGCGAAGAGGTCATGGACGCACATCAAAATCGACTGAGATTTTTGACTACCTCTGGCACGGAAGGCCAGGGTTCGATTAGATGCTCCCTTTGAGCTGATAAACAAGAAGAACAGGTTCTAAAGGCACATACCCGATTCTCATGACAGTCTGTCTCTATGTGCTGGAGCGGGATTCGATTTCGTTCTTTCAAGAACACACGCAACAAAGTAAGAAGTATCATACCAATGTCATCTGTCGGGAATTAATGCGATAGTTCTGCACCTATCATCGCAAGCGAAAACTACTTAGGTAGTCATCCTGACGATGTTAGCAATCACGAAAAAGGACCAGCAATATCGGAAAGTGCTAAGCAAGACTAACCATCAAATTCGAGCCAGAATGTCGGCGCGTGTCTAATCATTTCGAGGAGGGTGGCATAATATCTTCCTTGTGCGGGATCTGGGTAAAGGCTCTTACTGCTTAACACTGCAAAGGAAATTCCGCCATCAAATCGACGCTGAATGATAGAGTCCAATGCTAGAGAAATAGGTTCCTAACACTACCTCGCAGAGGACAAAGTAAGTGGCAGTCACCTACCCGCAAATCTTGAACTAAATAATAGGTCGACTTTGAATAGAGCTTAAGAGGGTTTATTTACTTAAAATATTTGACGAAATAGTTATAATATTCTAAGTTGATCCACTAAATTAGAATATTTCGTCAACTTAGTCGAAGAATTATTCCACGGTGCCACTTATTTGGTCCTCCGCGAGCCCTACTCACATCTCTCAAAGGCCACCTACGATAAAAACACTATCCTCCGCTATTACGAAGCCCGAATAAGATCTCAGGCATCAACGACTGTACCGTCGATCAAAGCAAGAACAAGTAATTACTAATCACTTTGACACTCCCCGTGGTTGGGAAGTGCATTACGCGTATCCCAATATCGTGATGATTAAAAACGGTTACTCATCTTCGGTGAAAGTTTCAAATAACATTGGTGCTGTACCGTCTTTCCTTTCTTGCTTCAGATGTAAAATAAGAGGACGAGTTGGCGTCTTGTTAAGATTGTCTGGAGAGTACTTCCAGTTCAAGGTTGTAAGGAGAAATTAAGAAGTAGATCACACGTCTGAAAGTTGTTTGGTGAGAGGTCCTTCGTCTCTTTTGTTGATGTATACTCTATAATGTGTCTATCTCTAATTCTCAAATGTTTCTTTCGGGAATTTCAAACCTGAGCAAAATACATACTCTCAGCTAAGAAAAGTGTATCCACATAAAGAAATATATGTCTTGTCAGTTATTTTAAGTTTGGTTGACCTCAATTTAAACATATAGGCACATGCCACTTAATTGTTAGTGGAGACAACTTGCGCTAAATAAGCCCAATCTTCATTGAAAATAAAGCTTACGTAGCTACCAGAACGATTGAACAAGGATCCCGAGAACTACGCCTAGTATATTTTACCAGTCTCAGTAAACTCGAGTTATATCTTGACATCTTTAGCTCTGATATTCTTGGCCATGAAAATGGACAGCTAGTGATATGTCCCTTCCACTACCTATCGGCAGCCTTAAGCTCGAAACCCTTAGAGTAGATAGGTGCATAATGAGAATGTCTCTTGAACTACTCGATATTGCCTAGCTGGTCAGTTTTGGATCAAAATATCTATGCTAGGCGTCAAATATCCTGAAAATGTACGTCGAGTACCTCGATTAGGTAATTCAAGCTACGATTCGTGACAAGCGGACGATCAAACCACTTGAATAAAGTTCTGAGAGGGGTGCCATTCAGCGGTCGAAAGGATAGAAAGTACATCCACTGAGAGAGAGAACGATCAGTGATGTTAAGGGTAATAGAGAGTGGTCACTGAGTATAAGAACAAGCAAAGTATAGAAAGTAGAGTAATTACACTCTCACGTCGAATGAAGCGAATTGTACATAGAGCGAATTGTAACAAATAACTCGCCATAACATCTGAGAAGGCACTTTCTTCTCGTGTTGACTAGCTAGTACCTAAACTACAATCTAGAAGATCTCATTGTTCCTCCCTAACGCACAACTCATTCTCTGGAAGACAGCGTAAGATTTAGTAAGGTACGAAAGGTAACGTTTTACGAGATTTTGACACTTTTCACTTCTCTCGTCATGGGTGACACATTGGACTTTGACTTCATAAACCAAATCTAATGTTCAATTGAAAGGATGTTGAATCGAGAGGTTGACTGACTGCAAGTGCCAAGATAATTTGTGTCCTGGTTTTGGAAGATTCCGGTGACAAGAAGGTAGGCGTTAGACGAATAGCAACAGCGATAAGAATGTCATTATTATATGAAACACCAAGGTGCAAGCTTGGGATGGTTTGGACCACATGCTACGATATCATTGAGCAAATATGAAACAAACATAAGTTCTAGTAGCCAGAAGTCTTATAGTTGTTTAAGGTTGCGCTCACTTCCCGTCTTGGAGAGAAAAGGTATATTAGTTTGTCATAGCTAAAACAAGAAAGACATTTAGCACTTACCAAGATTCTCATGATTGCGGAATTTATTGAATGATGATGAAACTGTTATGAGTTACTTTGCACAAAATGTCAAAACGAAGATAGGTGTGTTGTGTTTTAGCGAAACACTCTTGACAAAGTCTCTGTTTTTACACGAAATGAGGCTATTCATTAGGATATGAAGTACAGCTGTTCCACCTAGATATCATTCAACCATATTGGTTTCTAGAGAAGGCAGCACATTAAAGTGCTTCCAAGTTTTATTGTTTTGGGAATATTTTGTAATAGCTAAGATCGGGGCTCCTTAACATCTAGAAGCCAGCTAATAAGAGAATATATCAGAAGAGAGAACAATTAATTGAAATCATTATGAGTGTTGGATAGCATAATGAAGCCGGTTCTGTTCACTTTTTTGTTCGTCAATACTCTTGTCACGCTACAGGAAGTACTAATTCTACCTTTAGGTTTGCATTAGTGCTTATGCATCGAAGAATAATGAAGCATCTTACGGTGAGTTAGGAGGAAGATGTTTTATAGCTTGCCACAGCTGGCGTCCTCCCGCTTCCGGGCTAGGTGACTCTAGAGAACATTCGAAGATTGACATGTTCCATTTCGAGTATATTTACAGTCGGTACTAGCAATAGGTATTTTGATCTCGCGCGCGAAGTAATGCTTGGAGGAAGACGACGAGGGAATTTGATTTCAACGATCAAGTATTTGGAGAGACTTGTAACCAGACACATCTTTCTTTACTCAGAAAGTGTGCAAGTTACGTCCACCTTCGACAAGCAGGTGTCTCTTATCGCAATTTCCTGTCTGATAAATTTGTCTCCACGCATATATTATATGCTCTGAGCCATCGGAGAAGAGATGATAGTGGAAATTTGCAACTGGCGATATCATTGATCTCTGTCGGCTCCAGAAACCCTGCTTGGAAAAGATATGTCAGATCGTGTTCTGTTATGGTGCTAGCTTTAAAATTAGAATCTTAACATGGGATCCCTCCTAGAAAGTGTAAATCAAGATGACAAGAATCGAGTCAAAGTAGTGTGGCCAAAGCCAAAACATGAACAGCAGGAACACTTGCAGATATGCATACGTGTAAGACGTCAAAAATCCAAAAGTTTTTTCCGGTTAGCTAAGTACCGATTTAATGTGCAGCATGAATTGAGGTCCACGCGCTTCAAAACTGGAGATGAGAGTAACAGCCCAGGTTGTAGTGGGAAAATGACTGAAGGCTAGACCTACCAGCTGGCTTCCAATTACTTTATGAATAACGTAAAAGAAGATGAATCTGAACAATTGAGATAATCAGTTAACTCAAGATGCTCGAATTATTCGTCAAAATTTCTAAACCTGACCAACAAAATGGAACATCGATTTGACAATATACACGACTCAACTTGTGTCATCCGATTGTCGGTAATTTTACTTGCTCTTTGAGTCTCATACTAGCATCGACATGATGCGAGTACCCTTGGTAAGCCTATCCTACTGTTACAAATTGGATGCTCGGAATTCTATGGATTCCAAGCTGACTGACTTGATTAGGGAGAATTGAATGCTGCCGCCTTCTATTGGATGAAGCTTAAGCTACGAGGACAATGACCAAAACAATGTACGGAACTGATTTTCATATAGAACTGGTGTGTTGTATCGTTTGAAGGCACTGCAGATGGAGTGTTCGTTGCCGTGGATCAGGGACTGTTTAAATTCAATCTCGCCGGGTTTTCGGATATTTTTGTGGTATTTATTAATGTGATGTGTCAGGAGCCTTCAGTTACATTATACGTAGGGATGCTCTACCGAGATCACCAAAACCGAATCCTGACATCCACTGGTAGTTGGTGGTATTGGCTCCCGGCGGAAAAGATTAGTGGCAGTCGAAACACGATAGTTCCTCGATCAATTGGAAGTTGACAGATTATTGCATATTAAGTGGATTAACTTGGCACATTATCAGATATTCCGTCTATTCTATCCAGCAAATAACACCTTAGACTCTGTTCGAAATTAAGTTATTATTTTTGAAGATTAGTGGGCAGGTGACTGACACTTATCTTGTCCTCTGTGAGGTTGGGTACTAGATGCTTCATTTGGTCGCCTGGAGAAGGAGAAATATGGAGAGGCGGGAGCTGGCCGACAAAGCTCATTTGGAATGCTTTGACGAATCATAAGTAACGATTAAAACGTGTTGAATCGTTTGGAATGAAAGTAGCAATAGGTAGGCGTCCATTGGTGTGCCTCATGATGTCTACCGCTGCACCAATGAGAAGGCAAGCTGGCAGCAAATGTCTCTTTGAGAGGCTTGCACGGGATTGCGAATCTGTTGAGTGACAAAGTAATGGCGCGTTGGTTTAGGCTGATCTGAATCAGAACTGCAGCGAGCTGGTTTCGGTAGACAGGCTACGGTCGATTCCGGGTTGTTCATGAGTCGAACAGTCGAATAGCTGAATGAAATCAATACACGACGAGATAACGAGGACACCGGATGTGGCTAGCTTGGTTGGTCTAAAGATAGCGTATCACGTGCTGGGCCCTGGTTGAGTAACTACCTAGTAGGTACCTTGAAGGTTCCAGCTGATGCTTGGGGCAATGACGTGAAGGAGTAATGCAATAGACAAGTTGGGATCATAATACACCATATTGTAAGACAGCGGATATACATCTCCTATTGGTACCAATAAACTTGCTTTTATGCTTAAAACAAGGCAGATAAATGATGCTGTTGACATTGCTTGGGTACCAGCAGCAACATCCTTATCGACATGCATAACACGATCATAGCTTTATCGCCCAAGCTCTCCACTCTCTCCACGTTCCAGCTCCACGCATCCTCCTGGCAGCTGCAGCAGAGCAGCAACTCGATCACATCCACCCCGCGGCTACGGAGGATATGCCCCTATTCCCCCCTCGATTCGTTATCTCTAGTACAAGTTCTACTATCTGCTGCATTCGGTGACAGAGGTGGCCGAGCTGGGTTGGAGTCCGATGACCTGGGAGTCTCAACCGAGGTCACTCGTCTCGAGCCAGGATAGGCGGCCTCCATGGCTGTGAGCTCGAGAGATGACGGCTCTGCTCACGGGCGCAGTTGGCACAAGCATACAGCGGGAATGCGAGACTTGTATGAGAAGAGTGGGCAGTGGCAGTGGCAGTGGCAGTAGGCAGGTTCCGTCTTTGTTGATTGCCGCCCATCCAACATCTCACCTGGCCAGACGACGTAGGTAAATAAGAGACCTCGCGTCCCCCTTCCTTCTCCTGCTCTTCTGCTTCCTCTTTCTGCATACAACCAACCTGATATTACAAACCAAGCATCTTCCAACATTACTCACCTCAAGCATATTTATATCCGTCTTTCAATAGAGTTATCACTGCATTCGCTTGCCGGCCTCTTCTTTGTTTCCATACTCAGCCTCGCTTGAGTCACTCGCCGGTCTCTCTTTGTCTGCTTGCTTCCTTTGCATCCGCGCACGTCATCCAAAGACTTCACTTCCACCACTTAACTGTGCGTGGGTGGTTCTTTCCTCATTCCTCAATACGAACCTCGATAATCTCCCTCTGACTCGGCTCATTTCCCCGCAAAGATAACAGTCACTCGGCAACTTGGAACGTCGACTGTTTCGATAGCAACACTGTTAATAACAACAACCTTCTTCCTACTTTCCTGATTCCTTCCTCCATCAAAACTGCACAATACGACAAACAACTCTCGATTCCTCTGTTGGATAGAATAAATACGATCCTCTGATAAAGGAACTTCATCTCCGCCGGAAATTACATTGAGTCATCTTCTGACTCGACCAACACCCGAACCTAACACCTCAACCTCGAGTTTCTTCAGGAACTCCGAACCAGCTATTCCCAACTCTCTCTCGATCTCATTTGCATCTCCAACCAGCCTAGCAATGTCGACCACTACCAGCCCAGTTGCCCCAGTCCAAACCCGCGATATTCGCTCGGCATCCGTAGCCTACAAGCGTGATAAAGACCACAGCACGAAATGGGCCCGAGGTGTCCGACCAATAGCAGGGCACCAATACGAATATCCAGAGCCAAATTCCTATGGAGAGTTGGTGTTCACGGGCAAGGTCCGCCCAGATGCCCGACATCCATTTATGTACGTACCACAGATGCCACACCTATTCTTCTCAGAACTAACAGATATTAATAGTGGCGAAAAAGACCACCGCAGCCCAAAGGCAAACTATCTTGGTGCTGAGGACATCTCTAGTCTAGCAAATCGACGCTATTCCCATAAAGTTGACACTTTCCACGAGTCAAACGATCACACGACCAACCCCCTTTCTAAGTCTCTTCTCTCCATGCTTCCTCAGCATATGAACAACGCCACTCCCGCTATCTCCACTCGCGAGCCAGACACTTTGTTCAGCTATGATACCCGCGGACCAACTCCAGGTCAAAAGGCTAGTCGTGTAGCTCTTGGGGGTCTGATTGAGCAGGCAGAGCAGAAATGGATCGCCGAACAGACCGAGAAGATCATTCGTGGAGAATACGAGGTACTTGATGCACAAGGCGAGAAGACGGTCTTGAAGAAGGGGAAGAGATCGCCAAAGCAGAAGCCTAAGGAGGTGCAGCCTGTTGTAGACGAGGATGATGGATTCGAACTTGTTTAATCGCTGTCATCGATTGACACAACTTTCTTGTTACTCGCTATTCCGACATTGTAATTTGCAACTTCTCATTCTCACGGCGTACACGGCTTCAGCATGGTCTAGCTTACCCTTTCAGAGGAAGGATAGCTTCACCCCTTATCTTCATCATTAGGGTTTCAGCCTACTCTTGTAAACATACAACAGGGAAGGATGGCTCTCATTTCTAATACGGTGTTACGGTCACTAGCATAGCTTACCCAGTGTGGGACGGTCAGGGAAGGATAGTTTGCATTGCAGTTTACTATTTTTCGTGTTTTGCGGGGTTATGGATATGGGATACGTGACTTGGGTATAGCTTACCCCCACCCAGTGCGGGAAGGATAGCTTGCCTTGTTTGGGCTAGGAGTCTGTGGGTTATGATTAGCTTGTGGATAGGATACGATAGGGCATTATTACTTTAAGAATGAGAATGGTTTTAACCACCATCTGAATGTTTTCGATGAGAAAGGTCGTGAGAGGAGTAAGAAGCTTCGTGAATGGTAAAGCTAAATATGAAGAAGGGAAATTAATCACGCCATGAAGGTTTATCTTAAACATGACTTATCTACCGATGAACTTCAAACGAACAGGTCTCCACTCGAGGGTGGAAGGGAACAATAGCGTTAAACTAGGTACCAATGCTGCAGTCAAGCATAGTCTACCCACTTTAGAAGTCACCACGAAACATTCGACACCAAAGAACAGCATATAAGATATCATAAGCGTCGCTCCTGTACACGACAAAGACCGAGAACGATTCCTCTCGAAAAAGACTTAGGGTTTTATAGCGTTATGATATTTAGAAACTGTTATGATTTGATTATGAATAGAAACTGGCTCACAACTTGTGTCACCCACTCAGACAGACTTCTAGGCATTCCGCATCTCGCAGGCTGCCTCGCGCAGGACAAGACAAGTTTCAGTCGAAACAGAATCTTCCTTCGACCGAGATGACGAAATATCGCACATTTAGTGGATCAATTTAGGACATTATAGGCCATTTCGTCAATTATTTTGAGTAAATAAGACTTCTTAAGCTTTGTTATTCAGCCCGACGTTAGTGGGTAGCTGGCTGACACTTATTTCGCCGTCCGCGAGGCTGCGGCGGTGACAACATATCTCATTTCAATATCTTACCTTGAGACGACTCCTGTAGGATAAAATACAATGATTTTCATATCATCATTTGTTGTTTCTCGAGAAGGCGCTTTTTTACCTTAGATGTATCGTTTTCCCACCTGGAAGACCATACTCGTGTTTCTGGTGTTGGAGGTACACTTGAAAAATGTGTAGCAGGAGGATGAGCTGTGAGGGAGAGAAATGGAAATACTCCAAGATGGTCATTGCATGCTTTTCATTTTTAATCCAATCCAAGCCAGGTCTAAGCGGTTTCATGTTCTACTGCTTATCCATTCATTCAATGACGCTCAACAACACTCCAACGCCAGCCTCCTCTAATCCCGCACACCCCTCACTCAGAAATCATCTCATTCCAACTCCTCCCACCCTCAACCATCTACTACCACTTATCCCAATCATCATCCTTTTTCCCCTGCTTCCTCACCGCACTCGTCCCAATCGCACTCGGTTTCGACGCTCCCATTCCGCCCATCCCAGCAGCACCCCCCTGCCTTGCACTCCCCGCCTCCGCAAAGCTATCCCAGAAATCCTTCTTGCTCTCGTCCAGCGGCGCCTGTCGATAAGCTCCCCCGCTACTCGGACCCTCCACAAACCGGTTAAAGCCTTCGGCGGCGGATTTGGCGCCGGTTTGCGCGCCTTTGGCAACTGTGGCGGCGGTGAGCCGGGCTTGGGCTGCGAGGTCGGTTTCGGCTAGCTGTGGGGTGTCAGTTTGTGATATGAACATAAGCAGGAAGGGGAAGGGGGATTTAAAAGGGGTAGCATCCTATAGATGTGAAATAGACGAACCTTAGCAGCAGTAGGTTGAATATACCCATCATTGACCGTCTTCGCCGTACTCGCCACGCTCTTCGTAAACCACCCAAACCCCTTACTGAGCGCCGCCACCGGATCTCTTTGCAAATCATTGAATCCGGGTAAGCCCTCCTGCCTCACCGGCTCTGGTCCCGCGCTCCCAAAACCAGCGTACTTTCCACCCTGACTTGGCGGTAAATCCGCAGAACGAGACGCATTTGCTTGGCCCAGGCCTGCAAAGTACTTATCATCAACCTTAGCCTTGACACCAGGACGCGAAGGCGAATCATTGCGGGACGAAGAAAGTGGTGTTGCTGTTCTAGAACTCGAATTGTGGAAGGACGTAGTATTCGTAGCCGTCGGTGCTTTAGCCGTAGGGACGTATTCCTTCCCCTCTACCTTAGCCGTCAACCGATCCTTATATTCCTCGCCCACATCCACCGAATAACGTTCCGCAATTGTAGCATCATCCCAAGTAATACCCGCCATCTCATTGCCCTCTGCCTTATCAAAGAAGTCTCTCCACGTCTTGTTTCCACCTTCTCTCATGCGGTCAATTTCCACCGCTTTAAATGCGTCCATGGTAATGCTGCGTACGAAACTGATATGCACACCAAGACCGCGGTGGACTCCGGCGCAGGAGAGACAGATGAAGACGCCGAATTTGGGGGAGGCCCATTGGGGGGAGGGAGCGCCGCAGTCGCAACAACGGTCGTTGCCGGCGACTTTTTGGATCTCGAGGAGCTGGTGGAGGTTAGTCGGCGTAGAAACGAGACGGATTCGAAGGATAGTACCTTGGAACGAGTCTCGGGATCGACCTCCCACATGGCTTTACTAGCCATGATTGCGAAGGTTGATTAGGACAATACTGGAATCCTTTGACTTATCGTTTATCCACCATTGATGCACAGAGTTGTGTCTTTTTGACTTTTGAATTCCCAACAATCGTAATTCTCCAAAGAAATTACAAGTGACACAGAACTATCTAGAAATGGTGTTGTTGATGAACAAAAAGGAAAACCTCCAAGGAGTCAAGATAGGCGGGGTGTATTTTGGCGGGCGGTGGATTTGAGAATAAGGGGGTGGAGTCGGCAAAATACGCTTGCAGATGGCCAATCAAGTTAAGATACCGAGGCAAGGCTATGATTTTGCCCTCGAGCCTCGAATTCTTCAAATCATGCATGTCCAAAATACCTGGATGGATAGTCCTTGTGCTTCGAGACTTTGGCAATGTCATCATATGTCACGCAAGGGCAGAATGAATCGTAAATGTTACACATCAACAGGGCCATAACTATGTGCTTCACACTTCCACAAAAATAGCAAAATAGTCTATAATATTATTACGATTTTGCCAGTACCATTTACTGTCAGCGAATATGGTATCACCAATAACTTTTCCATTCCTTTATTCCCGAGAGAGCACATTGAAAAAATCTAGTGTACAGTCCAGAGTGAGCTAAAGAAATGGTAATAAGACATTGTTTTTGAAAGAGTCATCGAGAAGAATTGTTCCCCTTGTTTAGGGGATTTCGTTAATTCCAAGAAAGCAACGAAAAACCACCGCATAAGAGTTACAATTAATCCACCTAAAAGAAAATCATGAGAAGTTGATCAAAGTTCATTGAAGAAATCAATGAGACACAGATCCAGCCTCCGTCCCGAAGTGCATCCATATAGCGCCGAGACAATGGTCCAAAAGCAAAAATTAAAATTAATGCATCTGATCATGTCCGCGAAATGTAGCACCCTCATCGTACAATGTAATACATGGACAAACAACCACTTATGCAGCGGTAGCCTCAGTGGTTGTGCCGTTGGTACCCTCGGTAGCAGCTTCAGCGGCTGGGGCATTGGCATCATCGTCGGTCTTGTCTGGGCTGTCAATGGCGACCTTGACAGCGATCTCACGACCCTCAATCTCCTTGCCGTTCATCTCGTTGACGGCCTTTTGTTGTTGTTCCTCGGAAGCAAGAGTGACGAATCCGAATCCACGACCCTTGCGAGGTTCGTTGCGAGCTTGAAGCTTCTTGACCATGAAACGTGGGATTGGTCGAAGGGCGATCTTGGCGGAGGATGGCTCGTAAGCAGCGAAAAGTTCCTTGAGCTATTGTATTGTTAGATGATGATTCGTGAATAAGGTTGTGGGGAAATTACCTTCTCCTCGGAAAGGTCGTATGGGAGGTTGGCAACCATGACCTTGTTCTTGGATGGAATACCGTCAGCTGGAGGGCCACGTTCACGACGCTCGCGTGGTTGACGGGCAGCTTGTGGTTTGCCGTCCTTGTCAAGCTTCTCGCTCTTCTCGGTGGTCTCCTTAGGAGCATCGGTCAAAGGTAGAGGCTCTGTGGTAGCTGGAGCCTCGGCACCTTCCTCGCCCTGGGACTCGAGTCAGTAAAAAACGATACAAGCAGTGCAACAAAGAAAACTTACTCCGCGAGCGGCACGTCCTCCTCGTCCACCACGGCCACGTCCTCGACCACGTCCACGGCCGGATTGTCTGCGGCGGCCGCCTTCACCTCCGGAAGCACCTTCACCTCCGCTGGCAGCTCCCTCAGTCTTCTCGCCTGCTGGTTCTGGCTTGCGGGCGAGTTGAACGGAGACCTTACGATCAAGGATCTCCTTACCAGAGAGCTCAGCAATGGCACGCTCTGCCTCACCTGGAGAGGAGAGATCGACAAAGGCATATCCGACTGGGCGATCAGTTCGTGGGTTCTTTGGGATAGAGGTGGATTCGCTACAAGAGATGGCATATTAGCATTTGATTTAGAAAAACGTAGCATGTGCTAATAGGAATTGTGCGTCATCGTGCCTTCCTGGTAAAAATAATTCGTCTTCTTGCCACGGTGGCAGCAAGTCGCCGTAAGAGTCATACCAGTGAGAAAATTGAAATGAATTCAAAACTTACATTAGGTATCCGTTGAAAAAAGAGTTCAACTCCCCCTCGGTAGTCGCGTATGCGAGGTTACCGATATAGAGTCTTCGACCCTCTGCGGCGCTAGCCAGTACTGCCTCGTTGTGAGCAGCACTGGAAGCCTTGTCACCACCAGTGGTAGTGGCCTCAGCAGGCTTATCAGAGATCGATGTGTTGCTTAGAGTAGCAGTAACGTCCTTGACGGCGTCCGTAACTTTTTCCACGATGGCAGACATGTTTGAGATTGGGTGGTGGTAGTTCGACGAGAAACTTGATGGTGTAGGTTGAGTTGACGTTGCCTGAGTATTTTGGACTCTTGCGCAAGTGGGGGAGTGTGTAAGGGTAGCTTGGTGCCCTAGAAGTCTGGTTTGTTGGTTGAGAAGTTGAAGTTGATGAACTTGATCGTATCCTTGGTGTGATGTGAAGTCGAAAAGAAAGGGAGAAGGCGATGCGCGTGTGGAAATATATCAAATTCCACAGCCGCAGCTTCCCTGTGGCTCTTATGGCTTTAGCGAGATTTCTTACCGGATCGGGGGCGTTAAAGTGGGACCGAGGCCCCCAAGCGTCATTCACGGGGTCCAGACTGGGGAATTATGAGAAAGGGGAAAATAGTATCTGAAGGTAGCCTTGTTTAGAGGATTCACTTGAATAGAACGAACCTAAAGTAGTATTCATGCTATGACTTCAGGACATTAATCTCAGCATTAATTACACCATTGTCAAGATCAAAAGGCCTGATTCAGAGCCTCTATTCTCTGCATCGGTACTCACATGTGGCAAGGCTACGTGCACGGGTGAAGCTACGGACCTGGAGTGTTTGAAAGACTAATTGCGATTAGTATTAGTCCGTGACGCAACATCTAGACCTGCAACTGCATACAAGTAGTTGGTACTTCATGGGAGCCATATACCATTATGATGCATGTTACTAACAAAATTCGAGTCCCCGCTGTTCTAGGCATTACAACAAGCACAAACGACCCTCCACCAGGGATCTAAAAATCTCATCGACCACGCAAGGCTGAGGTGACAAAGGTTTATTTCCGCCTGGTCAACAGTCTCAGGGGCAACTCCTGTAGGGGAGGCTGTTATTACTACCAGCAAGCTGTATTCTTACCACGACTAGGTCTAGGATTGGAAAGATGTCCAGCTTCTATGCATCGGAAATAAATCCTTCGAAATAGCACTTCCCGATTCAAATATTCTTCCCTCGGAGATTGGTGATGGTGCAGTCTCGTGACTGAAAAGGAGGTGTTCGATTTGACCGAACTCGCTCCGGCTTTGTTGATGGCGAAGTCTTCGAGCATGAATTTCTTGCCTCCCCCTCGTGCGCCGTTTCCTTCAATCATGGCTGAGGCTATCCAAGGCCAGCGACATGATAGAAATGCCCTTGTCCTCTATGGGTCTGAAACTGGAAATAGTCAAGATGTGGCAGAGCAATTGGGACGCATAGCAGAAAGATTGCATTTTGCCGTGAGGGTTTGTGAGATGGATCAGGTTGAAATTGTATGTTTTTGAAGCACATCATGATCGAATCTCTGGTCGTTCTCTGCTCCGTGCTTACTCCAGTCGTCACAGAAATTGTTGCCGAAACACAAAGTTGTCATTTTCGTTCTATCAACAACAGGTCAAGGCGAGTTCCCGAAAAATGCGAGGAAGCTATGGAAGAGCCTGCTCAGGAAGCGATTGCCTCCTGGCTGCCTTGGTCACGTGAATTTTACCACATTCGGGCTGGGAGATAGTTCATATGCCCAGTATGTTATATGATGCGTGTGTGACATTAATAGGATTCTTTCTTCTGACGGTAGGGATTTAGGTTCAATTGGGCCGCGCGTAAGTTGCATAAACGACTTGAACAGCTGGGGGCAAACGAGATATACCCTCGAGGAGAAGCAGACGAGCAACATGCCGAGGGGTAAGTGATATATCCTAGCATCTACTCCGCCTTGGACCGCAATCTTCGTTAAAAATAAACTCATTCACTTATGATGTTCTCGTGGCTGACTATTTGATAGAATCGATGGAACATTTTTGTCTTGGTCGATTGACCTTGGGAAGCACCTGCTCTCTCTGTATCCTTTGCCTGAGGGACAAACGCCAATTCCACCTGACGTGTTTCTTCCACCCAAACTTTTTCTGGAACTTGTCAAAGAGAACACGGATGAACCCAGCGCTCTGGAAGCGACATCCCCATCTTCCGTAACCAATTCACCTTCAGATGCAACATTCACAACAACTCGGCCCTTCAGCCAGACCAGTCCTGATCATCCTGAAGCGAGAGCCACAACCTCCGTGCCCTTCTCAGCTTCCGCGCAGCCGCTCCCGACAAACGGATCTCATACAGACTCGGCGCTTGCTTCGAAACACATAAGAGACCAAGCTGAGATGGATTACACTTCACTGATTCAACCAGAGCCTCGACCATGTCCGCAAATCAAGGAGAACATTCCCGGCGAAGCAGACCCTGTAGATCGAACCCGAGCTAAAGCACGTCTGCTCCCTTGGCCTGACGCTGTGGAGGCTAGACTTGTTAGCAATCGTCGGATTACACCTGAAGATCACTGGCAAGATGTTCGCGAACTCACCTTTCATATGCATAAAGATACGCGGTATTGTCCTGGCGATGTTTTAACACTATATCCCCAGAACTTTCCGGAAGATGTTCAGGCGCTCATTGATCTCATGGGCTGGAACAAAGTCGCAGATTCGCGCGTAGCATTTCAAGCAACAGGTCCCAAATTCTACGCCGCGGAAAATCTGATATCCATGGCCCATGGCCTCTATCCATCCCCGCGGACAACTCTTCGACAACTCTTGACGGACAATCTCGACATCACAGCCATTCCAAAGCGGTCTTTCTTCGACTTTATCTCCCATCAAACGGATGATCCCATTCACAAGGAGCGACTATCCGAATTCTCAAACCCAGCTTATACTGATGAATTCTTCGATTATGCTACTCGCCCACGACGCAGCATTCTTGAAGTGCTCCAGGACTTCCCAAGTGTAAAGATACCATGGAAATGGGCTACTTGCGCTTTTCCTGTTATTCGAGGCCGGCAATACAGTATCTCGAGTGGTGGCGACCTCAAACGCTCAAGCCACACCCCAAACGTCCTTCAGGTCCAGCTTCTCGTTGCTATTGTAAAATATCGCACTGTTCTCAAGAAGATACGTCAAGGCCTCTGTTCTCGATATATTGCATCATTACCAGCAGGCACCGTGATGAATGTTGGCCTCAAGGATGGTTCGTTTGAAGACACTACAAAATACCAACCCAATTATCCTGTGATCCTCATCGGCCCTGGTACTGGTCTCGCTCCGTTGCGCTCTTTGATATGGGAGCGGGCCGCTATGGGGATGATAGACGAAACTCAACGCGCAAAGACCATACTTTTCTACGGAGGACGCAACAGGGAGGCAGATTACTTCTACCAGGAGGAATGGAATACCTGGTTTCGGGACGTCACAATTCACACGGCATTCTCTCGGGATCAAAAAGAGAAAGTCTACGTCCAGGATATTATCAGACGCGAGGGCCAGGCCGTTTGGGAGCAACTTCAAAAAAATGCGGTGGTATACGTATGTGGTAGTTCAGGGAATATGCCAAAGGCCGTTCGGGGGGCTATTATTGATGTTATGGTTAAGCATGGGACGGCGCCATTTCGAGATCGTGCTACTGCTGAGGCCGCGGTTACGGATATGACACGGAGGGGACATTATGTGCAGGAGACTTGGTAATCATAGGCGTTATGTGGCATCACAGGAGTTTTTGGTTTGTTCGGAATAGGAGTTTGGAACCTCACGATATGATTGAGGACTGTAGATCGTTGATACTTAGTGGGATAAAATACGCCTCGCGGCAGGGATACAATTGTTTCAACGAAAGATGCGCAGTGGAGATTATAGAATAGAGGAATAAAGACAACTCATTTAGCAATCAAATCAATTTGGAAGATTACACCGCATATTCAATCAGCGACCTAGAAATTTTGACTCTCAAGATTGCTGAAAGTTTACTAGACACATGTGCCCAGCGACGAAATCAAATTCGAGCTGAATAATGCCAATCACAACCAGCCAGCTACAAATTAGAAGTAAAAAAGAATACTGTCTCGAGAGCAAGAAATGAAATAAGGACCGACCAAAAAGAAATTTACTTACTGCGGCAGAAAATAGCAAAAGATCACTTTCAGCCGAAGCTACCTAGTGTCTAAACAGCATTACCTGTTTACTTTTTTAGGAAATTTTCTTATATATATAATGATGCACCACACAAGGAAATTTATATTGTTATATCATGTCTTTTTCTTTTCTTTTTCTTTTCTCTTCTTTTTTTTCTTTTTTTATCCTCTTCTTTTGACTCTTTTTTTTATGAGGTACTATTTCTTCTTTTTCTTTCCTGCTTCTTTCTTTCTTTTTTTTTTACTACTAATAATGGATTTGAGCTTAACGACCGGTTTCCATGACGGTCGGCAAGAAGGGATTTGATTGGGTTGTGGGAATGTGTGCAATTTGATTATTTAACATTTAAAATGTTAGGGGTCTATGGAGGGTGAGTGAATTGAGGTGAATTTTGGGGGGTGGTGGTGAGGCGAATGGGTTTGAGGTTGAACCATTGGATGGTCAGAGTGTGGGTGGAGGGGGAGGTAATGTTTCGTAATATGCTGCTAAGGGTTTGCGATATTGTGGGGACGAGATAGTTGTGTATCTGTAGATTAGGTCAATATTTTGTGAAAAGAATATCCTGCTATCTGTGTCTTCATCTTTTGTAGTATAGCTGTCGGAAGGTCTTTTCGATTTGTGTGGTCGGCTTCTTGCGTCTTGTTATACACCGGTATGTGTTGCAGGTATTGGGAATAAACGTAAGTTGATAAACGCTCGAAATATTATGTGGAAGAATTCAGACTTGTGTTGTAATATATGTTCAGCTGTGATTAACAATCAAATGGCATTCCAGTAGTCTAAGCGATACCTACCTTTCATCCGTCTATTCCAACTCCAATTTTATCTAACCCTCAAATCTGTTTCCATTCACAACCTCCCCAATCTACCATGTCTACCAAACCAATTCAATCCCCTCCCCCTTCACACAACTATTAAACCACTCGAAAATCTCCACCTCACCCTCACTTTTCGCGCCTTCCAGCACCCGACTCAAAATCAGTCGTTCAGCCGCCATATATAATTCGGTAGTAGCCAAGTTCCTTGCAATACAGGCCCTATTCCCGGCTCCCCATGCGAAGAAGCTGGTATTCATCTCTGAAGTCACGTTTTCTAACCATCTCTCTGGCTTGAATGCGTGCGGTTCGGGAAACACTTTGGGATTGAAGTGCAGAGAGTAGCCGGAGCAGCCTACGACCGTACCTGCGGGAATGTGGGTATTCTGAAGGTTGAAACCAGAGGAAGGAACGATATGTGGGAGGCGTGTTGGATTGGCCATGGATATGCGAAGGGTTTCGCGGATTACGGCAGAAAGGTAAGTGAGGGATTGGATTTCTTGAATTGATGATTCCGGGAGGGAGTTATTTGTTTGGAGTTCAGTATAAAGACGTTTGTATCTGAATTCATTAACACGATATAGAAATAGTAGAGTGGGTAGGAAGTACTTCTCTGGATTGAGCACTAGCTGTCTGCACATCGTAGCCATGTTCATTCCTGTAGAATCAGTTCCCGCAAAGATCAAATCTTTACACTGAACCTTGACTTCATCCTTCGATAACCCGACTTCCAGTAGTCTCCCTGGATAATTCCCGTTTTTACTCGGCACAGCCCTATCGACCAGTCCCTCTACGAACTTCTCCACCACTTCAAAACTAGTAGCTGTATTCACATCCCCAAGAACCTTCTCTGTCCCCCATTCCAGCCAGAGGAACAGCAAATTAGGCAAGTAAAAGAACCTGCCCACGGCGACGAATGTATCCACGAAAGCACTTGCACTCAATGTTCCTCCACTCTCGGACACTCCATTATAATTCTGTGCGAATAAATGCGTACTCACAGCATCCACAGCCAGACTTCTACACAGATTCAAAATATCCACTTTTCCTTTCTTCTTCTCCGACTCTAATCGAGACACCATACGATCCACACATCCATAAAGCTTGTCCTCATTCTCCTTAATAGCCTTGGTACTGAATAACCCTACCACTGCTTTTGCGCGTGGAGATCTATATTCTGGATCTGTGGTCGAGAAAATGGTTTTGTGGCCGTCAATATCGAAGTTGGCGTAGCATGGAGCTTTTGGAAACCCGCCTTTGGCAATGTAGATTGGATTTATAGCGGCTGGGTCGGAAATGTCTACTTCATATGGAGAGACAAGGAGGATTGGTCCGTAGATCTCATGAAGGTTATCGATGACGGTCGCTTCGTCGCCGATGTAGGAATGATACCAGAGCCATAAAGGAGAGATACGGGCGATGATAGGACCGGGGATATGGGCGAGTGGGTGGAAGTAGACATTGTAGACTACGTGATGGATGAGGAGCACGAAGGAGACTGTGAGCAGTGGGTAAAACAGGGGAGATTGTTGGACATCGGCGATTTTGGATGAAAGGAATTCCATTATGGAGGTTGCTCAATAAAACAATTGAGTATGCAATTGCGATTGAGGAACTGAACTGGTCGTAGAGAAGTAGGCATATTGTGTAATGTTGAAGCTATCTCTATGGTGGGGTTGATCCATGACTCAACCGAACCTGTCAAAGAAACGCGGGGCATTTTAGGGGAGCTCTTCGGTTGAGGAGCACCAATCAAAGCGCTAATATAACAATTCCACAGTATTTACGGGACAGTATCAATGTCTTTGATCGTTAAATTTCTAGAAGAAGATAAGCTTCAATCGAAAATCGCGAGCGATTCATGTCAAATGGTATAACGGAGCTACTGAGTCATATTTGATGTAGGTAGGTGGGATGGTCACTACTCCTAATCAATAGTGTTATCTTTTCTCTCTACATCTGCAAATCAATCAGTCCATTTATTCAATCTTCTAACTTTTGGAGAAATGGGTTTCCTCAAAATATTTGAGGAGTGATGGGTAGGCACCGGGTTAGAGATGAATTCCCCGAACGTCGACAAACTCATCACCAGACTTTGAGATTTTGAAATCGAAAATCGAAAAGACATTATAGCAAGTGCTGCGTTACTGATATTCTGATGCGTAGTAGTTGCACACAAAAACCCCAAAATTAACCTGAATGAGAAAGTTTTGAATTTCGTCTCTCGATAAGCATCCGCTAAAAATTGATTGTTGGATGAGATGGCTAAAAGGAATGGCAAAGGTGATATACCATCAGCTCCAGCAATACGGATGCCAGTGTTAAAATTCCTCGTTATTGTTGCCAGATAAGTTTGTGCTCGACAATCTACCAGATATTGGAAGACGGTGGGTGTGGCTTTGAACCTTTCGGAATATACCATCCACAAGACTGCTTTTTACCTAATTCTCAGCTTCATAAGTTGATAGTAACTCACTGTAGTTGATTCAATGCATGGAATACAAAAGCCAGTCTTTTAACATTATGAATAATGTAAAAATAAGGAGTGGTGAATATTCTTGTTGGCTATCACCTGATGAAGAAGCCACCACAAAATTTCACCAACATATTGTTACACAACGTTTATATTACCCAGTTTGGGACAGCATTTGAGTGTTTTATGCAACCTGCGGTGAAACTAATCCATGCTGTTGTTTCCAACAGTTGCCTCCAACAACAACAACAACAACAACAACAACAACTTCATTCATACAGGCTCCCTGTCGGCGGTTGGGGAAGGTGTTAACTCACCAAGCTGGACAGCCAAAACAACCACGCAATGGAGGACGGTGCTGCAGCAGATCTACCAATGCAAGAGAACGACGAGCTTGTTGCGTTAGTGGTAGGCGGTTGTGGACAATTGGGCTATGGGATCACGAAGGCCCTGCTTAACGACCCTGCATATACGGAGGTTCATGTATTCTCTCGAAACCCAACGATCAACCTTTTGCCGGGAGCAAAATATCACGCTGGCAGTGTTACTGATCGAGAAGGTGTCGAGAAGTTGATCTGCGAAGTCAAACCAACCATAATCTTTCACTGCGCTTCTCCCTCTTACGACAGTGGTAATTCAAAGCCCAAACTTTTCCACGATGTCAATGTGCAGGGTACGAGAAATCTCCTCGATAGCGCTTTGAAAAGTACCTCAACTCGAGCGTTCGTTTACACTTCCAGTTTTACCGTCCATCAGCAGCCGTTCAACTTCACAGAAGAAACAGGGCCATTGGTCAACGAAGCATCAATCGGAAATGCGGACTACTATCCAGCTGCGAAAGCAGCGGCCGACGTACTTGTTTTGGAAGCAAATAATCCAGAAAAGCTTAGTACTTGTTGCCTGCGAATTTCATCACTATTCGGAGAGCGGGACACCGGTGTTGTCACACCAATGATTCGTGCCCTTGAGACAGGACAACAAAAATATCAGATTGGTGATAATAGCGCACTTTACGAGGCGGTATCTGTGAATAACGCTACTACGGCGCATCTATTAGCCGGAAGAGCGCTTCTATATCCAAAAGATGGAACCGGAGCCAGAGTAGATGGAGAAGCATTCCTTATATCCAATGGTAGGCCAGTCCCCTTCTGGGACATATGCCGGAAAGTGTGGAAAGCTTCGGATGAAGAAGCTCGGCTCGACTCAGTGACCGTTGTGCCAACATGGCTGATCATTGGACCTGCTATGGTATTTCAATACATATTCTGGTTCCTTACTTGCGGTACAAGATTGGCCCCGGGAATGCAGCCTTGGGCTGTCAAGATGTTCGCTCGCCCAAACACTATCTCGATTGAGAAAGCTAGAAGAGTGCTTGGCTATGAGCCTGCTGATGATTTGGATGAGACTATTCTTGCTGCTGTTGCCTGGTGTAAGGTCGCGATGGCAGAGACAGCCCCTTAGGCCGAGATTAAATATTTGACTGGAAAACAATTAATCATGTAGAGTTGCTACTTATGTGGCACTTTTTTGGACAGAGAAAAGCATGAGTTCCTATGATCTATACTCTGTGCATAGCTAAGGATATCCACTCGGTTGTCTTGTTTTTGAAAATGACTAGGCGGACTTGAGTTTATTATGGATGCACTTACCTCTTAAAACAAAGGACATACCGTCCATTTCATATGCTTCTTTCTTCCCCAGTAGGTGTTATTCTACGTAGCTAGTGTTATTAATCCTAAACTCATACCAAATCACATAGTTCTCTTTTGGGAATAATCTTCTGGTGAGCACTTCCCTGTTGGTCTCTATCCCACGCCCATCTCTTCCGTAAACCATCTTCCAAATCCCCAGAAATCATGCTGACAACATATTTCCCTATTATGGGGAGGAATTTCCATCCGTGAAAGGAACCTCCAGTCGCAATATAAAGATTTTGGCACCTTGGGTGACTCGAAATTATAAAGTCTTGGTTAGGCGTGATGCCATCCCTTAGTAGAGGGTATCAGCAGAGAGGGAGGGGCTATACCAATTCGGAAGACAGGTAGGTACTTCACTCACCAGCATATCCTAAACGAGTCAAATTGTGAACCTGCCAACTCCGTCCCAAATACCCCCTTCAAAACGCGAGAGCATTCCTCTTTCAGTGTCTCTGACACTTTGTGTTGATTCTGATCGGTCATGTCAGGCGGAGCCGATATTACTTGCCGTGATAGCTCATCCTGTAAACTGTTTTTGAAACTGACGTCCACACAAAATTTCAACAAGCCATCCGCTGTCATTGGGAGGACTTCTCCTAAGCATATATGATGAGCAAATCTAGATCTGTAAAGTGTGGCAGATGCCACTTACCTAAAACTCCAGCCATTGAATGTATAAAAACTGGCGAATTCTTGAATCTTGGCCTTTGTTCGAGAGATAGCCGAATTATTCCAGTCACAACTGCAGCGGCAGTAACTCTGTCCCCTGACTGAAGTTCTGGATGGTTAGACGCGCTACGAGCGAGTAATTTTGCGGTTCCTGCTCCAGTGGACAATATTGTGCTATCGGCAATCATAATCTGAATAAAGGTGTTATTAGTCTTCGATACACGCCGATGTCCAACATAGCGAATGCTTTTGACTCTGTAAAAGCAGTCCTTACTCTACCATCTGCACACTTAACGCCTGCGCAACTTCCACTCTCATTGAAGTAGAGCTGTTCCACGTTTGCCGATACGAATTTGACACCACGAACAGTACTTGCTTCTACTACTGCTTTCACCGCAGCAGTGGCTTCGGCCCAACCACTGACGGGGTTGTAAAATATTTCATCAACCCCTTCGTAATTAGTGTCCGTGAACAAGCCATCGAACTTGAGCTTCAACTCGTCCGGATTGATGATGGAAGCACCTGGGTGTTCGTCAAGATCCTCATAATTCTTCAATATTCTCCTACCAAGACCAGTATCATCAACATTGACCATACCACTCTCGTGATAAAATGAAGAGTACAAAGGGTCTGTTTTCCACAGCTTACGTGCTTCAAGTGCCAATTTGCAGTAGAATGGGTTTCCATAATCTGCGCGTACGATCTTATTGAAGTCGTGTGAAGCGGCCAAAGGGCAAGGGAACTCAATGGATCGATCAAGGACTGTAATTGATGCTTCGGGGTATTTCAAAGATAAGTAGTAGGCTGTACTTATACCAAAGACACCACTTCCAATTATGAGATAAGAACCTTTGGCTGACGGCGGCATATTTCAGATGTCGTCGGCCGTTTGAAAGATTATCCTAGCAAAATAATCGAGGCAGTAAGTGTGAACAAGTTTTCTGAATGTTAGGTTCGTATCACTCATCAACTGATTATATAACTAACAGGAGTCAAATGATTTAACGAACCTTGTGTTGACGGACTCGAGCTCGTAAGGAGGAGGGAGTTCAGGGTGGGGGCAAGCGTGGAGCATGGATTAGGTATGCGCACAGACCATGAAATTCCATATCTTAGCGCAATCGCACTATCAGTAACTTTTTTTGTTTGCAGAGAAAGAAATTCTGTTCCACCACCAAATACCCCAGAATATTCATAATGCCGAAAGCTACAACTCCAGTTGCCGCTGCGCGTCAGGCGAGAAGACATAACCCTTTAGAGGATGATCTTACAGCGTCGGGAGGAATTCTGAAAACTAAAGTAGCAAAGCGCAAATCCAGACATCAGGAAGAGGGCGAACAATTCGTCGATTCAAAAGCTTCCCGAAAGATTTTAAAAATAGGTCAGGAACTCGCAGACGAAGCCAACGAAGAGAATTTAGTACCGAAACCGAATGCTGCTTTCAATTTCGACACAAGGCTCGAGGATGATGAAGTCGAAGAAACATACGAGGAGGCGGAGGCTTGGGGGGACGATGACGAGGAGGTAGAAGAAATTGAACTGGCTCCAGACGACTTGGCAACTTTCAGCAAATTCTTCCCCACTCAGGAAGACCCTTTATTACGACAAGGTTGGGACGGCGAAGCAGATGAGGGCGAAGAAGGTGAAGGGACCAATCTGGCGGATTTAATTTTAGAGAAAATTGCGGCTCATGAAGCGCAACAAGAATCGCAAGGAGGCTCGAGAAATGTGCCTGGGCCCATAGACGAAGATTTTGAGATACCCCCAAAAGTGGTGGAGGTTTACACAAAGTATGATCAGTCTTATCGGTTTGTGAGACGGCAATTGACATGCAATTAGAATCGGCTTAATACTTTCACGATATAAATCTGGCAAACTGCCGAAACCCTTCAAGATTTTACCAACAGTACCGCATTGGGAGGACATTTTACAAATAACCCAACCAGAAAATTGGACGCCCAATGCATGCTACGAAGCAACAAAAATCTTTGTTTCCAGTACGCCAACCACAGCCCAGAAATTTATGGAGATGGTGATCCTAGAGCGCGTTCGCGAGGAAATCTTCGAGACAAAGAAGCTCAACGTACATCTATTCGCGGCGTTAAAAAAGGGACTATACAAACCAGCGGCTTGGTTCAAGGGCTTCTTGTTTCCTTTAGTCGGGAGCGGCACTTGCACATTGAGGGAAGCGCATATTATATCCGGTGTCCTGGTCCGAGTATCTGTTCCTGTATTGCACTCCGCTGCGGCCATCAAGGGCTTGTGTGATATTGCAGCACAAGAGTCCTCTGCTGGGACAGAAGGCGGAGGGGCTACGAACATCTTCATCAAAGCACTGCTTGAGAAGAAATACGCTTTGCCTTTCCAGGTCATTGATGCGCTGGTTTTCCATTTCTTACGATTTCGAAGTGTCGACCCGGCAAGTGTGCGTCCAGAAGATGTAGGAGGAGCAATGGAGGGGCTTTCAGGCGCAGGTGCAAAGGAAACGAAACTTCCCGTCATCTGGCATCAGTGTCTATTAGCCTTCGCTCAGAGATATCGGAATGATATCACAGAAGACCAGCGTGAGGCATTACTGGATTTGCTTTTGACAAAGGGGCATTCTCAGATCGGTCCTGAAGTTCGAAGAGAATTACTTGAGGGAAGAGGTCGCGGAGTTCCTTTAGAGCCTGAACAGACGTTTGGAGATGATACTATGCTAGTTGATTAGTACTCGAATACTATTACAGTATGGAAACCACAAAGTCTTCCTCGTTCCATGGACCACTCACATGTCACTTCAAGCTTTCAGCCACGTTTTAAGCCGGTGCCCTGCAAATGCGCTGCGAATTTACTGGCTGCGCTTCCCATGCCATTGCGTGTCCCCTAAGTGGGCTGAACAGGCACCCGCAAATTTTATGGTGGAAACCACAGCTGCGCCACTGCATAACTTTGCGCTTAGCTAAACGTCTTCCACTCTAACTTTCAATCACCATATCATATCACATTTACATATGAATTGTAGGATCAAAACTTGGTATATACAACAATCAAACTGTTTCGCAGTTTAGTCTGACAAAGCTTGTCGAGCCACATTTCATTCTCGTGAGGACCTCCTTTGTCTTCAGGCACGGTTGCGATTAAGATTGTCACATTTGCGACTTCCAACATCCGAAATGGCGGAAGGAGACCAGACCATCCCTCGAAAGGGATTATCAGAGCCTAGCTACGCAGTTCATCGACCCATAAGCTCCGAAGCTGGACCATCAAATGAAATCAGGATTGATGCTACACAACCCGACCATCGATCTCATACACCTCCGCCTTACTCTGGTCCCGCCTCTCCCCGGTCTGTCTCTCAAACCCCTCAGAATCAAGTATCCTACCCAGGCCTCCCGAAACTCGACTACCGTCTGTACTTACCTCCATCCTTCAAACTCTCAGAAGACAAAAGGACAATTACATCATATGATGGAGTACTCAACACCCAAAGAACCGCGCTGCTCACACTTATTCAAAAACTCGCTTACATCCCACCCAAACCTCAGGTCCGAATTACAGGAACTTCAAACGGAGATGTGGATTTTGACATCAAGTTGAATATCATGAATCTCATCATCCCAGAAGGAGAAAAACAGAGGATGAATTATATCAAAACCATTCCGGATGGAGAAATCGGGCATCGAGGGAAGACTAAGCAGACTGCGGGGCCTTGTTTGGAGGGATTGGAGCAATGGGTCAGGAATTACTGTGAGGATGATGCTTCAATTAAACAGTGAGTAGACCTGTCTCATTCTAAACCACGACCACGTGTTTTCTATGATCTCGAATTTCAACCTCTATCCACCCCACAAGAACACCACCCTAACACACCCAGTTTCGCACTCGACCGCACAATAATAAACTGGGACACAACCCACCTCTCCGGTCTTCTCCTCACGCTCCTAAAATCCATCTCCTACCACGGCAACGTAAACATCACCTTCCCACTCACCCACTCGCGCGTACTCATCCACTCCCCGGACAAAATCAACCACTTCTTCTCCAACGTGACAAAAGTCTTCACAGGTTCCCACCGCTACGAGCCCGTCAAGAGTATCTGGCCCTACGCCAACGTGCCGCGGGGCGAGGAAGGCCGGAAATGTGTCGTTCAGGACGAGGATACCTGGTTTCGGGAGTGGAAGGATGCGATTGGGAATGCGGTTAGGTGTAAGAGGAGGGGGTGGGTGACGGTGGAGGATCGGTTGGAGTTTTTGATGGAGCCGAAGGGGTTGGGGGAGACGGGGAAACAGGGGGAGTGGGGGACGAGTTGAGGTGCTGGGTTGGTTTCTTTTGGGTAGCGGTTGGAGTTGTGGTGTTCTCTGGAGATGTGCTAAGGTCATGTGTCGCCACTGTCGCCGTAGGAAATTCTCTGTCTTGAAATCGTCGTCCACTATATAATCAAACTAATAAGATAACTGTGCTTGACTGTACTTGCTCTCGCGTATTCCCCAATGATTCAAATACATTCAGAGTTGTATCCTTTTTGTGCACCAAATCACAGATATGTGCCATGGTGAAAATCAATGTGAGCTTGAAGGCTTGAAGCGGTGATGGCCCGTCGCTCGATAGAATACTGCTCAGGGGATGGATGGATTTCCAGACTCTCGTATATCCCAGCATAGATTTGGAGGAGAAATTCTGTAATGCAAAAACCCAAAGTTAATTGGATTAAAGATAGGCCATAATTGTTTGTTCCAATTAGTGTTCTCCTATCAATAAAGTCAAACCCGCCTCTTTTTCCCGCAGAAATATTAAACTCCCCTAACACCACCACGCGGAACGCCAAACACACAACCCATTAATCCAGCTAAACCCAAAAATTTATCTTCCAAGCTCCCCCTCAACCATCTTCTCCCACCAATTACCCCAATCCACAACAGTTTTCCCCCTCCTCGCCTCCTCCGCACAAAACACCAAAGCATGACTCCTCACCACCTCCTCAAGGCTACACCCGACCTCCTCCCTCTGCGCCCTCTCCACTTCACACCCCTGATTCTTCACGCGATCAATAGCAAGTATAAACTGTCTCGCTAACCCATCATCACCGCCTCCGTGTCCTCCACCCGCCATATGCGGTTTGTAAATCTTCGTCGCGCCCGTATTGAAGTCTTCGACCGTGATAGTCGTCGAGTCAGCGTATATTTCCCCGTCCGTACCGTAGATATGCGTATACCGCTCGCAAATCTTGCGGGTGTGAGCCACCATGTGGAAGATTGCTGTTTTAGCGCCGCGGCCTTGAAGGGCTTTCTCAGGGTCGGAAAGGGAGGACAGAGGATCGTTTTCCCAAGTTAGGGTGACGGTCTGGTCGTCGCAGACGTCGTTGTCGGCTTCGTAGACACAGCGGCCGAAGTAGTTCTTAGATGATACTTCGGTTGCTGGTGTAGATGTCGTGTAATCTTCTTCGAGCTTAGCTGTGAGAGCGGCTTCACCTCCAGCTTGTCCCTTGATCGAGATGCATTCTTCGATTTCTGGAAGTACGATATCGACTGGCCAATTTGTGTTTCCAGACGCCAGCCCTTTGTGATCTGGACCGAGATAGATTTTCTTAGCTGAGTATTTGCAAGACTTCTCTATTGGACATGATAAGCAATTTGTGGCATCGCCTGCTGCTGTTGGTTTCCGTGATTTATTGAAATACTGGAGGAAACCTGCTGACGACACGGTGGTTGGGATATGAGCAGTTTTATCTGAGTTCGGTGGTGGTGAGCAAAGCAGCCAGAGCAATAAGTCTATGTCATGACATGACTTCGTCAACAGCGAAGGTGCTGTCGTCGACTCTTTCCTCCAATTTCCCCTAATTAAGTCAATACTAAGTCCTAAACCCGTCCCAAGAACAAACTCACCTAACATAACTATGCGTAAAATGCCACCACCCAACCGGCTCCGTATGATTAACACTCAACACATCCCCTACAATCCTCTCCTCCAAAAGCAACTTTCGCAACAACATATTATGCGGACTATACCTCAACACATGTCCAATGGAGAAAATCTTCTTCTGTTTTCCCTCGCTAGGACTCAATGCCTTGTAAATCTTCACACAATCTTCCAGCGTCGTAGCAAGTGGCTTCTCACACATAACATGCAAGTCCAATTCCGCAAGCCCAACTATGACTTCCATATGTTGTTCATCCAAAGTACAAATAAACACCGCATCCACACCCTCCGATACTTCCTCCCCACGAGAAGCCCGCTCACGACGATCGAGTTCGTAAGAGAGGAATGATTTCCAATCATCGAAAGATTGTCCTTCTGAAGGCCCAGATTTGCCCCAGATATACGCTTCTCCCAATCTTTGACGCTTATAGGGGATGGGTTCGGCAACTGCAACAACAATGCCGTTCGTAGATCTGCCAGTTGCTCTCGCATATGCATTTCCTCGTGAGCCGGCGCCGATGATTAGGATTCGTGGTGGGTTCGAGGACATTGGCGGTCGGGGAGGTGCTTCCAGTTGGACCACATCTTGGTCTGCTGGGGAATCTGCGTGTGGTGCCATCGTTTTTAATCAGATGTCTAAACCTGAAAGCGTTAGGATTGAGTATCGAGCAAGCTGTTTATATATTTCAAGATCTTAAAAAAGATGATCAACCTTACCGCACAGCTTCAGCCCTGTGTCTGCCCCTCCGTGGGGTAGCTTGAGTTACGAAAGTTACATGCAACGTTGCAAACCAATTAAGACTCTTGGATTTGATCTATCAGCAGTTTCTAGGCGTCTGCCTCGTACAGTCGTCACTTGTTGCATCCACAATTCAACACAAAGATGGGGTTGCCTGAAACGTTTCCCTCAGTTGTGGTGTTGTCGAGGTGCAGTTGGTGCAGATCTGCCCCGCCAAAAATATATCCTAGGGTCATGGTCGCTAAAATAGGGGGTTCAGCACTGGGCCTTCTTATACCTTCTGTAAGGCAGATAATGGAAATAAACGTCCCAGTATAAGCTAACGGTGGTCAAGCTTCGTGATAGAAGCTCAGTCACCACGAGAGTAATTGAAGAAGGTTCTACAGATCCAAATGTAGAAGACTTACAATTCTGTATAGCAAAAATTAAAAGTGAAGGAAGCAAAAGGTGAGGAAAGCCGACCCAAGTGGGACTCGAACCCACAATCTTTGCCACCGGAAAGCAACGCCTTACCATTAGGCCATCAGGCCTCATCCAATCACTGTTGTAGAAGAAAAAACGGCTTATTTAAAGATATAATGCTTACAAAATTGCAAAATTCGAAAGCTCCACCCACCAGGCACAATATCGGCTCCGGGTAAATTCTACCACTATAATTTAGATTAATGTATGTAATTGATTGTAGAATACTTTTCTTCTTATTTAATTCTCAATTGTTCTATTAACATCGATGTTGTTAGGTCACTTAATTAACTGTAACTTTTCCAGTTTTGATGCCTTAAATGTGAGGCTTGCATGCACCCACAAGAAACCTGCCCTTTTGACTATCGACTCACGGATATTAAGATAAAATAAGACTCTTAAATGAAATTACTCGACTAAGTTATTTTCACTTTACTAGATTTATATTATTCCGGCATTTGACCTTATTTATAATACTTGTCCAATTCCTGATACTGTCTTCTATCTAGCTCACTATAGTTGTGGCTTCTGGTCCAAAAAAAGGACAGTACCTATGTTGTTAAATTTGATCGAGCACTCACTTAGGGAAATCATTAGAACGCTCAACCAGACACTTGTAATTATCATTCTCATGAAGTAGCTGAGTTAGTTTCAATATCACTCCACCATAACGGCATCAACCAATAGTCTACCTATCCATCCACTCTCCCTTGAATAATTATCTCTCGCACAACCACACTCCCATGTTTCCTCTTCCCCATTTCCTCTCCCTTCCCAACTCCATGCCAAAAATAACACCAAAAATCGACAAAAACTCGCTCAATATCATCACCTCTAACCCCATACAAAAAATGCCAGAATAAATAGTCCGGCCAACCGCAAAAAGATATGTCTCGTCGCGCGCGCTACCAGAAAATTTCCATATACAAAGCCTTCCAAGAGGCGGCAAATGCACCCGCTCGCTCGGATGCGGGAAAAACAACGTATGAAGTTCTCGGGAAATGCACCAATACTACCGTCTCATCCGGTAACCCTCCGTACCCAAAGTCCAGTAGGTTCATACACAGCTTCTTTGTCCTTTCGTTTCCACGCTCTATGAAGTCTCAATCCAATCTCTCGAATTTGAAGTGTGACATCCGCTTCCTCCTCTCGTAGTCCTTCAACCTTTTTCTTCTCAATCTCGCGTTTCCGTCGCACATCGTTGGTCAGCGTAATATTATCCGCGGGCATTAATTCTGTCATCTGTCGGATGCTTCTCATAATATTATTCTTCCGATGCTGAAGATCATCGAGTTGAGCTTGTAGTGACGAGACCAGATCCTGCGACTCAACTTCCGCTGGCGTGATAGGTAAGGTTTTCCCCGTCCTGGACGCCCTTTTACTCATGCTGATGAATACTGGAGAAGCCGTACTGACTGCCTTTCGTGTAACACCACCTCGGGGATTGGGACCGACCTTTGGTCTTACTCGGTTGAGAACAGAATCGTCGCTGGTCAAACTTGGAGATCGGTCGGGGCCTGGACCAACCTTTGGTCGAACACGATTGAGAACTGAATCCGGAGATTGACTAACAAAACTTGGGGTTGGTGACGGCAATGGAGGATGTTCGTATGTAGGATCGAAGGTGTCAGTCGAGGGACGTGGAGTACTTCGCGCTTCAGATGTCGCATATGTTGATACACTGAAACGAGAGGCAGGTTGAACATAGGATTGTGGTGGAGGGGCGGCTCTCTTGTAGTGATTATCAACTATCTCTTCTACCGGACTGACGGGAGACTGTTTGGTCTCAACAGGGGACGTCCTGCTGTTTTCGCTTGCCCGGGCATGATCTGCAATTTCGGAATCGAATATAGGAGATGTTGTGGGAGGATCCCTTGATATTTTACTTCGCGGGGTGGCTGTGTAAGAATATTGACTGCTGCCATCGTTATGAGACGACGCAGGGACCTTTTCGATAACGATTCGAGGTTGGGGTGAAGGTGACACAGGGGTGGGCTGTTCAGATATAGGTGAAACAACTCGCTGGGGATCCCTTTTTGGGATATTCAAAGGTTGAACATCGAATTTATCTTCAGGTGTAGGGACAAGCGTTACGCGTCCGCTTGCTCCTTTCCATTGCGGTTTGGCTTCAGGCGCATTGCTTGCCAATTTTCGAACTCTATCGCCAAAAGACACAGGCTTCTTTGCAGCAGCGCTGATGTTTGTATCGTTCCCCAAACGCACTCCCGGTTGAGCATATACAGAGCGCAGACCTGGTGGTGTAAACTCTCCAGGTTTTGTGGTTTGCTTCCGGCCTTTATCCGAGGTAGTTGGCTCTCCAGAATAAGGGTCCCAACTTGGATTTTTCGCTGGCCTATTTCCCCCAGCAACTTGTTTTCGCGCTACAAGATTCGCGGCGGTCTCTGCCACTTGATTACGTCTCTTTTCTCTTCTGAGCACTGGAATACTGCTGGCAGCTGCTCTCGAGTCTTGCTCAGTCCTGCTCTCAGGCCGTTTAACATTAAGTTTCGATATATCCGGCATTTCTTTGTCGATTGGCGAAACTTCGTGAGATATCTGGCCTCTGTATGTTCGTCAGTAAGGCTCCCTCTAAAACCCCGCAGCAGACATGAGAAGAATAGGCGATATGAAAGGGGTGGAAATGGATTGGGTTATTCTGATGCTGTCTCGTTGAAGTCGCCGAACAAGAAATCCAACCCTTACGCCCTGCACTAAACACAGCACATGTTCACTACATGATTTTGAATATTGACATACCGGTGTCTAGCATCGAATTCCGGTGAGCTCGGAGGGGAGACGCCTTCTTCGTAAGGGGATCTATAGGGAGGTGATGTTGGTGAGGTGTACGGTTCTCGTGCAAATCGTGTAATTAAAGGAGCCGGCGACGGCTGGGAGTAGATCGAGGATACAGGTCTAATTTTCGAGCTTGATTGTTTTGGAGGGTTCGGAGGAGCGAGCTCGCTATTGTTTATGTCAGATCATGTCTCAGTATATCTGCAGTGAAGTGCAGAAAGTACAATCGCAATGGAAGGTTGATTGACAATAGCTATTTCACAAAGAACATTTTGGCAAGCCCACGAATGCGCTTGTATTGCTGTGAATACCCAAAAAGAGAGTTCAAACTTACAAAGGTAAACTTGGTAGACCCTTGGAACCCATATCGTCTCGTTGCGGACGAGCAGGAGGGGAGGTTGGACTATGAACCTGAATCCCTAAACCATGGGATCCGCCGTATGAGTTCTCATCGTAGGCAGTTTCCGTATAAGAGGGCTGCTGAGTGCCTTTGGGGTTGTTCAGCCTCTTCCACATCATGCGACCTTATAGTATTGTGTCCCTAAGCTCGCTCGCGTGTGATGATCATCAGGGGGGTTTTCGATGCTTAACCCGAGACTAAAGCACTCTAGGCGCAACCGGCGATATCGATGGTGTCGAATAGCTGCATAAAGGTGGAAAAGGGGTCGAAGGTCTTTCTTAACGAAATTCGAAGATGTGCTCGTCAAATGTTTCTTTCTTTGTGGTCCGAAGGGAGGAGGCTGTGCGAGAGAGGATTGGATCTGGCGATGCGGGTTGAAGTAAACAAGGACAACAGCACTCTTTGTTATTACGACGTCGAAGGGAAAGTGAATCAGCGGAATGTTGCAAATAGTGCGATCGGTCGAAAGAGAAGAGACGATAGAGTGAGTGGTCGCAGACCGCCGCTGTGAATCTGACAGTCCTGCTGCTGACTTGAAGGTTTGCGCTTGGGGAGCTTGAGTTTGGACGAAGGGAACCGCGTTGGCTGGCGAGGGGTCCAGAACCTATCAAACGCGGGTTGTTCTACAGCTATGAAGTACGCGGGTGTTTCTTTACGCAGCGTCAATGTGATGCACTCCGGCGATTGATTCAAATGATTTCTTTTCAATTTTCTTCTTGGGCATTCTCATATACTCGATAAATCGCAAAGGTTGGGGTCTAGGCACTGCCGCAAAAGCATGACCACCTTCTTCATCCCTCTGTGCCTCACTGTCGTGTCGATGCGGTTGGTTATTCAATTTGTTAGCGAACGCGACGTTTTGTTTGATCTCCACCACCCAACTCGTAAACAGGTGGTTGACATCTGACAAAGTATATAAATAGGATTTAAGCTACAACATAACAACTTGGAAATTTATTCTATAATGTCAGCAGGAATCAGGTGTTGAATCTTCTCAATACATCTGGCCATAACTGACGGTACCAGTTGGTAGGATTATTGAATCTTTCCACCAACCTTGGAAGTTCGTACATTTCCCAAACCTCTCATGGCTGGCACTATTGCGACCACTGGCTCGCAAGCCAGGGTTGTACCTGCAGAAGCGCAGCTGCATCGCCCCCCCTTTCATCCCAATGAACACTGGGTCTGAACGCGGACGGTCGTCCCATCTCACCCCCACCGAGGCCACCACCAAGATTGCCCCTCCAACAATGGTCGCAGACCCGCACAGTGCGCATTCCTTGTAAATTATTTTTGCTATTGTGATGCTGCTTTTGATATAGAAATATCCGCCCTTTCACTGATTCATGGTTATTGCTTTGAAAACGCCCCAATGCGTGAATAGTCGGGCCCATAACGCCTAAATCAAAGAATGTCCCAAATCCTAAACTCCCCCATCAAAAACATGAAAACTCACTTTCGTCACTCATATCGATGATAGTTCTCGAGGACCTCCATCCTCATGCGCCTCTTCGGAGCTTTCCTTCCAGTCATTAACTCGAATTGTGCGATCGCTTGCTCAGGTAGAACCTCAAGTCCGTCAACAATCACCCACGCTTGTTGGGTTTCCTCTCGTACCATGCGAATTTGCTTCAACAATGGCGTATCGAGTGGTAGATATGCTAACTAAACCCAATTAGCTTAAATCATGAAACACAGCACTGGACGTACCTCAACAACAACACCTCCGCTGGGACTTTGAAGCCATTGTAAAGGCATCTCGAAGTTTGCTGGTGCTTCATCATTTACACTTCGAGCGGGGACACACGAAACGATAATCGTTGGTTGTCTGAATCCCGTTGGCCATTCTTCTCGAGCGGATCTCAAGACATGGACAACTTTACCGTCACTGCTCAGTCCTGATGCCCAGGCATTGAAATGAAGAGCAACTTCTTCTGCATGCTCAACTGTACGGTTGAAGAGAAAAATCTTTCTGCAGCCTAGTTGTATTAAGGCGTATATTGCTGCCCGAGCCATACCTCCTGCACCAATCACAAGTCCTGTCGTTTTTGACGGCTGAACGACATTTCTTGGGGAAATGTTGCGACGGATACAAGTCATGATACCAATGAAATCCGTGTTGTCGCCATAGTAAGCAACAATGCGACCAGCTTTACCTCTTTGATTTGCTTGTCGAAGGAGAGAATGCATGCTTCCATCGAGGGACTGATGGTTTGAAAGCAACCGCAGTGGTAACAGCGTATTGATAGCTCCGATAGCCTTTGCATGATAACTTTTCGCAGCAATTCTGCTCATTGTTTGGACCTTGAATGGCTGAGTGATTGCTGCCCCACCGAAAGATGGATCCTGGCAGATTTGTTGGATGTGTTCAAGTGAAGACACTTGAAGTGATCGAAAATCGTTATCCATACCGCACACTCGATAAGCTGCCATGTGCATGGCAGGAGACAGACTGTAGAACACACTCGCGCCTAAATGAAAGAAATGAAGCGGATCAAGAATCCTAGACTGATATAGCGCTTGAACAGCTTCAGCGGCTGTTGGAAGGAACTGACGCACTTTGGCTTTACTTATGGTGGTCTGCATGAGGGGATGTGTGACTGGAGTGAAAATTCGATTGGCAATCAGAGAAGGTCGTCCATGTTCTCCCAGATTGTATGCAATCACCGGTAATCTATCCGGAATATATTCAACCTTTTTCAAAAAGTCCCGGACGGTGTCGTTGTCGCTTGGTTTCGAAGTTGCACGAACGAAGCGTACAATATGACATCCCAACGACTGAGCTTTCCGGTATTGGATCATGCGATTGTCGTCATCCCATCCCCAAGAATTTTCTTCTCGTGCCAAATAATGACCGATAATCTTGGTAGGACCTGCAGAGCGAACAAGATGAGCAACACGATCCGAAGAATATTTGAGATCCGCCACCAGGTATTCGACTCCAAGACGTAGCCCACATTCGAGAAGCTCAAAATAAGCACGCTCTTTTTCTACCGTCGAGAGCGACGACTCGCCAAAAACATAATCCTCAACGTGAAAGATGATAGGTACACCGAGTTTTCGTCTGATGTTTGCAACTTGCTTCGACATAATGGTCTGAAGATCAGCTGACCACATATCGATTTTGAGTTGTACAGCATCAGCTCCAGCTTCGAGTTGGTCCAAGTCCAGATCAGGAATTGTTGATAAACGGAGAGATAAAGCGTAGGTGTGAGATCTGCACTCTGGAGGCAGAGCTGCTATCGAAAATGGGCTTTCTAAGCTCGTTCGAATCACACCTTGTCCAGTTAAGAAATCCAAGAAATTGGAAAAGTCCTCCTTGACATATTTCAATCGCGAAGAATTACTTCCAAGCCCGTTCTCGGGGGGAGTGTCAATGCCATCACAGCTAGGGTCGTAGAGGTTGTAGTATTCCAGGTTGGAGCAACTCCTGTGAGACATATCTGCGGTCTCCAGACGAGCAGATTCTTCATCACTGAGCCGAAGTAAAGAGCGTATTCTGTGCTTCGCTCTCGTGACATATATGACTGGATTTGTCTTTGAAAATTCTCGAAGAGCTTTTTGAGCCTGGTTCGAGAGACTGCCCATCCCGCACTCAATGATACATCCGGTGCGGTGTTCTTCCAGCATCTGCCTCAATACCTCCACATTCCTGCGATAAAATTCACGGTTTCCATACCGTCGAAGAAAGTCACCACGGGAGATGCCCGTTGCTTGTTGAAAGAAATAATCCTCTGTCACCAGGCGCCGACCTAGATGAGTTGCCCCAATAAATCCCAACGTTCTCTTTCCAGCTCCGCGCGATCCAATGAGAACAATCGATGCGGTGGAAGGGAATTGTCTTGTGGTGGGTGTTTGCGGCCTAGAGTCCAGTTTCAGAGTCGAGCCCACCATAGGCGACTCGAGTTGCGTTTCCACCGCCATCTTCACGTTCCGAGACGTATATGTTTGTATATGCTTCCATTAACACCCATCAGACTCACTGAGAGCTGATCACGACTGACGACTGAGTGAGCCGGATTGATGATGTTGGGTTGTATTGAAAACTGTTGTGACAGCAACGTAGATCTTTGTCGAAGACACAGAATTGTCCAACAAAGGTTCGTACATTGTAAGTCAGCGGGCTCGACACGTTTCCAGAGCCGTCGACGTCGAGGACCGAAAAGTAGCACCAGGCGCCGCTTCATGATGCATCGTGGTTGGTTACAATGGCAAGAAGTTCAATCCAATACTTAGATTGTCTTACTATGATTGGCTAATTTTCGAGATCCGTTCCCCGCCGAGGCGGTTTCACGACGCTTGTTTAAGGATTGAAATGTCGCGCTAGCGGGTGAAGACTTTTCCGCCTCAACTGCTTCCCCACGGGGAAGTAGATTCGACTTAGGCTTGTTCTATCTTCCATTCCGTCTCGATGGGTTGCAGCATCGGTCTCGAAAAACGTCTGATTTAGCCAATATATTGAACATTTGTTATTACTTTAAATTGAATTGATGTTGGACATTTTCGAGGTCATACCCAAACACTCTAACTGCGACATCACACTCCGACATCACACTCCTTCAGCAACAGTTTCACGAATAGACACCAAGAGAGCTACGCCAGTGAAGGCATAGATGTGATAGCCAGAAGTCAAATTTTCACCCGTAACGACAACCAGAAAAAAACGCGAGATTGTATGGACCTGGCTCGTCAATCGGCGGCGGGTGTGGTAACGTGGTCCGCATGAGCGTCCTGTCGATTGAGCCCATGGGGCAATTTAAACGCTTTATAGAGGCAGAGGAATGGCAAATTTACCAAAAATGGACCAGAAGTCGCCGCCGATAGAGGAGGAAGATGGCTTGAAAGGAAAAAAGTCCAAACAGGGCCCAAGAAAGCGAGTCTCCCAGGCTTGTGACAAGTACGTCAACGAAAAAATAACTTCCCCCTCAAGGTCTCAGAATTACCCTCCGCCATCATTCTAAAATACATGTTCCTTGTTTCAGAGAATGAGAGCAAGTGTAATGGAATATGGCGGAACAAGTTCTGTTACCCCCCTCCCGGTTCAGTTTGCCCTGCTTGTCGGGAGCTGACGTGTGGCAGATGCCGCAGCCGAAAAGACAAGTGCGATGGAGCAAAGCCAGCTTGTTCGACCTGTGTCGCAAATGGCCGCGCTTGCTCTTACGACGCGAATGTGAAAAAGCGCGGCTTGCCAGAAGGGTATGTACGGGGCTTAGAGAAGTTGTGGGGGCTGGCCATTCGGGATGTGGATAAAATCGAAGACAACATGCTCGAAGCCATCACTCGTAAAAATGGAGACCAGCAGGACTGGAATGATGAAGCTGGCTCTGAAAGTTTGGTGAAGTTGTGGAGAAAGTCACAGCTTTCGCAGGAACTAGAGCGGGTACTTTCATCCATTGAAACTGTCGCAGAAAGTGGTAAAAGAAAACGGTGCGTCCAATGTTCCTTTGTCAAAATAACGGCACTGTGTCCGAAGAGATCAAGCAAGCTACCAGACTCTGCAAATGCATACTGGCTTGTTTTACCAACATATCTCTATAGCATATATGGATGTGTGATGCTTTCATATATTGCAAATATCTCAAAAAAATCGAATACACAGAACCAAAACGGCAATGGGATGTTGTTACCCCTCCTAGGTTTTGAAGTCTGTGAAGTCTGTGGGCAAACTTTGCTACCTTGCATGTTACCTGTCGGCTTCTGAAGAGTTCTTACTTTGACTTACTGGTGCTCTCATCGTCTGTATTTCGCGAAATGGACGGCAGCTCCCCTTCTAATGTGTTCTTTGTTTTACTTCAGCTCTCATCATCCAATTTGCTCTAATCGCAAGAAGCTAACGTTCTAATTAGACTTGACTCCGATGCGCAACCCGACCGGCAAGGGCTTGGTACAGACTTTGGTGGATCTCTACCGGCTGAAATAGATAGAATAGATGCCTTGAAACTGAAAGTATGAAAGCGTTATCTGCTCAGTGTACAAGCTGACTCTTCTTATCTAGACTGACACAGTCACGACTCAGATCATTCCTGAAGGCAACGGGCATCGATCAATTCTTACACCTGCTGAAGGGGCACTTGATAGGATTCCAGATCTTCCATCGGAGACTTGGCACCTTTTAGACGTTTACTTTTCTTACACTCATCCTTGGCTGCCAATAATCGAAAAGCACGATCTTTTACGAACTTCTTACCAATACTCACAAAACCAGAATTCGGGTTGCGCTTCTGGAGACCACGCTGTGTTATGGGCTGTAATTGCTTACTCGAAGTTTCAACACAGAGCCATAAATAATATACCCCGAGCTCAGGGCTCTGTTCGTGATGTGGTGTGGACAGCGGAAAGAATGTACGCTCACGCAAGAACACTAATCCCTAACGAGGAAGGTATCTTTGAACTCGGCCACCTCCAGGCCCTACTCATTCTGACGTTGGCAAACATTGGAATGGGTTATTTAAGTCGTGCCTGGATACTTGTCGGTAACGCAGTACGAGCTGCTTTAAATCTACAACTTCATAAGTGGCCCGAGCCTACATCAAATGAGTATAGACCAAAATCTCGAGCGAAACACATATTCCTTGGCTGTTTCGTTCTTGACACCATTATTGCCGCCCGCTTAGGACATCGGCCACATCTCAGAGCTGATGACGCTAGTGAGGTCGGGTTAATTGATGAAGATGGCCTCGAAGAATGGGATCCTTGGACTGACTCTTTGTCGGTTCGGAAGACGTATCTTGCTAGTTCGCGAGTACCGTCCTCGATTTTGAGCACTTTCAACCGACTTGTTCAAGTCCTTCAAGTGTTAAGCGAAGCCATTTGTGCGCCCAGTGATGACCGGTCTCTACAAATAAGCACGGGTCTGCTCGAAAGACTCCACGTCTTCAGTAGATCACAGTCTCCACCGCTTTATTTCGATTCTTCCTCGGCGAATAGTGAGCAAGCTTTGTCTCTGCTCCCTCACCAATACCACCTACATTTTACATATTTTACAACACTAGCATTTTCTCAGATGCTTGCGCATAATCAGAGACAAGATGCATTGAGCCTAGAAACTCCTTTGAGAACAGCTCGGCACATCTCTGAGCTACTCAAGAGGCATTCTGGCATATATGGGCTGCTGATTGTTCCTCCGACGTATGAGTACTTTATAAAGAGTGCATATGATATTGTTAGTGAGGTCCAGAGCAGTATTGACCATACTCATGTTACTTTCAACGATTGGAAGCACGATTTGGATGTGTGCTTGGATGAGATGGAAAATTCCTGGACAACTTTCGAGTCCCTTCGAGATGAAGTTTCCCGACAATTCCCCACCCGACGCCGGCGAGAGAGTGAGGTAGCTTTTGATCTAATCAATGGTATGAATCAACAACAACCGCAGCCAGATACGCCGATGTCCGCACAAACTCCTCAAAGTTCTCACATGTCAGGACCATACAGCCCAAATCCGTTTTCGGGACAAAGTCACAACTCCATGAACACTCTACGACCGCGAACTTTGAGCCATACGATGGGAATGCCACCCTCTACATTACATCGGTCTCAATCATTTGGTAGAACAACTCATGGTCTACCACAGCCTCCTAGCATGTACCAGAATGCTCACGCGGTTCTTATTAACAGAGGTGATCAGCCACAGGCAGCAGCGGCAAGAAGTGGCGGCTCCCAAGTGGTAAGTTTTGTCCCAAGCTCATTCTCAAGTCCCGTGTCCTTATTGTACTGTTTGATACCAGAATACTGATTATTCTCTAGGCTCCTCGATTGAATTTGGCAGTGGAGTCACCACTCGACCCACAGTTCGCGAGCAACCTCTCCGCTATCTCTGACAACGACACAGACCCCTTAGCAAACGAATTCGCTGCTCTCGATGCCATGGAATGGACCGGCAACTGGGATCAGAGTCTACTCAATCTCGGTTTCACCGACCGAGACAACATGAATCAAGACTTTTACACCTTTTGTCAAGAACCTGATCCTTTGCACCCGAATACCGTCTTTCAACAGTTGGTTGCAAACTCTAATGCGGAGGTTACGGACTTTTTCGATGGTTCGGGATTGGGATTGGGTGCATCGGTTGGCGCTTTTGGGATGGGCTTGATAGATGAGCATGAGGGTATTGAGGCTAGTCAGATATTACAGTCGTTGAGTGCGGCGGAAGATGAGAGAGCGGGACGAGTGTTGAATTAATGTGTATATTCAGAATATAATGTGAAATAGCTAGAATCATATCATACCCTGTGGCAGTGGGTGAAATTTGTGGCAATTAAAATGCTGTATGCATCAGGTCGATCAATTGACACAATATCATACGTTTTGGCTATTGTGCTGTGTAAATAGAGGATCTTTAAACACTAAGTCTGATGAGGAAATCAAATCGAGGAATCGATTGCAAGTTTAGTAACATTTGTCTCATTTACCAAAGCCTTACTTTGACGTTCCTGGCAATCAATACATAACCTGTAGGAAGAAGAACGGCTGAGGAGGGGTCATTAATGGGGGAAGAACCAGTCAATTCCTGCGCGGTCTTCCTCCATGTCAACCTCTTGCTTGTCAGAACAAGACACAAGATAAGCATTTTGAACAATCAAAATACTAAGATGAAGTTTACATGATTGGTGTAGGAGAATACCAAGTATGCAGACTGAGTCTGGGCAAAGGTGGTTGGTTGAAGAAACCAGTTTTTGGACGATGCGGGATGGAATCTTGATAGCGAACAGCAATTCGACGTCATGAACTATGAAGTTCTAGAGTGTATATAATCCAAAAGCAGATTCCCAAATTTAATTACACCTAAGACATTTTTAACGTTCTCCAAAACTTTCAATCAGACGTCTTATCAATATCAAATCTTCGACAAGTTCAGGAATTACCATCGAATCGGCAACATGCCAGAAACATACATCATCGTTTCAATCGTCGTCGCTCTCGTGACCGTCGCGCTTACAGCTGCTTATATGACTGGAGCACTTGATCCTGTGATCAAGGAGATGGGAGTTCTGTTCTTCAAGGCTAAGGCTGAGGCGGAGGCAAAGAAGATGCAAGCTCAAGGCATGAAAGAAGGAGAGGACTTTTTCAAAGGTATGTGTCTTATCTTGTTATTTTTTGATAACGAAATTTCTTTCTGCAAAAGGGTTGTTCGAGCGCTAATGCCTTACGCAGATCAACTCAAAGGCAACAAACAGGCTTCGGATGTCGCTGATAATTTTGGGAAAGTTGGAGGTGGACTTGGTGGATTGAAAGTTGGATTGTGAAAAGGTTCTATGCGATACTAGAAATGAATTGTATGAATCATGGTTGGGTACGAGCGCGATATGAACGACGAAGTAACGATCTTGGAAACGAAAACGCAAAATGCCTTCAACGACGTAATGAAAGTGTGGGGAAACGGGAGTTCGTCCCATTTGGGAAATCCTATCTGATTTCCTGCCTCGAAAGGACTGTGCTCAGAGCCGGGACGGGACGATATCTTGGTGTTTTGGAGGGGCAGAGTTCGAAGGGAGGAACGAGCACGGAACATGTTGTTGGAGCGCTCGAATATAACAGAAAGATGTCGTCGTGTAATCAATCGAATACAATTGTACTAACAACTTTTAAGGCTGTATTCTTTCTCAAAAAACGTGAAGGATAACGGTGGTGTAACTGTAGCGTCCCGCCATGTATAGACTAATTGCGCCGGGGCTGTAAACGCGTGTATCTTTCGTACTGCCCTATCTTTGTACGCTTTCGGGAACATGGCTCTATCTAGAATTCCCCTTGCAACTCCTGCCTATATTCGTAATAAGGATACGTAGACTCTATTGTTCACAAATCAGAGAAATCTAAACTCAGCTCACGTAACTGGAAAGAATTGTATTGCAAATCCATCGTGATTACTGTATGAATGTATGAAAAATCACAGCGGATAAATGGACTGGGCCAGTCGTGAAGCTGGTCGAGCTCCCCAGACGCCGTCCCTCACCGGTGACATCAGAACGTATCTAGGTAATCCCGGCCATTCCGTTTTCAGTGTACTCACTAGATCCTTATCTGTGTCCGGTTAAGGGTTGGATTGGTCGGATGTGTGAGAACCATAGAATGCTCATTTCGGAGGCTTATTGAAGCTCCTGTACTGGTCGGCCTCCCCAGATTTTGAAGACCGAGCACAAGAAGTCTCGAAAACCTCATTTTAAAACAGTAGATCACCAATTTAAGCCCTACAATCTCATCGAATCCGTATCGTGCTATAGGTTAGAATCTGATCCACCGGACAGAGATATGGATCTAGTGAGTAGAAGAGGGAGCAAGGTCTCAATTTTATTGAGTCCCAGTCTCAGCCTCACCGATAACCTCCGAAGTGACTAAGTCTTTTGCGTTGTCTTTTCTCTTTTGTCTTTCCTTCTGCCATTGAATTATCGAATTCCCTCTCCCAATCTCCTCGCGATACGTTTACAATATACGCTCTCAATTGTCGCGATTCAATCGCACTTCCAAACGTGGACCCAATTGGAATACGACTTCGTGTGTCCCTTGTACACATCATCGACCAACACGAGGTTCCTACGTCAACCGCTTGCGCATCGCATCGCATCCCCAGAACATCCGGCCGCCCTTCTCTTTCCCCGCCATCCCGACTCTCGCTGAGAAAACAGCCTGAATTTGTGTCGAATGAGCTGCCAAAATGCAGAGGGTCACCTCTATCCTGCCCTCGTGGGACAAAACGAAGACGGGCAGTAAGAAAGGGTTTGACAAGGCGTGGGCGTGGGCGGACAAGCGTAGGTTCCAGACTCGTGGGAGATGGAATCGAAATTGACGGTTTTTAGTTGGTGCGCCCGTTAATCGACTCTCGAACAAGATCGGCTCCGAAGCATTCTGGCCTACAACGCTCGACAAGGAATCAGACAAAGCGGCCAGAATTCTGAGATCATTCTGCAGTATGTGTATACAGATGTTTGGTTGCGTGGGTCAATTGCTAATGCCATGCGATTTTAGAGGATGGGTTTTACGAAGAAGAAGACCGGGTCCAGGCGATGGATACACCGAAAGGCAAACAAAGAGTCCTGAAAAAGATACCCGAGAAAGTAATACAAAATGCGGTCGGTTTGGCGATATTCACCACGATGCGAACGGGCTTATGGGTTTCGGGCGCAGGAGGTTCGGGAATCTTGATTGCACGGCAAGAAAACGGGGAATGGTCGCCCCCAAGTGGAATCCTCCTGCACACGGCAGGTCTAGGATTTCTAGTCGGTGTCGATATATACGATTGCGTACTGGTCATCAATAACCGAAAGGCTCTCGAATCATTTACTCATGTAAGAGCAACAATAGGTGGTGAGATAAGTGCAGTTGCAGGCCCTGTGGGGGCTGGTGGAGTTCTCGAGAACGATGGAAAATGGAAGCAGGCAAAGTACGTTGCACCAATTGATTTATTTCTTTCAAAAATATCTCCGCTATGCGCTCCTGCTAATCTTTAACAGTCGCCCGGTATTCACATATTTGAAGTCTCGAGGATTCTATGCGGGAGTACAGGTTGATGGAACGGTAATAATAGAAAGGACGGACGAGAATGAGCGCTTTTACGGACAAAGGATTGGCGTAGCCGATATTTTAGCTGGAAAGGCCCGACATCCACCTTACGAAATAAAGATGCTCATGGAAACGGTCAAAGCCGCAGAAGGCCGAAACGACGTCGACCGAGTAATGATGGAGGAGCTTGAAGATCAACCTGCGCCCGGAGATGTTGATGTAATGTCGCCTACAACAGCAAGTGGGCCATCCTTTGGTCTCCCAGAACCAGATGATCCAGATCCATTTGGCGTTCTCGCGTTAGAGGCAGCGGGGTTAGAGATCAGAGAAGCAGGAACAAAGAGTCGACCAGCAAGTTCTCAATTCGAATATAATCCAAGCCCAACGAGTCCGGCTTTCAGCAGGTTTCACCGCAGGAGTATGGATACACTAGGGACGAGTAGTAACCGAGAGAGCTACATCTCTACCAGGAGCAATCGCACAAGGACGAGCACAGATCGCTATACACAGATGTCGGAAATGGGTACACAGACTGATTTCGATACACCAGGCACAAGCCCGAGTCACACAGATGAACACAAACGAATAATAGAGGAAGACGAAACTCCCATCGAGAAAGAAGTAGTTAAAACGCCCGAAGAAATCGATTATACCAAGATGGATCTCGGGCCCTATAGCAACCCCAATCGTAGCGAGGAATTCGATGGCACGACGGTAAACGACAGTATCAACGATAGCCCAAGAGAACTCGACAACAATGATGCAGTTCCCATTTCCATCGACTCCAGCTTCGTCACAGATGACGAAGACGACCTCGACGAGGAAGAGCCAGTCATCTTCGAAGCCGCCCAGGCTCAGGCGACGATCGTTACACCCACCGCCATCAAAGCCCGCGGCGGTCTCGTCAACATCCCAAAACGCCCTCCTCCACCTCCTCTTCCCCCACGAAGTATGGCACGCTCGAGTAGAAATCTGATGGTCGACCAGGCGTCCGGTCGTAGCCCGTTGAAATCCGAGTTTGAAGAGGTGGAATTACATGGGTCGCCGAGAAGAAGCGTCGAGTCGAGAGCGGAATCACCGTTGAAGAATCCGTGGGAGGACCTAGAGACCCCGGAGACTGTAAAGGTTGAGAAAATTGATATCGTTGCTCCGATTGAAGAGAAAGATATAGTTGTTCCTGAGAAGGAAACGAAAGGAGTCGTCATTCCAGAAGTTGTTCACCACGAGCCAGAAGTAAAGAGGGAATCGAAGGTTCCTGGGGGATTTGACGATTATTAAATCTCGCCATATACGAAGGGGAGTATACATCCGAGAACAAGATACATCAAGAGGGGATGGCTCGAATTCGAATGTACCACTATTTTCAATCAAACCCACGAGCAAAGCGGGATTTAGGCTAGGCGGGCAGGCAAATAGGCGTATTCAGGTGTTAGGACATATCATGTTTAGGTATATTATATCACGTTACATTACATAACTTTTAAAGTATAAAAGTAATATTCGATGGTGGACGACTAGGACGGGGGGTTCATGATAGAGATGGAATGGAATGGATGGAACTCATGTTGGATATAACACTTAGTTTAATGAATTGGAAGGAGTGTAAATGAATTGTGAATTTGAGAGTATTTTATTTCCGTGGTTTTCGTTTCCAATCGTGAGAGCAAGTGTTCCCCTTTCTAGTGTACAGTTTTTGACATATTGATGATGGCTATTCCATGTTTGTGTTTGGAAGTAACAAGCTTTTGTGCTTTATCCTACAAGCAGTAAGTACTTGAAATCAGTACAGTATGTATACTATACCATTGAAATGGGCCAGCTGACATTTCAACATCCTTCCTTTCCTCGTCTTTTCCCCATTTTGTGCTTGAACTGACTTAATTCAGGTTTATAAAGTCATGGCCAAATGAAAGTGCTTGATGTACGTCTGAACCTGAGGACGAGTTTTCGTGAAGAGTATCAATAGTTTTCTGGTCTTCAATGGCTTGCTTTAGACCTTGCTCGATGAGGCTTGCGAAAGGACGTTTCTCGGTTGATGGTACGAAAGGTACCGGTGGTACATTTTGATCTGTGACGGACAGCAGTTCGCGATCTTCGATGGCTTGTTTTAGACCTTGCTCAAGAACGCCCGCGAAAGGATTTTTCTGGGTTGTTGTTGGTGCTGGTGGTATATTCTGGTCTGTAACGGACAGAATTTCACGATCGTCTCGTTTTACAGGCAGTTGAGGTGGCAACGTCGTCGAGCTTGTCTGAGCTGGGAGGGTTGCGCGTGTGAGGAGCTTCCGCACTGTTGTATTCTTCGGCCGTTCATCCTCGGTGTCGCTCGTCAAGTCAATTATCTGGTCTTTACTGCTGCTATTAGTCTTCTCTTGATCTTCCTCGTCCGAAAGTGCTGTCAGGTCAATCGTGAAAGATCCTGCTGGAAGCGACTTTGATACTCTCTTCGGTTTCCTCGTGACAGAAGGCTGCGTATCTTTGCTGCGACAAGCGCGAGGAGATTGGCTTCTTCGCCTTATTTGCGTAGTCCTTTCGTTGCTTCTAGATCGGTATGACCTTTGCGACACCTCAATTGTCTGCACATATCTCGGTGCAAGTGAGCGTCCTGGGAACTTGAAATCCGCGAATTCGTTCAAAGGCTTTTCGATAATATTCTGTAGCTTATCCAAATCACCTCCATGCAGCTCCAGCTCGATTGACCTCAACTTGTTCCGTCTAAGATCATCACGAAGTACGGAGGCAAGCGTCACAGCATCTTCGATCATATACTTCAAGCCTTCCATCTCAGTCTGAAGCCTGTGTACAGCAGAATGCCGAACTGAAAACATATTGTTAGAAGAAATAGTGGTTGTAGGTGAAGTGTAGTGTAGGAGATAGCTTCTGGCGATCGCGCACTCGACGGGACAATAGACAGATCTAGCGCACAAAGAAAAATGTAGTAGACTTACCTGTATGTAACCGAGTAAACAGCGCATTCATATTCAGACCAGGGCTTACTTTCACAAAATGTGCTGGAATCCTCGACCCTCTGATCACGCCCCACCATTGATTGAACTCTCCAGCTTCAGGAGTGTCCCATCCTTGAGCGCGAAGTAGATCTGGACAATGGCGTTCTGCGAAATAGAAACAAGCCTCCTCCAGAAGTCGTTGTATAGTATTATAGAATATATGCTGAATCTTGAATGGCAGGAAGGTAGGGTTTGGAGGAACCGGAAGAGGGTCTACGTAAGGGTTGTGTTGGGAACTTCCGTGTCTCTTTGTTGGCCCTGTTAAGGGTTGTAACCTTGAGAGCGGAAGCGACGACACCATGTTTCCCTAAGATCTGAGTTAATAAGTATAGTCATTGAGGATTCGTGTAGTGTGAGATATGATCTTAAGACATACCAAATACCAGCAGGTGGGAGAGTCAGCAATTGGCAGCGCGACGAATTGTCGAAATTATGGATGTTGTGGCGGGAAGCGTGTTTTCGTCAAATGCGAGAGTACCTAGGTATGTTGTGATAACGTCGTTCCTTCCCTCTCTGACTTTGTTTACAATCTACTACCTAGGTAGCTCTGAAGGTCGCCCGCGTCACTACCAAGCCATAACATCACAGCGGCAAAACACCACCCACATGTATCCATTTGATAAACATGAAACTAATGTCCTGTGTGTAGACCGTACTTCTTGCATCTTTCTTTGGCGATGATTCGAAACGTGGGTTTCCTGAAGTCCTGACCTCACCATTCACTGCGAACCTAGGCGACCTACCTGAAGCAGAAGCGGCTCCGACTGCAAGCGAATGAAGAAGCGTCATTCTTCTCGATACGCTTGATTTCAAACGAAATCTGGATGGCGACGGTTTGGAAGCTGGCAGTTTACAGCTGCAAGTCTCAGGCATATTCAATATTAAACATGTCACTGAAATTCATATCTATACTGTGAAACGTGATATCTCTGAAGCAAAAGTTACTAGGAGCAGAGGTTTCTTCAAAGCAATGATCCGTACCAATCTGTCAACCTACAGTTGAGATGCCTCCTTTGGCCCAGATCAAACCCCAGCATAGTGACTGCTGTCACTTCAAACTCTGGCTTTAATGAACCACTTGATCAGAACCTGGTCTTTCTTCACAAGTACCGAACCTGGTTACTGCTACCTGTGGGAATTTGGAGTGTAGTTAGCAAGGTGCGTGTTAAACGGTGTACAATAACCACTCCCAGTTGTGCTACCAATGCATGACTGATGGAATCATTTACTGTAGGCATGGTTCGACTTTTTGGACAGAATTTTACCAGTATACTAGCCAAGCGACGCAGTCGAACGCCACGAACAATAGCGTTTTCACCTGGCTTTCCTGGATTATTTCTCGTTGCGATTAGCCTTATTGAAATATGCAAAGCCTCGTTCCTCTAGTCACCAACTCGAGATTCATTGCGCCGATACACGTTATCGCCAGAACAGCAAATTCCTGCCAAGTTTTGACAATCTTATCTCTTTTGTCAGCAGCTTGACGAGGATACTCATGTGGCTCAAGATGGTGAAACGGCCGTAATGCATGATCACAAAAGCATGTGCTTTTCCATCAAAATTTTTCTTATCTCAAATGCATAGCTGGGGAAGGTACCGGCTCATGAGGAGACGCCGTACGCGTAATTGCGGAACACTGGACGTCTCTCAGTAACGATATCTCACCAAGACCGCTATTCGCCTATCCGCGCCCTTAACATCAAAAGACCTTTGGCATCGTGGCATACACATTCTCGGCCCTGGCCGCATCCACTCCTGCACACCCGCCAGAGAGTTCGAGTTGTGTATACGTTCGGAGAAGCTTTGCCAAGAGTCAAATAGCCACCTCCAGCTTCGAAAGCTTTGTATCTGAAGTTGTGGTAACGCCTTGAGGAACCTGCGCTTAATAAGAACGTCACTGCCACTGTCGGATTTGTCAATCTCGTGGAAAGCCATTTCTTTTTGTATTTGGAATGCCTGATTCTTGTTTTGGCTATTTGGCTAAAGGACGACTGCTATACGCCACCAGCAGCTTGGGAAACTGGGAGAGCATATGGGGTGCGGAAAGAAAATTACCGCAGCGATTGATGTGGTTGGAGAAACGAACCTGGCATATCTGGGTATGAGATGTGGTCGTCCCTTGCTCACAAGCAGCCCCACTTTGAAATAGCAACGTCAGCTTAAGGTTATGTTGGCCCTCTTAATGCGGCAGGAGGAGGACTCACCGACGCTGGCAAATCAAAGCTGCTTTCGCTTAAACATCTTCAACAGGAAACCATGCCGATGATTCCATCATCGTTTGCTTTACATGCTACATTTTCCGTCGAATCCACGGATTCATATCTCTTTGACCCCTGGGCTAATCATCAACCATCCTGCATTTTGGGCTGCCAAACCTGGTTCCCATGTCAGATCTCGATGCCATTATTGTGGAGGAGATAGACAGACATGAGCGACGAATTGTCTATCGCGCCAGACTGTATCGAAAAGGCACAACATACAAACCTGCGGATGGACATTTATGAAGCGCACCAAGCAAGTGCCTTACCAGAGATGGTTTGGAGCTGTGAAGCTTTCCTCGCTTCCAAATAACTGTGCTGCCAGACAGACAGTTCGCGCCAAGCAAGCAAGGATCGCACAGCAAGACACAGACCGCTCAGAAGTTGAAGTCCGTCAAATGAAAGTAAGCTGTGTTGGCCTCGCGGTGGTACGAAAGTACAAAGGCGCCACGAAAGTCACAAGCCGTCGAGATCAGGTCCGGGACGTCGTGCGAAGCAGCTTCGAGTGGGGTCGCTAGAGCCCCGCTAAATGGCACAAACGTCTCGATTCGAATAATGGCTGTTTAAAAGCTTGTCTTATCAGATTTGAACCTTCTCAATTATGATCTGAGCTGGGGAGACAAACTTGGCAGCGGCACTTGGCGGCTGAGTCTGGCTGCGTCGTCTGCCGAGCGGGGCACCAAATCTGCACAACTTTTTCTCTCCTTCCAGATCCTCGACCGCTTCCGTCCCCACAATCTTTAAATCATCGTCAACACCAACCACCACCAAACCCCACGTCGTTGCTCGCCACCATCTGTACAGCTGGGACTTCTCATTACCCGTTTCTGCTCTTGCAATATGCGTACTCTAAACGCACCCGCAACCCTCTCCTGATCGTCCTTCTCTTTGCACGCTCCGAGCTGCCAGCGAACGACATGTGCCTGGTTGCCCCGTCAGAAGAATCTGAACATATGGCCTCACCATCTCACTACCTCATGACTACTCATTCAATCAAGATGTCAACCAGCGGAGACACGCAATGATTGAGTTAGATTGCCAAAATATATTGTTTAATTGTATTTGGAATGCAGCAGGCAGCACCTCGCATTTCCCCAGAATCTGCCATGCTCTTTTTATTACTTCACATCACATGTCATGTACGGCAATTTGGGAGTTGGGCTGGCAGTATGGCAGTTTGAAATTCCGTCTAACGGGAGCCCTCCGTGACAGAAATCGGTGCGGAAGTCCGTGCCTCTGTCCATAACGGAGTACACCTGTTGGCCCAGAAGGATAAAAGTTGGGTCTGTGGCAAGGAACGTAAAGTACCCTTCTCAGGTGGAACACCATAAGAGGCAAAGTTGCTGGTGATGGCGCACAAAAGAGGAATGTCATGTCACAAGGTTCACCCACTGGTGGACGGCTACAAACATGGTCCTATTTAGCCAGATACCGAGAGAAAATTGAAGTGTCGACACGCTTGTTCTCGGAGGTATCTTTGTACCAACCTATTCAATCCGGGTCCAGGTTGAAGGAGTCCGAGCCCGTTCACGGTGCATCTCTTTGAGTTTTGGTGTATCTTCTGCAGTACTTACGCTCACATCTACCCATCGAGTCTCCTGCACCTGCACCTTCTACATTAGCAAGGGGGAGCCCAAGGAGTTCTTCGCTTAACTCCCCGTGACATGGTATACTGCAAGTATGTGATAAGAACCATACATGAACTAATCGTTGGTGTGCTTGACGTTCTGTCCCATTGGAAACTACTGCCTTACTGAATATCATGTTAATGTATTATCCATATAGCCGCCAAGGGTTGATAGTGGAGCAATGCCCATTGAGACGAAACCCAGTCAATTGCTGGACTACTGAGGTCTAGACTTATATATCAGTCCTCGCCCAAGTCTGATCTCGTCGCACCAAGAATCTTCAATCATCCAAAATGAACTCTCATACTACTCCAACAACCACTAAAAATGGAACTGCTGCCGCAGCGGCGTCAGCAGCTGCTTTCAAAAGCATGATGGCTAAGAGAGCAGTAGCCCACTACCATAATGTGATGGCAGCAAAGTACTTTGCTGCCGCCATGACTGGTTTTATACTTCTGTTCTCCATAGTGTATTGGACTCGATTTCTCTATGCTCGTTTTGCTTCCAAGACAATCAGGGAATCAAGTGTCATGAGAGGGCAGGTTGCTTCTGCAAGGTACTGACTTCACTACTCTTGGCGAATTGTCGACTGACATACTCTGTAGGCTGGCTAGACAAGTCCTCAATCATCCAGCGTATGGCTTCAAATCAGTTGGTCATCTAGTAGTTGTTTTGATATATCTGGGTATCAACATTTCACTTATTGTTACATATGTCGACTACTCGACACTGATCGGCATTGCCAAAAGATGTGGCTGGTATGGCTTCCTTCTAAACTCTCTTCTCCAGACCACTGACAAGGCCTGTAGGATTGCTTTCTGCAATATTGCGTTCCTCGTTTTCCTAGCTCTAAAAAACACCCCTCTCGCATTCCTCACTGCTCACTCGTACGAAACGCTCAACCCGCTTCATCAAGTTGCGGGATACACCACCATGTCAACCGCTCTGGTTCATTTAATCGTCGAGTGTCTTTATTTCCAGAGAGCGAAAAAGCCACACGAACTTCTGGAACATGAGCAAATTTATGGCATGATTGCAGCATGCAGTATGTTTGTTATTTTCTTGACTACGATAGGCATGAAGAAGTTGAGATATGAGGCTTTCTACATCATTCACCTTACAATGTTCATGCTCATGATGATCACCGTCGCAATGCATCGACCCGATCTCGTCGACAAGGAAGTCATTGTTATTCTCGTGGCGGCATCAATGTGGGGGTCTGATAGAATTATTCGTGGTTTCCGGATTCTCTACTACAGCCGCGCCAACGAAGCCACTATTCATCCATTACCACATGGAGGTACTCGAATCGTTCTACGTCGGTCACCATCGCGAGCTATACCTGGGACACATTGTTTCCTGTGGCTTCCAACGATAAGAAAATTCGAAACACACCCTTTCACGATTGTGAGCACAAGTCCAAATCTCGAGCTTGTGATCAACGCCTATGATGGATTCACGAGCGATCTACACACCTACGCGGTCAAGAATCCGGGAAAGTCATTGCGCGCATCTGTTGACGGACCATATGGGGCCATTCCAGATTTCGCCAGCACGGCTGACAAGGTCATTCTTATTGCCGGCGGGAGTGGTGCATCTTTCACTTTCGGCGTCGCACTGGACACAGTCAAGAGATTGCCCGAAGCAAGTAAAACGACTATTGACTTTATCTGGACGGTCAGGGAAGAAGGTACGACTTCAGATAAATTCAGATAAGCACTTTGCTAATGATGTTTTATAGAAGCAGTAACATGGTTCGCAAAAGAGTTAGCCGAACTCCAGCGATCACCTCGCGTATCCTTCTTTCTTCACACAACCCGTCCATCTCCTTCTAACACTGGCTCATCAACGCCAACCTCGCCAATTCCTACGTCGAATCTTGACGAGGAGAAAGCAATCGGGTTCGAAGTGCACACTAAAGTGTCACCAACTTCACCATCAACATCCTCCATTGAGAAGAAAGACACAAACGCTCCACTCACCTCAAAGTACTCACATCCTTGGGACCCAACTCTTCTTGATGTTGCCCCTGGACGACCGGATGTTACAGGCCTGGTCAAGGATGTAGTTCGCAGAGCAGACAGACATGAGAGGATTCTTATTGGCGCGTGCGGACCAGACAGTTTGATGTGGGATGTTAGACGTGCCGCAACTAATGCTATCAGCATATCCGGACCCAGCGTTGAGCTGCATGGAGAGCAGTTCGGTTGGTGAGAGGATAAGCGGTTAGTGAATCATAATTATGTTGAATCTTTCAGGCATCGGGGTCAAAAACAAGTGTACAATTGGCTGGCAGGGACAAGGAATGGGCGTTGAGGATTAGGTCAGAAATCTGGAGGGGGTTTTTCTTTTCCTATTCATGAATGAATGTAGCTAATTAACATTGAGCGTATGCAACCAGACGTAGCTGTTACATCGCTTATTCAAAGCAAGATTTCAAACTCAATTAAAGCTTTAGTTCCACATCTTCCCCTGAGCTTAACACACGCCAGGGTCGGAATAATTACAAGTGTGGTAATACCAATGCATGCACCTCTCGGGGCTTAGGATCGCTGTATGTGCGGGACGGCGCGAACCAAGGTGAGGCACTCACCCGTCGGAATATTCCCAAGCTTCAGGAAATTCTCCTAAGGCTTACTTAAAGATTGCTAATGAAGATCCGGCTTGACAACGTATAGCGCGCGTTTATGTGATGTTTTGCATGGTCGGGTCGGGAAGATGTGATGCAGGTAATGGGTCTTGGCGATGAAGAGGCGTTTCGCGGATGCTCTTCCTGAAGATACGCGTCAGCTTGGGGATGGTTGTCCGGTGGGTTCTTTTTTTCCTTTGGGAACCGTAGTTGAAGGGTTCTTGGTAAGTATGTTGTGTGACGGAATAAGCTGTGGAAGTGCAGGAGTGGGAAAGAGCGATCTCGATATGAAGATTGTTCCGATCGAGGTCTAGATTTTGGGGGTTTCCTGGGTTGGGGAATAGTCTTAATGCTTGTAGATTGTAGGTAGACGTGCGCATTCTTAATTGAGTTGTGGTGGGTAGATTGAGGATCTCCTCTTTTGTGGGTTTTGGGAGAGTGGTTATAGTTGCTGTTGTGTGAGATCTGAAGAGGTAAGCATGCAAGGTCATTGAGGGAATGATGTATTTGATCTTTCACAGCCGTGTTGATTGAAAATTCATACGAGACTCATTACACTTCATAAGTTGGTAGTAAGGAGGAGCCTTAGCGAGTAAAACATGGAACTGAACAAGATACTGGGGGTTATTATGGCGAGGCGAGAGTTCCTTAAATTGACTTCCACGACCTTTTGTATGTCGAAGTGGCTGTATCGTTTTCTCACGCTCTTCTTCCGGGTAATGTTTACATAGTGCTAACAAGAATGAGTCTTTCTCGATGCCATAGAATCCATTGAATTAGAGTGACGATTCAACCGTTCCCAAAAGCCTCCTATTCCCCCTCCGTCCCGGTCCCGGTATCACGTCATCACCCAACGACTCAGCTCCATGAGTGTAAAGTGTTGCAATTCCAACCCAAAAGTGCTCTCCTTCATGACGACATAGAATCTCCAGCGTTCGATCACGGTATCTCCTAGTTTCAATCACAGCATCTTTCAATCTCTCAATGGTCATTACCTGTGACATTCTCAACTCCTTCTCACTTGTGTTTTTCATCCAAACCCAGAACGTGAGTTTACCGGCGGCGTTTCTCGTATTTTCATTCATAAACACATCGGATTGGAAGAAACATGTAGAGACATTCCTTTTGATTGGTTTAGAGTGAAGAAATTCGGCATTCGCGACATCATCTATTAGCAATGAAATGTAATGATTAAGAAGGGTTTCCGATGGTGGAGAAGGAGAAAATTCAACTAGAACCTCCTCCGGGGACTTATACGAATGAATCTGTTCTTCGGGGCACATTTTGAGAGGCGCAAGACTTTGATGGCTTACTTCAAGAAATTTCAATTGCGAAGGCTCATCTATATATTACTGTTATCCTAGTCAAGTGGTTGACTAATTCTCACTGTGTGAAGAATGACAGATTGTCTGTTGCGTTTGCTCTTATGAAAAGTAATTGAATTCCTGACAAAGAATAGCAGCAATCATTGATTCGACTGAAGCTAGCTCATACGAAATTTAGCAAACTAATTTGATTAATTTATCACAATGTCTGAAGATGAAGATGATTAGTGGCTTCTGTCAATGAAACAGGTTATTGTGTGAAATAAAGCTCACCTGTCGATATTGATGGTCGGATATTTGCAGGATTAGAACACAAACACAACTTTGAAATTGTTGTCGCTGATCCTTGTTTGGGTTTGTAAACACCATGCGCTTTCAAATAGTATATTCTCAGTTATAAGAAACTCGACGCCAACCAGTGAGAGGTTTTCCTGTCCTTGTTCTGTATTGAATATGGCTTTTCTATCAGGAGCGTCAAGACTTGTAAATATCGCTGCCCATAATCTATCCTTTCCGACCGTCTCGGAAAGTTTCAATTTCTGATATGGTCCCCCCTTGATGTCGATTTTGAACATGGCGGATCCAGTCGCGGGTACTGCATTTTCAACCGTATCGGAAGAGGGATTTAGTACAGGCATTTTAATTGGAAAACTGCGTGTCGCGCTTCTTTTGAATTCTACATCATCAAGAATGCCTCTGGATTTTGCGTTGGTCAAACATGATCTCATGTCCGACATGAGAGACTCAGTAACAATCATGTTTGAATTTTAGGTCTTGTAAGGTTTACGCTGAGCTGAGCTGATGTTCAAAAGCAAGATCAGAATTTTGGTCACCTTTGGAGCGAAACACGCAGAATTTAAATAGTAATCATGAGGCTTTCTCAAGTTGCGTTCGTAGCGATGTGTCAAGCTATACGAGTCATGATTTCCTTTACTCTATTGTTGAATCATTCAGAGAGTCTTCATTATAAGAAAAAAACAAGCAATTAATGAGTCGTCTTCTACTTTCTGACTTTGTAGCATGTTACTGCACTAGTGCGTTGCATGTCTGACGGGACACCCTCCAAATGAGCTAAGTGCAATGATGTTTGGAAACCTATGTTTCAATGCTCCTTCCTGTATAATATATTTACTGTTACCGAAAGAGACAATAAAGTATATTTACTCAGGATTATCAAGCAAAGAGAGCCTTAGAAGTGAATTCATCGGTACCCGATTGTGAAGAGGTGTCCAATCAGACTTGCAACACACTGGCGCTGCTTAGAATTGACTGGGCACATCCTCATTTAATCGAAAGTCATCATAAGAAGCTATTCTCTGACACCGTGAGTTTAAAAGTTGGAAAAATACAGATATGATTTTGTACTTTAAAATTTTTCATTTACTCGAAGAAGATTGGTTCAAGACAACCCCTTCAACAGCACCATAGATAAATCAACGCTACGACCACCCAAAAAAGATGCCATTCACGGCTCCAATTCTAGAGTGATATAAGACTGAATACAGTTTTCATGAGGGATGCCAGATCCTGGCTTATCCTCTTCGCGAATCTCAGCATTTCCGCGAATGTACCTTGCCGCAATTCGAATGAAACAGGGTCTCCCGTCTGGCTCATTGCCACATCTCCAGTCTAGATCCTCCATCCCTACGCATCTTTTCGCACCCGAGATGAAGTCCCAAATTTGTTCTATTTCTGACAGCTTCAAAACCACACTTGATCGAGTATCCTCATGCAACCATGCCCACAATGATAGCGCCCCGATTCTGCTGCTCCTGGTGTTATCTGCTGGATGGTGATAGTTCAAAGTTAGGAAATTTGTCGGGAACTTTGCGATGATTATGTTTTTGAACCATTCAACGTTCCTGGGTTTATCCATGATATACTCCAGGTCAGTTTGAAGTTGGCCCGTAGATGGATGAAATGCTGGATGGTATGCTGGGAGCCAAAATGCGCAGTGAGGAAACGCAATGGGGTTGATGGGGGTGGCCATTTTAAACTTTGGCTGATAGTGTGGCATTGTCCGAAACTGAATGGAAAACGGATAATAAAACTGATGTTGGATACAACCAAGTTCCAGTGACTTATCTAGGATTTTCCTACAAAGAGGAATTTTGCTTCATCTCCCCACGACGTTTTGTATCGTTTTGAAAAGTCATTCCATTTCAAAAGAATTGGACACTTCTTTGAATCAGATCTCTGTGAATCTTACTCTACAAGCGGTTTGTAGAAAGAGTAAGTCACCTTTAGTGGATATATTATACTATTTCGGGCATAGGAACAAAGCCCGCAAGTGACTAAAGATTCATGTCATACTATGCTTTCTGGCACTACCTCAAAAGTCCCCAGATAGTTCTTATAAACAAAGGTCATTTGAACCTAGAGGTGGCTTTACTGAGCTAAAGTTTGCAACATCCAAGAGTAGCTGTGATTGCATACTGTATCCACCCAGATAAGTAAGCCTGGACTTCATTTTTGATGCAACAACAGGATTTACATCTAGCTTTATACGGTTGATCAACACGGAGTCCCAATTTCAATGAATGTTAAATAGCCTAAGCAGAATGAACGAATATTATGGATAGTTAATGCGTCCAAAAAAAGAGATTAAAGCCGCTGCGGTTTGCTACTTCGCGCTAGATCAATGTCAACAATGACAAGTATATCTCAAAGTATGTACCTTAAAAGTTTGAATGATAAGCTAGAAAACAATTGTAGATACTTAAATGAAAGGATACTATTTGGAAAAGGCTCTCGCCGCAATATTTTCCCCTGACCGCAAGATCCATGTAAAGTCGTAGAAACACCTTGCGACAACTGAATCGTTTCTTTCTCCCTTCATTCGCATTCGATCATTTCTCGTAGAGCGTCTGACAACTCTAAATGTTCGTTGCTCACTCCGGAGTTGACTGTAGACCCGATGATGATTGTCGAAAAAGTTTGCTTCTTTGCAATGTAGAATGCATGCGACTGTTTCGTCTTAAAATGCAAATGGCTAACGATATGTAAGAATCGATAATCAAGGAGCGGACTCAATTCTGATCGGTGAATAATCTCTATCCCTGATTTGGTGAATGAATAATGGGAGCTTTTGTTATTATTTTGATTACGCAGATTTTAATATGCCATCATCTATTTTTATGTTGGACTTGTTGAATTGCTGCGGCATTGGCAGAAAACACGAGAAAAAGATCGACTGAAAGACTGATCAATCCTGCTGTGTAATAGTCTTGAGATAGTTTTCTCGTATGAAGTCGAAGGCTGTCTATTTGAAGAATGTTTCTGGGTTTGAGAGAAGTATGAAGAGAGTCGCGAAAGCGATTAATTATTGAACAGCATCAACCATTGTAGTGATTTTACCGCGCGTAGGAGCTGGTCGTACTCCAATGCTAATGTCTTCAGTTACGCCTGAAATTATACAATTAGTAATATGATAAAAGGGCTACATTAATAGCCTTACCAGTTGTCCCACTCCGACTGCTGAAATAAACTGCATCGTTGCAACTGTCACCAACGAAGTTGAATATTTTACTTCCACCTAAACCTCGCCTTCCAACTTCAGTTCTTTTCGCTTTTTGTTGCTACTGTGAAGCTGTGTTTCAGAAAATTCGGAATGACTCCGTTTCAAAGACTGCGTGTCATATTTCAAAGCCGGTTGGAACCATCCGGTGACATCAAGATCTCCTGTTTCCTTATCTATCCCAGCCGTCGAGCTGTTGATTGTGTTGAAACCCGCCCTAATGTCATTCCCCAGTTTCTCACTCTCTTCTTTGTATCGAGATAAGGTTTCTCTGTTGTGTAGGAGTCGCTTATTTAGAGCTTCTGTCTCTATTTCTAGCTTGCTGATCTCTTTAAGCAAAAAACTCCTTCGCTTGTCCTCCTTCTTGCGTTTTTCTTTTATGGCCAAGTACACGGCGACTTGCTTCTGTTCAGCCGACCACTTATTGTATAACTCTGTGAGGCGCTCCTGTTCGTGTTCAATTGCTGAACTAAGCTCACTTTGCTGTTTCTCCATTGTCTTCACCTTCGAGCCTTGTTGGATGAATGCATCTCGAGCCAACTTCACACGAGCCGAAATATCCAAGTTTAACGTTTCTTGACTCATATTTGGAGGCTGAATAGGGGTTTGTTCTGAGAATTACTTCCAACGCTTGGAATATTCGATATTTCAAACCCCAGATCAACCAGCCCTCCGTACACTATGGTTGTAGTCTTAGTCTGAGGCAGTTGCTGTGCTCTGGTGGTGACTTTGGAAAAGCTTCAGTAGACTTTGGTGCAAAGTATCGAGACCCTGTGGGATCTATGGCGTGTGCCGAGTGTGATTTTGATATTGATTATACCGAGGGCTTCAAATTCTTAGAAATTAGATAAGTTGTTTCAGCTAAGTGGAAGAAGTCCATTTGAACCGATAACAACTATGGTCCCTCACAAAGGTGAATTATTTGAAAGTGAAGCTGAGCCTAACACAGTCCAAACTTCTTCTCGAAACAAGGCGTCTATACTTCTTGAAGCTCAACTGTAAGTTGAAACACTTGCACCTCTACTCAAGGACTTCAGACTCGCTGGGATTTTATTGACACAATTAAATCTCATCTTTCCCTTAAATCTACTAACTAAGTTGCCTTTATTTCACCAAAACACCGTAGCGTCTGGAATTGTCACGTTTTTACTAGATATAACCAAGAATACTAGGTATTTAGGGAAGAAAGGAAGATTTGCGTGGCTAGTTTCCTTAACCTCATTCACATCAATTCAAAACATCAGCCATTCCATATCAGATCAATTAATATTCACCGCTCGCTTGTTTTCGGGTATTATAAGATCAAATACACGCTTTTCCTATCTCCAATTAGAAATGACTTGGTCAGCTCGTTCGGTGGATTCATGGCTGTAAAACTCGAATCCCAACAGACGGTTCTGTGGATATCCCGTCGTTAAGAACAAAATCCACGGCGACGAGTTCTACAGAGTATTGAAAAAAAAAAGATTATGTATACTTAAAACGGCGGAGGAAAGAAGGATATTCAGAGGTAAGTGATTTATTTCTTTTGGATATTTTTTGGCCCAACTACGACTGATCTTCGACTTTCCCCTTTCGTTCATGCCAAGATCTGTCCACCACCGCGATAAGGCGAGAGCCATAATACCGACAAGCAATGATGGTTATCTATGTCGTGATAATTAATACCTTGACGACATACAGTGTGGTTCACTAGGTAGACTTGTTTTGAAGATGTTGGCTAGCAACCTGCCTGAAGCGGTGATATCGCCGAGCACTACTACTTGAACTATAGCTCGTTATCTTGCAACATTTGCTTCGATGCTACCTTCTCGCCACGAACATTGAATAGTTCTTTCCTAAAAACCGACCTTCTTTTCTGGGTCCAATCTGAGACAGGCATTCTGGGTCCGTCAACGGGATGAGGATTGCAATACCATAGAGGACTAGCTCTCTGACAGTATACACTACTCATACAATAAAAAGATGTTTGCTATGCTTTTTCTTTACGGTATGAGTATCAGTGTATGTTTGTGTAGTAAGCTCAATGCGTGGCAAGAAGAGACTCTCATGCTCTCGGGACTTGCTGAGTCGAAGCGTATAAAATTGGAGCTGAACGGGAGCCAAACCTCTACTTGAAAGGGATTAACGAAGAGATTCACTCCCCCTACTGTTCATAGGAATTATTCGGCCCCTAGAGGTACTTTGGTGGGTTTGCTTCAGATCGAAAACAGTCCTAGCATATCTGACTCATTTTTGATGCGTATAGGCTTTGTAATGGATACTACCAGAACTTAGTTATCAGGAGTCATCTCCCATAACCCAAAGTTTGCAGACCAAGTCGGCCGAGCGGCTATGATATTGGTTCAGTAGCTAATCCTTTCGCCAGGATCTGAGACCAGCAGGCATTGTATTTAAGAATGCTTCTTTGATCGTGCATTCCCAGCCTCAATTGAAACCTTTCGTGGTTCATAGAAGACCACCAGACGGAGCGATACAGTAGAACCCGAGACAGTATTCAAACCACCGGCCCACTGTTTGAATAGCTTCTGGACCAACAATCACCACTGGTGAGGAAATGGGTTAAGTGGAATGCTTCTGATCGAATATACAAGCTCCCGTTGGATGTTTCCAATAGACCTGTCATTTTACTCGAATCGTGTGTCACCATGGAAGGACTGTATCCGCGTTAACCCTGTCTGGTAGTCAGCGATGAGAATTGAGGGTTAAATGTGATGATCTTGCTACTAGATAACTGCCGAATTCAAAGGTCGGAAATGCTTGCCACTGTGTTGAAAGGCTATATAGTGTTGAGTGGTGATCAGCTGCATGTGGGACAGTTGGTAGTCTGCCGACTGAACTTCAGTAATAGCATGGGTTCAGTAGTGCTCCAACACTCATGGATTGGAACACCCGGTTGTTTGTAGAGGAGTCAAACTGTCGAGCGCTCATGACTTCCGACGGAAAACGTCAACTATTAGAGGCCTATTGACGCGGGATTGGAATGCACCCCGGCTGGACAACATCGAATAGATCAAGGCTTGCAGTTCACAATACGCAAGATACTCGCGACAAAGATGTTTGAAGTCCCTATTTCCCGACGGAAGGCCCGCTCAGTCTGTCGATTAATGAGACCGTCGGAACACAATGTTGTCACGATTGTTGTGGCGTAGCAGAACCGTGCAATCTCGGTGGGAGCAGGCAAAGAAAAACGTCATGTGCTGGCAATCGCCTCCTGGGATCAATTTAACCTGGAAGTTTTACCACTTTCTTCTAGACACAACACCAAAAATATCACGATGTATTCACTGAAGCTTTATTGTCTGGTGTTTCTTCATCCCTATCTAGTCAGGATCAAAGTTGCACGTATATCCGTAAGATCCGACAAACCTTCAGAGTTGATGCAAAAAGAAATTCCCAACCATCCTTGCTAATTTCCTCGCGGAGATTTATCAAGGATTTGACAGGTTTCTCTGCCCACTTCCCAAAAAATCCTCTCCGCTCTCTGGACCGTGGATCTCAACCCCTCAAAAGCTTCATTTTGTAGTCGTTTCAGATATAGAGAATCATCCGTTAAAGTTAATTCTGCAATTTGCACTCATGAGCGGCGCGAAATCGTCATTTGCAGAATTCCCTACTAAATACAACACATCCTCCCCTTCGTTATGGACCTCATCAACTTTGTCGTTCATTACGCTCTTTGTCAGAAATTTAGAAGCATCAGTCTTCGTTACACTCCTTTTTAACTTCTTCGTCCGAATTTTATCCCTTGTTTGAAACATGCATTTCTCATACACTTTAGCTGCCACTGCGGCATTGACTTTGGCTAATGCCGCTGTCATTGGGAAGAGAGCGCTCTCTGGAGAAGCTACAGTCTATGGTGGAAACCTTGCTGGTGGAACTTGCTCATTCTCAACATACACATTGCCAGCCGGTATCTTCGGGACTGCGTTGACGGACTCGAGCTGGGACAACTCCGCAAACTGTGGTCGTTGTGTCTCTGTCACTGGCCCTGCTGGAAACAAGATCACTGCTATGGTAAGTTCAATCTAGTCTTATGCGATATGGATACAAAACTTACAAATTCAAGGTGGTGGACCAATGCCCAGGATGCGGAACAAACCACTTGGACCTCTTCCCAGATGCTTTCTCAAAGCTCGAAGCGAACCCGGGAATTATCCAGACGACCTGGGACTTTGTCGACTGTGGGATCAGCACTCCACTACAACTTCACAACAAGGAAGGTGTGTCGGCTTACTGGTTCAGCATGCAAGTTGTGAACGCAAACAAGGGAGTCAAAAGCCTTGAAGTCAGCACCAACGGTGGAAGCACTTGGCAAGCAACCGCTCGACAGACCTACAACTTCTTCGAGAACTCAGCCGGCTTTGGAACAACCACTGTCGATGTCAAGGTCACCAGCATTGATGGAGATACTGTTATCGTGAAGAACGTGGCAATCTCTGCAGGTGCTAGCACCACAGCTGGTTCCAACTTTGGATCCTCGGGTGGAGCAGTCTCGAAACCAGTCGAACCTGCAACACCTGCAGCACCTGCCACTCCGGCGGTCACCCCAGAGACACCAGTTCAGTCTACTCCAGCTGAGTCTGCTCCTGTAGAGTCTGCTCCAGAAACCGGTGCCGGATCCGCTCCTGTAGCTACCATCACCGCAGTCCCAGTGGCTACCACAACCCAAAAGCCAACAAAGTTGGTGTTCACTCCTAGACCAACAGCTGTCGTTGTGGAGGATGATGTTTGCGAGCTATAGATAGCTCTGCCTCAAATTAGGCTTGGGGAAGGGAAGTCATCACGAAGTTATGTTCTCTGTATATAATTACCCTTGATCCGGGTGTCAACTAGCAGGCCTTGAGCTTGTAGATCATATATAAAAGGATGATGTGTTTACATCAACCTGGGCAACCATATTCTCTACCTACAATTTTGCTTTCTCCTCCCCTAGGTTCTCTATCCCCAGTTCCGTCGTACACAAAATACAGGTATCCTTCAAGCTAGGTACCCTGAACTTCTGGTTCACAGCTTGATAATCCTCACTGGCGAGCATATCCGCGAAATGGTGAATGCTTGGGTAATGCGCCAAAGCCATCTCATCCCAAGCATCTTCACTCTTGCTTTCGCGGTCTTCATTTCCACCGGAGCGCTCGCGTATGACGGTACCAACGAGCTTAGCATCGCCGCCGCGTTTAGAACCAATTGATTTAGCGAATTCAGCGCCGTATTTCAGGTATTCCTCTTTTTTTCCTGGTTTGAAGGCAAGGAAATTAAGCATTGAAACTGCGCCGGAACCTTCTGCTTGCCCGAACGTGGCCACCCATTTGTGGAGCGAAGAAGAAAGAGATAAATCTTGGGAGGAGGAAGAAAAAAGACGCTTATTTAGAGAGCCTATCAGTTCAGGGAGAGGAGCGGTAGGATGTAGGAGACGTTCGTTCTTCTCAGCGAAGGAGGAGAGAAGCCGAGAGGGGATTCCAGCTTGAAGAGTAAATTGATGAGCAATTTTCGAGCCGAGAGAAAAAGGCAAAGGATTGGTATCTGGCAATATGAGGAGTAGGTCCCAACTGAGTTGATGAAAATTCAGCCGTTTTGCTTCAGCAATGAGGGGTATTTCGCTCGTGAAGACGGATGAAGTGCTTACTGAATGTTTTGTGCCAGTAACTCGGAAGTTGAGATAGATGAAGGCAAGATTATCCACCTCACAACTCGCGCGATCGTAAGGGGTTTGATGTCCTTGTGAGATTTGAGGGCTGTGATGAACTGAGCGAGTGTACAGGGAGAGGAAAGAGATATGAGATGAACTGCGCAGGCGGGCATAGTGTAGTGATCGAAGGATCAATGACAATATGCTTTCTGAATTATCGAGCTTTTGAAGCTTGGAATATACAGCCTTTCGATTCAGAGGTCTCTAAATCAATATGTAAATTTAACCTCGGCGTTGAGACTTCATAGGTGTGCTTAAGGCCGATTCTCGTTAATTACCCCACACCAGAGCCAGCTCGTCATCATTCCGATTGCTGCAGGTGGAACCGTGGAACACGACTTTTTAAAATTACGATTGTCTTAGAGTACTCCTCAGTCGTGAACACACACAATCTGCTTCCAATCTTTCACACAAATTACTACAAGGAAACATAGCAGATATCTTCCTTGTTTCATCGTGCCCAGCGAACAAGAAATCTTGCGCCGCATGTACCTTGTATCACATGCAATGCCCCGCCAAAAGCGGCTGTTGCGCAGGCAACGGGGATCAACACAAACACAACCAAGATCTGGTCCAGATGAAGGTTCTACATCTTCCATTGGCTACCCATATTCTACTGAAAGAACTGTTGGCTCGTGTGTTTATCGTTCTGCTGTGGCCTCTTTCTCGGCCTTCTCTCTTCAACTCTCATGCTTCAGTAGACAAGACATCTCGTCGACCGGAAAGCCGCATCTCGAGTCGCAGAGGAGAGATTGGAGTTGACGAGCAGTGCTCCGTCCGAACATCACTTTCCGAACACTCGAGACTGCATCGGAACACAACGTCAATGATGTGAGGGACGCAGCATCGTTGATATTACGTCTGTCAACATCAAGATCGCAAATGATGAGGTTACACGTCACTGCCCTCGCATGGGTCCTGGTACCGTCAATACTTTCCGTCGTCTCTCAATCACTATCATTACCTTACAATCCGACTTCAATATTACTGCCTCAATCGTCCTCTAGGCTCAATGACCTCGCATATGCCTTCGTACCGATATCTCAGTCTAACTCAGCCCACCAGCTGGTAGCTCTAAACATATCTACATATCTGTGGATTTCGAACTTATCCTTTACCAGCATCACACCAATATTACCTTTCACCAGCGATGCTTCGGTAGCGTTTATACCATCACTGGCAGCGTCTGATGAGATCAACGTCTATACGGGGACATGTTTAACATCCAATAGCTCTTCGCTATGGCGATTTACTCCTTCAACCGAAAGTGCTACCGGCAATGGAACCTGGGCGAGACAAACCACGACAACGGCTGGTACGGTGACCTCGAGCTCCCTTCCAGGCGCGAATTTCCTCTCTCGCGGATTTACTTTCTCAACGGTTGTTGGTGCCAATGCCTCCGAATCGACAATATATAACTTTGGTGGCATGTGCCCAACGCTAGGGGCAACCACTGCAACATGGCAGGCCGCAGCCAATTACTCGAACCACATGCTCCGGCTTGAACCTACAACGTCGTCTCTAGGCTCAGTGTATACTCTGGATCTGCCTGCCAGCAGAGGACCACCCATTGCTGAAGCAGGCTTCACGATTACTGGCCTCTCACCAACCTATTCGAACAATACTGGAATCATGACTCAACAGAGAAGCTACGTATTGGTAGGAGGGCACACCAAGTCGGCTTTCATTAATATGAGCTCTGTTGCACTCTGGAGTCTGCCGGAGGAGAGCTGGACCTTCGTCACGGTAGCACAGCCTAATGCCAACGGAAACTCTAATACCGAATTAGCTGTCAAGAGCCTTCCGACTTCTGTGGACAGTAGGTCTGGACATACCGCTGTTTTGACCGAAGATGGATCTCAGATAATTGTATATGGAGGCTGGGTGGGAGATACAAGCCAAGCAGCGGATCCCCAGCTTGCGATTCTAGACATTGGGACCGGATTTGGTGGGAACGGGGGATGGAAGTGGACTATACCAAGTTCACAGCCCGCAGGAACCGCTGTATATGGGCACGGTGCCACAATGTTACCTGGAAATGTAATGATGATTGTTGGAGGGCAAAACATTTCAACATCGACAACCAGGAAAAGAGATGTACCTGGCACTGGAGTCATGTTTTTCAACGCGACAAGCATGCAATTTGTTACTAACTACACAAATCCAGCATATGCGTCAGCATTAGCAGAAAACCATGGAAGCTCAGGTGATTTGGGATTAGCTTTAGGTCTCGGCTTGGGTCTGGGCTTAGGTTTGGCAGCGATTCTTGCAGCCCTTGCAATATTCTGTTGTTACAGTAGACGTCTAAGACGAAAGAGGGGAGAGGATCGAGAGAAAAGCTTCAACTCCTTGAACGTACGCTCGGCGCATGGATACTCTTCTCCGCCAATGGAAGGGAGTGAGAGGAGCTTCACCTATTCAAATGGAAGACGACTTACACGAGTCGAACAAGACCAGGTTCTTTACGACTCGACAAGTGCTTTGGCAGGATACGAAAGTCTGCATCCCGGCGTTCACAACTTTGGCGATGGTGACTCAATTCCATCTCCTCCACGACAAATCCCAAGGAAACCTCTACAACAAAATCGAGCCCGGGGAACTTGTCAGTTGACACCAAACTACGAAGTCAGTAACGGCTCTAATCATGGACGGACAAATAGCTTGGGTACAGCAGGACCAATCCATCCTATTTATGAAGCAGACGAAGAGGATTCTGTAGGTCGCGTGAGTGCTGACAGATCCGGAAGAGTCAGCCTTGCGTTCGATAACCCGCCAGCAACCTCGCACTCTCAAAATGCACGAAATTCAGATCCATTCCGAGACCACCAACACCCGAACCCCATCCTGATCACACGGAGGAACACCAATCGAAGCGTGAGTACTTCTGAAATCGAAAGCCCTGCAGTATCTCGCGAGCGAGAGATTCAAGACTGGGTTTCAGACTGGGCAGCAGCCGATGCACTTTTGAATGCTCAGACAAGAACACACTCCAATGCTGGTCGACTTTCACCTACTCGACGAGCTCAACTCATTGCTGGATCTCATAGTGTCAGTTCCGTCTCTGGAGAAGAAGATAGTGCCCGGACAGGAAGCAATCTTAGCGATCGCAGTGTGGCTGTCTCTGCACTCTCAAGATCTGGGTCGAGTTCCCAAGGGCGATCAAGAAGCAACTCTCTTCGAGGGTTTATAGCTAATACATTCAGTTCCCATGCTGCGAATGCCGTTTCCACAGCCGGAGCTAGTTCGTCTATGAGTCCAACATTTGAAGGCCCATCTGTTCGCTACAATCCGAATCGAAGTGCTGGCTCAGTGGCAACCTTCAATACAGCACGTACCAGCTTCCCAGTTCTCCAAGCAGAAGCCGAGACTTTACTGCCTCGTCCTGATAATGAAGCCGAATGGGACTATTCGCCTACTGAATCCGCGCACACGGAAGGATCTCCTTCAAAGTCAAAACCCTCGGCGGGACGACTTCGTAGAGGTCAAACCGGCTGGCTTGGTAGTATTCGTCGAGCCATCGTAGGCGATGAACCTTACTCTCCTTCTATACCCAGTACAGCAAGTAGAGAGGGTTCGCCTGAAAGGATGGATGGTCCAAGCTCATCAGTTCCCCGACGCACAGTTAGTGCGGGAGCTACACTCTGGAGAAGAAAGCAAGGCAAAAGTGACTGGGAAGATAGTGAGCATGATGACATGTACCTTCGTGGAGGTGGTGCTAGCTCGCGGTCAAATACTTTTACGGGTGAGTACAGCGATCGAGGAACAGCGAGCAGGGCAGATTTCTACACCGACGAGGAAGAGGAATGGGACATTGAACGAGCAGTAGAGAATAGGGTGGTGCAGGTCATGTTTACCGTTCCCAAAGAGAAACTTCGCGTGGTCAACGGTGGTGCGGACGACAATCGAAGCGAGGTTAGCAGTCTGAAGAGTAAAACAGGGAGCACCAGAAGTGAGAAGAACGCTGTCTCCTTGCCGCCGGTCAAGTTAGCATCAGTACAAGAGCAAAGCCCGGACAGATCTAACGTGAACTTGATCTCACTTACACCGACAAGAAGCCGAGAGTCTAGCAATGAGAGAACACCGGTCGCAAGCAGTGCAAATTTCAAAGGGAAAGGTAGAGTGGAGGAGATTGTAGAGAATATCGAGAGGATTTACAGCCCTGGACATCAATAGCGGGATTAGGCGGAATTCGGCTGGGGGCTTGGGAGACGGATATAGGGCTGGGTACTGGCGCATTTTGGAAAGGAAATTTTGTATTGTTTCAGCAATACGAGGCTGCATCTTGGGTCGGGTTGAATCTTCTCAGAGATTATGTCCATTTATTGGAGGAATTTGGACAATGTTGGTTGTCAATGGAGAGTCTGTCGCTTCTTGTATTTAGAATTTTGGATGGTTTAGGTAGTCTAGGTAGTTAGTTAGGGTCCGAATTGAATAAAGAATCTTTACCTATGTATCTACTTGTTCTACGATACTCTCGAGGCAATGAGGGAATTCAAACTATATGTTGAAAATATATTTAGCCCAACGTCGTGTAATTATTCCAACATGAATTCAAACAGGATAAATACACACTTATCGAAATCTAGAATGCACACTATACACAAATCAAAAACCAGCCTATCAATGATCCAAATCCATCTCATCAGACTTCAACACATTCTCGATCTTCGGTACGCAAAGCCAACTACAACTCCGTCGAATAAGAGGCACCATACTCTCCAACACATCCCTCTCATTCTCCTTCTGTCTCAAAGGACTCGCAGCACTCGCCATACCCGCAATCGTCTTATGATCGAGAATCTTGGCAATCTCCCACCACTCAATCCACTCCGCCCTTGGAACGATAAAGTTTCGACTGCAGATGGTGCATTTGCTGCCTCCCGAGTCCTTCTTGGCGGCAGCTTTGACTAGCAGTTCGGAGAGATAGGCGGGACATTCGTCGTGGAGGAGGGTTGGGAGGTGAGGGAGTTGTGGGGATTGGGAACACGCGTTTAGAGCTACTTCTAGGAGGGAGGGGGCGTGGGAGTGATAGGCTCCCCGTGGCTCGGGGGGATGCTGTGGTTCGCTGGAATTGGCTACCTCTAAGGTCTTGTGCGAGCTGAGTGAGTTTGTATTATCCTGCATGTTAGGGAACTTGGGACCCTGAATGAGTAACCCGTCGGGCCCTAGATATTTGATCTGAGTCCGAGCCTTGTATGTTACTTTCCATCGAGGATGCCACGACCTTCGACCCGGGTCTGGCTGCACACAACAAACCGCTCCGCGCCTAGGACGTGTTCTCGTTTTGCTTCCCAAACCTATTTTATACTGTGGTTCTTCTGGTTCCGATTCCTCGGCTGGAAATTGTGGCTCAAAGAACGGATTTGGATGGAGCTGCAGATTCTCAAGATTCGATTCTATTGAAAACAGATCCAAGACCTCAAAAGGTAGATAACGAAGCCGATTTTGCGATATGTTTAATTCTGTGAGGTTTTTCAGATTTCCAATCCTAGGTGGAAGCTCTTCGAAATCGTTACTGCGAAGACTGAGAACACTCAGAGTTTCGAGTTTAAAAAGCTCTTCAGGTAGCGCAGTGAGAAAATTTGCTGCTAAGAAAACTTTCAAGTTCGGTTCTATCTGAGAGAAAACCCCCTCGGTCACTGGCGGGATACAGGTGAAGGTGCTGAGAGGCCGAATAGTGGCGTTTAAGAGACTCGTCAAACCTCGTGAACTATAGTAATGTTAAAAATTTGCAAGAAGACTGCAGTACTTTAATACTTACGATAAATCGATACTTTCGTCACCATCCTCCAAACATCTCTCTATTTGACCACGTGCCAGCTCTTCTGCTGGGGACACAAGATTTTCAAGCTGAATCGGAGGACGAGAAATTTTTGAAGGTAGTTTTGGTCTTTTGAACTGCACATCTTCCAGTGCTTCCATCACTTCATCCATCTCAGTGCCGTCACTTCCCATGAAAACGCCACTGTCATACTGCCGTTCGAACGGTCTTTTTCCTCTCTTGGACGTGGGTGGATTCATCTCGGACGAGCCATGCTCAGCCGGTATTTGATGATACCATGGCCCACGAAACTTCCTCTTCCGCCGTTCCTGCGTGTAGTTATCGGCTGAAGGGTCGTCATCACTTGAGAAGAGCGCGGGGTCACTAGATATGGGAGGACTGCTTCGGACGCGTTTTCGTGTCCGATGATTTGCAAAAGAAGAAGTCGAGGGATCCCAAGAGATTTTTGGTAGTGTGGGAAGTGTGAGCTCGTCAGCCATTATATTCAATGGGTTAATCAATGTATATAAAGTACAAGTTAGTTGCTCTGAACTTTGGCGCGTCACTGGGATGTGCGTGCTACTAAAGTCGCGAATCCTAGTACTAAAATCACGTGCAGAACGGATTGGCCAATCAGCGAGAACCTGAAAGCTGCATCTACCGAAGTAGAACGCTGGTCTGTCATGTCCAGCACCTGGGATATTTCAGCGCTCTTATTACATGGAAAAAGGCCATAGTGAGGACAACGTATTTGACTCAAATAATTGATTAGTTAGAGGCGTACTTCCACTCGACTGTTCACTACGAGCTGGGTTTACCTACATGTTATAAGATATGTTGGCGATGTAACTACTTGATCTTCTTCACGTTGCTCGCAGATGCAACGCCAAAGGTTGTTCTTTCAACTAGTTCGGGCATACTTCGTCGAGGCAGCGTAAAAAGCCCAGTCGAGGACGTCGATCAGGAATGTGCATCACATCCACTGAAGATCCCGACGGGTCAATGGCCCTCGAATTGCTGTTTACCATGAAGATGTCTGGATGAAATCTGTGATGACCGAAACAAATGGTACAGGAATCACGGGCCTTGATCATCTATTTTCAACTACCAACCGCCTCAAGCTAGTAAGCCCAATCCATACAGCCTCTTCTGTTCTGATAGTGCGACTTCCCTGGCCGGGACAAACATTGACCCAGCGGTCAAATACGTCTTTTGCCTCAACCACACCCAATTTCTGCAACTCACTATCATTCTTTACGGCAACCTCCAGTCCTGCTACGCCCCCAAATACAACAAGCAGATGCTTGAATTTTCCGATCTTCTCATCTTCATTTCCAGAGTACAACTGCTGCGAATCGATCCCTCTTTCTGATGTTCCGATTGAAATATCATAACCGCCATCGTACGGACATTCGGTGAAAACCTCACTTAGATTCTCTGCTCTACGAATATTAAATCCCCAGAAATATCCGCTTTCCTCTCGAGGTTCATCAGAGCTCCCTGGCTCGGCCATAATCACTTCGCTGGTAGTATCTTTGGCTGCCTTCTCGGCTCCAGGTGAAAATTTCAAGGTAACACGTGTGTTCTCCGGTATCTGTTCCTTAACTGTCACTGGTATTCTCAGACCAGCTTCAACAAATGTGCCCTCCTCGTTTGCGCCTGGTAATGTAACTCCCTCTCGATACGGACACCATTCGTCTGGTTTTAAATGGTGCGGTAGATCTAAACTGGGTAAAGATCCAGCATACCGTAGATTCGCATGAACAGGAAATAAAGGGCGCCGCAGGTGCGGAGGTGTCTCGAGGTAACTCAACAGGTGAACGAGGAAATGGTCGGGATCGCTTTTACCGGTATATTCATCTTGTGAAGGGTCTGCTTGGTGGGAATAGGAGTGGGTTCGATTGTGATGTCGCTTCGCTGGATTTGGTGCATCGTTTCCATCTGAGAATACTACCACTTCATCTACGCAGAAAACCGAGAGAGCACGCGCAATGTGGCCTGCAAGCGACGTTTGACGTTCGATGGATTGTGCACTTAGTCTTATTAGCACTACCATTACATTGATAGAAATCCGATACACACTTTTTCACTATGCTTCCGGGAAGTGCAACAGTCACCGTCCATTCTCTTCCCTGCGTAGGCTGAAAAACAGCTGTTGGTTTCGAGGTATCAACTGTCGGTGCGGATGCGTCCGTTGGAGTCGGAATAGACACTCCATTCTGTGTCGCTTTGATATCTGATAGGCGTTTCCGCTTCTGGAAGAAAAGTCAGTTCCGTAGCAGATAAGAAGTAAGTAAGTAGAGTTACCTTTGCATTTGTTTCGCCTCTCCCCATCGTGCTTTTCTCTCAATTGACAATGTTATTTTGCGCCTTAGAGAAATTATTAATTCTGCCACTCTATGGGGTACATCATTCACCGCTTTGATGGCATCATTTTCACGTGGGAGAGTGAAATTGGCAAAGACCCAATTCAAGACCTTCCTTCTTTAAATCTAACGCACATTTGACCAAATGGGTTCGCTCGCGCAACCAGGACGATTCGCCGTGTCGCGGATTGCCATAATTGGTGCCGGACCTTCTGGAATATGTGCGGCAAAATACTTTCTAGCCGAGAGTTGCTTTGAGAAGATCGATGTATTTGAGCAGCAGGGAGAGGTTGGAGGAGTATGGCACTACACCCCCCTTTTAGACGAGCAGATTCCCATACCTTCTACGACACCACACGTTCCTTTGCCCAAACCTATCTGGCCCAAGGGAGCAAAAGCGCCTATCTTCTCAAACCCCATGTATGAACGACTTAACACTAATATACCCAAAGATTTAATGGCATTTAATGATCGGCCATTTCCTGAATCGAATCTCTTATTTCCTAGCCGACAGAATGTGCAAGAATACCTTGTCAAATACGCTCAAAATATCCGGCATCTTATACATTTCTCGACTCAAGTTGTTGACGTGCGATCTCAGCTTGTCGATGGTACCGACAAGTGGGAAGTAGTGTCCGAATCAACGATTACAGGTTCTTCGCAGAAGAGTATATATGATGCTGTGTTCGTTGCGAGCGGCCACTATACCGTCCCATATGTACCATCCGTGCCGGGAATGAACGACTTCAAGGCTATGTTCCCTGATGCCATAACACATTCCAAAATATATCGATCCCCACGAGAATTTGCAAAAAAGAAGATAATCGTCGTGGGAAATGGACCATCAGGGCTGGACATTAGCACACAGATTAGCGTGGTATCTCAGAAACCAGTGTTGCTTTCAGTCACAACTCCCAATGCAAGTGGCGCACTACTGGACAAAGAAGAGGTACCTCGCATATCCGAGTATCTGCCCAACCGGAGGGGTGTCCGATTCGAGGATGGAAGAATCGAAGATAATATCGATTTCGTTTTGTACTGTACTGGCTACTTGTACACATTTCCCTTCCTGGAATCAATCGAGCCCCCACTCGTAACTACTGGCCGTCGAGGACTTGCTCTATATAAGCACCTGATCAGTATTGATAATCCTACCCTTGCATTTCCTGTCATGATGCAAAAGGTCATTCCATTCCCGGTGTCCAGTGTACAGTCTGCTGTGGTTGCCAAGTTATGGTCCAATAAACTAGAGTTGCCGGAAGAGGAAGCAATGAGAGCCTGGGAACGGAAACGAGCTGAGGAATTTGGCGAAGGAACCTCGTTTCATATTCTGGGCTACCCATCAGACGCCGAGTATATCAACGAACTCCATGAATGGGCTAAGAGCGCAGATGATGGCTTCACAAAGGAGCCCGCTTTTTGGGATAAGAGAGCATGCTACACGCGAGAGGTATTTGCAGAGATAAGAAAAAGGTTCGTGGGGACTGGTGGCCATGCCAAAACCATGGAAGAGCTTGGCTTTAGCTTCGACGACCTAGAGTTGCAGATTCCAACGTCGCAGGAGCCAGAAGGCACACGGAAATGAAATGTTCTTAATCTGGATACCGTAGGAAACCGTTTGCTTTGAACCTGCGGGTTAAATTCCTTAAAAGGCCGCCTTCGATCTGCAAACGAAGAGTGGCTGTTGTTATGAAGAGATGATGACAACGTTCACATAAGTCGGCCAGAATTACCTGCAGGAAGGACTTCAGGCCAACGCCTCCATGGAGCCACAACAACAAATATAGACGGACTTAATTCAATGGAGGAAGTTGTATTCTAAAGGGCGTTAGCTTAAGTCATAAGCTACAACATCATCCGTCACTCATCTGGCGTTTTCGAATCAGATCATGTTGCCAAACATGAATTTCACATACAACTCAAAGTATGTGCAAGCACATATGGTTGCTTCATATTACCAGAGTTTATCTTATCATCATAGTAGACTGTCTTATATTGCTAGGAATGTACTCACTCTATGCTGAACAATTATTATTGATTTTGTATGTCGCCATCTGTAGGTCATCATCGTGTCATGGAAGCCGCGCGAGGGGCCCTCGTGACGATGGTTTTAAAGTGGTTCAATGATCTTGACCACACATCGGAATCGCCAGCTGAGTTGGAATGGTTCAAGCTGTCGAAGATTTGAGTTGGAGGTCTTGCTGTTGAAGAAGAGAAAAACTCCTGCGAGAAAAGCGCGGCGAATATCTTTGAAGTGGAGAATTGCCGCTAAACTCTCTTGGGTGCATTGGCTGCAAAATACTTCGGGCCCCGCTAGCCGTCCAGTGCTGTACCGCCTCTTGTTATTGCACTGCTTCTGGGACCAAACACATTTCCACAGCCATTACTATCAAATCCCATATAAACTTGGTATACGACAAAACGAATAATCACGACCGCAAACGATTGACCCATTATACACATCTTCTCCTATCATACCCAGATTTGACGCTTGATCTAGCTCACTTCAACACATATCCGTCGAACTAAGTTACACGAAAGTCACCGTCTTCAAAAGAGCTCGAAAGTACGAAGACCTGTGGACCGAGAGCCCCTGTGACAAAACCACAGGCTATAAAACACCACGTCCCCTTCGGAATGGATAATCTTTGGACTCGCCGCTCAAAGTAAGCTTCCACCATTCTAATTCGTAGAACGCTTAAAGTAACCAAGGTCTGAGTAGCACCAGCAAGCTCTCTCTTACCACAGGGGCGCCATCCTCGAATGGCGCGCCAACCTCCTCAGAACATCCCACTCGAACCTTCGGTCCCGGAAGACGACACGGCGATACCTCTTCTCACAGCAATAAAAACCCGTTCAACTCAATGTCCCCTTCCACGACATCTCTTGCCTCCCCAACGACTGGCGCGTCAAGCGCATTCGGCCTAGGAACAGGCGCATTTGCTTCTTTTGGCGCATCCAAGACTCCAAAGACTCCTGGGGGAGCTCTGGATTTTGGTAGCGTTGTGGGAGTGGCAGGCAAGACGCCTACAGCAGAGAAACAAGTTAGGGACCTGGGCTCGAAACCTTCGAAAGTCTCATTAGCAGACTCGAAGACTAGCACAACATCAAAGAATACATTGAGACATAGCTGGGCTTTCTGGTTCCGCCCCCCAATCTCAAAGTCAAATGGATTCGTGGAGTATGAGAAGACGCTGCATCCTATAGCGGAATTTGAGACTGTGGAGGACTTCTTTGCTGTTTATCAACATCTCAAGCGTCCTTCAACTCTACCACTAGTATCTGACTTCCACATATTCAAGAAAGGGATCCGCCCAGTATGGGAAGATGACGAGAACCGCAAAGGCGGTAAATGGATTGTGCGGTTGAAAAAGGGCGTGGCAAACAGGTATTGGGAAGAGCTTATTTTCGCGATTGTTGGAGATCAATTCGCAGAAGCTAGCGAGGAGGTTTGTGGGGCTGTTCTTAGTGTGCGTAATGGAGAGGATATCTTAAGCATTTGGACTCGTAATGATGGAGGAAGAGTTCTTAAGATCAGGTATGTATGCCAAGATCCTTCTTGATTCCCAACAACTAATATATGACAGGGAGACCATGAAGCGCATACTCGAATTTCCTCCAGAAACTAAGGTGGAGTGGAAAAGCCATGACTCTAGCATTCAACAACGGACAGCCATCGATGATGCACGCAAGGATAAATCGAATCAACATAATCACCACTCATCTCCGGCGAGCAATCGAAACAAGGATCATGAACACTCCGAAAGAAAGCAGACTTCATGATAAGAAACCGCTGAGCCATGTGCTCGATTCATGGCATGCGGCAAGAACCATGCTATGGTGAACGAATTCACTTCTTCTGTGTACAAGTAATTGGGCTGCATTTGTTGGTAAAAGCGCTATGGATACAGTTCATGTTGACAAGGCTTCTTGTCACTCATTTTGGGTTAGCAATTGCGTTTGGAGTGGGCTGTATGCTCGAGTTGCGGCAGCGATGTATCATAACACATTATTGACGATGTGGTGTTGGAGAGCGGTGTGGTTGAGGTATAAGAAAGTTGGGGTTCTAAATCCCTTTACTTTCGAAATGACAACCGTCTTTCACAGCCGCATACTCTTATTAGATTCTGAGACTGACCTCATATGACTTGGATCCTTTCAATACAAGAGAGCCTCGTTTCCTCGTCCAAGCCTCAACAGACCTAATAGATGCCACCCCACTTGAACACTCCCCATAGCACATGTTTTTACCACGTCCAGCAGGATCCGCATGCCAATGTCTATAGTTGATGGTGCACGCATAGTTTGTTAATGAGCAAAGGCACCCTTTAGAGTTTGTGTTATGATCTTTAATCGGAATACTTTCTAATTAATTTAAGAGGACGACCGTACATGATGGAGATAAGAAACGCAAACTTCATAATTAAGGAGGATTTTGGGAAGGCAAGCTCGAGTTTGCGTTCAGCCAAGCCCAAGAACTGATGACTCAAATGTAGCACTTTGTGAATTAGGCTACTGTTACTCACATCCATACCAGTCATTTCGATTCCTATAAATTACTACTGCAGATGTAGCAAACACAGCGTACATTCCTCCCAGTACATCTGTCAAATCTGATATCTCACAGCTCTAAGCTCCAGATCACACCTTTTGCACAAACACATAAATTAGCCGTAACATATCCAAAGAACAAACTAGGCCTCCTGCAGAAGAGTCAGGGTAATCGAAGACATCTAGTGTCTTCAGTAACAGCGAAGGTGATACTGCGACGGACCGCTCCTTCCAAATTAAGTCGCCGCCAGCAAACAATCGTAGACTTCAGTAAGGACTAACAATCTTAAGTAGAGATTGATATCGAGCGGATCCGTTCACAATATTAACACTCTCGACGGTGACAATACCAGCCATCGAAGTAAACTAACCCTGAGCTCTTTCGCGCCGTTACTATCCTTCTTAAAGCTGTTTAACTACACACTCTTTCAGGGGCTAGTCCTATATCTACCTATAGGGAGTATCACTTGAAACAAGGGAATTTTAAACTAAAAAGTGAGGATCAAAAAGGTTGTTTCTATTATTCACGGGTTGACTTATCAAAGTAGCCTGTACGGCGGACCATACCACCAACATTGCTTCCCGAGCGCCCGCTACGTGCCTCGCTATCAACAGTAAGTAGCTCTACTACACATTTATTTCGTGTTATTCGTGTATAAGCTATTATTGCGCGTATGCGCTGAACGCAACACCATTTTCACCACATTTCTCAGCTACTCAAGAAGTTGATCATGGCCACAAGCTCTAAAATTACAAGCAGATGGAACAAAGTTCGGAGAAACGCGTAAAGTCAGATACACCACATTCATACGCCAGAACCCCTCCAACGACAATCCTTCGAGATCCACCATTTTTAAGCAGCACGTCGCGGAGGAACGCCAAAGGGAGGGAAAGGAAGGAAAAGAAGAGGAAGAGACAACTGTCGCCGTCTGGAGAGGAAGAGTACATTCTCAGGGACATTCTCAAAGAGGAAGTAAGGCGGGGGAAGCTCTACTACTTGATTGATTGGGAGGGCATTGATCCTAATACAGGAAAGGATTTTGAACACACTTGGGTAGGACAAAATACCATATCAATCAGTGAGAGCTATGGCTAAAGTTTCTGTAGGAACCGGCTGAATACGCGAATGAGGAAGCAGTGAGGGATTGGAAAGCCAAAAAGAAACTACTTGCCGAGGAGATTGCGGACAAGGACTTCTCGTCAATCTCTAATACTCAGAGCAGTGAACCTATACGGGGTCCGAAGCGTAGGAGGACAAAAAGGCGATCATCATCGAGTACTCCGAAGCGGCCTACGGGCACACCCGAAGCCTTAAATACAGGCGCTTCCAAGGCCTCTTTGTTGAATAGCCAGAAGAAACGCCCTCATCACGGATCTCCAGTAGAAATCAAGGATAGCTACGAGGAGGACACTAGTCTCAGTGTTGATGCACGTCTGGCTAGGAAGCCCGTCGTTGAAATATCGTCCGCTTCGAAGAAAATAGATCCTAGCGAATACCGTGTGGTTTCTATATATTCTCAGGATACTCAGCCAATCCCTTCCTACAGTGATTCCGAAGAAGATAGCCAAGGGCCACGAAAATCCCCTGTTCGATTGTTTCAACGCCCTTCGAGACCCAGAAATCCTTTCGAGGAAATACCTATCGAGGAACAGTCCCCAATCGATTCTCCTTCGGTCTCTGCTGCCAAGCTCCTTCCCGTCTCTTCTAGCGAATCTAGTAAAGGTGCGGTTCTCATCATCCCCGATTCTCAGGACTTAGGTGCATCCGCGTCTTACGAAGTCAGTACCTTGCAGTCTACTGGGGTAACGTCCGAAGGTTGGGTGCACAGCCAGCCGAATACCCAAGGACAGCTAAGTGATAGGCCTCTAACCGCTCATTCGGACAACTCGTCTCCTCATACAAGAGGCTCTTTAGTCACAGAAATCTCGCCGACAGGATCTTCCAGTTACAGAGCTAGTATCAGTCATTTTCCGGATTCAGGATCTCAGAGTGATAGCGGACCAAGTCATCAGAGTGACTCGCTTAACCCTATTACAGCATCTGAGAAATCAAGCTTGAAAATTAATGAGAGCCAGCGCTACAGCATTGATCATTCCAATTCCGAAAAAACATCTTCTGACAACAGTGCATTATCTGGGGAACGAGAAGTTGATGTTGCAGCCCAGGGGCATACTTCTTCTGCCCCAAATATTTTCGTCAACCAAACTACAACATCCCAGCCACTACTGCCGATCCCCCATACTGAGGACGAAGGTTACAGTGAACCACCCGCTAGCGACTTGAATGATAGGTGAGTTATTGATTTTGCTAATACCTTATCACCCCTTTGCCTTCCTTGCTCTCACTTTTTACGTTATATATCCACCATTTCTAACTTTTCCAGTCAATCCTTCCCAGCTAGCTATCACAGTTCACATTCCGGAGAGAAAGTATTGTCTCAGCCTCTCCCACTGTCAAGTTCTTCCACTAAGACTCTACGCCAGCTATCAAACAATTCTTCACAATTTCACGGCTCTGAGCCTGGTCCGTTTCCGGCTTCGCATAGAATCGCTCCTCCTCTATCTCAAACTGACATTGCCTCCCCGCTTACCGTAGTGCGCCCTGAGGTCACTGTACCAAGTATAGAGACAGCCCCTAAGGAAGGTGTAATACTCTTCGAGTCCGCAGCATCCAAGCAAGCTTTCCAACCAACTTTCGTTTCCCACTTGGACTATACGAGAGAGGCCCCATCTTCGGCGTTTCACGCTCAGGGTATTATACAAAGCATTGAGACACAACAAGACATCCATTTTCCATCTTGCACTCCCAGGTCTAAAGTTAGGATGGAGAGTAACAGTGCTTCGCTGGGAACTCTCAGCGGTTCAAAAGATACTGTCGCCTTGTTGCGCGAGGCTAGACAACAGGCCAGCGCGAAAAGAGCTGCGGAACGTGCAGCAGCAAGGAGTGCATCAACAATGCCTGCAACCCCTCCGCCTCCCCCAGTTCTCGAACATCCTCTGCCGCTACGCGAAGTTATTGCGGAAAAGCTTGTCTCCAAATCTGAGGTGCCGGCCGCTCTCGAGCCCGCTCCTTCAGCAAACATTTCGCGCCAGCCGTCGCCGTTACCAGAAACAGACGTCAAAGAGGGCATGACAAGAGATTTGAGCATCGCGATACTAGGTGATGATGAGTACATCGTTCCCCTGCCTTTAGTTGCCCATACGCGCGACGTCTACGTTGCATCTTTACGCAAGCGCAAAGAGCAAAGACTAGCCTTCTTCCACGGTTCTACTGACAAAGTCATTGTGGGCGATATTGAGGAGATGCTTGAGGAACTCGCAAGAATTTGTGATCACCTGGATCTCATTGCTTCTGATTACTCTACACAGAGAGAAACGTCAAATGAGACCCAGGCGAAATATGCAGAAACTATAAGTACTAAATGCATATTCATTGCCGAGCTGGTTGGCGCATTACGTCCTCATGACAAACATCTTGTCATTCTCTCGCGAAGTGGAAGGATGCAAGAAATCCTACAAACAGTGCTCATTCGTCACGGTTTCGGGAAACCAGAAAACAGTCATACTTTCTTCGACAACTCGGACGGCTCCTTGCGGATCAGTATCTTGCCCACAGATGGTGCATACGTGGACGCTAGCCTCGAGCCTGCTTCTGTCGTTGTTGCATTTAGTCCAGTGTCTGACGTTCGGCCATACTCCAACCTTCGAACCAACCCGGCGACTCCGAGTCGCAGAGCCCCCCTCTTATCCTTGATAATTACTCACTCTATCGAACATCTCAACCTTTGCTTTGATCAAAGTATTCGGGGCATTGACCGGAATTTAAAGTTAGCCACGTGCATAAGTCAGATACAACGTAATGTCGGTAAATCTAGTGCAGACGACTACCCACCGCCTCCAGAGGCCGCAGTCGCTGTAGCTCAGTTCTTGACAGGACCAGACAACGAATGGCTTATCCCTCAAATACCGATCATACATGGCATGGACCTCCGCCGACTTCCTTCTACCGATCACTCAGACTCAAGACTTGATCAACAGCTCTCTGGCTCCACTACTCAATCCTGGGATGTACCCTTTACCCAACAGGTGTCTGCTTCCAAGCGACAACTGGTAATTATGCCCCTTCACGATATGTGGTTGATATGCTTGCTGAACTATGTAGATTGACCACGAAACCGACTTTGAGTCCACAAAGCGCCAGAGATTAACACCTTTTCCAGACGGACAGATTGACGATTCCCAATTGACTCATGTTAGCGTGTCAACGGGAACAGCTTCCTCCGCCAAAATCTCTGCCCAGATTGACGTACAGCAGCCGAGTCAGCAGTCCGATACAAGCAGCCACGGCGTCAACGACCGTGTTATCACACTTGAAAGAAAGGTATTTCAATACTGTCCCCTCTCTATGTTATCTAACAATGAATTAGGTTGGTGATCTTGGAAACGAGCTGAGGCTGAAGGAAGCGTCGAACACCGAGTTGCGACTTGCAAACCAGGAGCTGGAGGAGCGGCTGCATAATATGGAGCTAAGCTTCCAAAAGATTCAACCTCGATTCCAGGAAGCTCTAAATGATCGTGCTCATTTCGAAAAAGAAATCACCAGCGCGCTACAAGTTCAGGCCAGATTACAACAAAAGGCTGACGCTAAAGATGAGCTAGAACGAGAACTGAGCGAAGCTCGCGCAGCTTTATCGTCATCTTCTATCCCTGAAATAGCTGCTTTCAACAAGCTGAAGGGAGAAATATTAGCATTGAAGACCGAGATTGACCGTCTTGAGAAACGGCGCATCACTGCATCGAATGAACAAGCATTTTTCTCGAACCAATATCAATTAGCGTCGGCAGAGGCGCAGCAAGCCAAGCAACAAAACGCGATATATGAAGAAGAGCTCAAAGCCCTTCGGCCGAAGTGCGCCTCAAATGCAGTCGAGATTCATCAAATTCATAATGATTCGGAAATATCGCAGCACTTGGACAAGATCAGGCAGCTGGCCGCGCTGAACGCCGAGTATGAAAGAGAATTAGAGAAGAAGAATGAAGAGTTGAGAGCACTCAAGAACGGTAGAAGAGGGGCAACTCGTGGAACGTCTGTACCAAGGAGCCCAAGACTAGGTGCAGGGACTATGAGCCCAGGAAATGGCGCCGTACGAAGAGTAGTTGCGCACGGGAGTCGAGGAAATAGTCCAGCACCCAGTGAGCTGGCTAGGGGTCAATTTGGGGAAGCGCTTTTTCAGGGTATGGGTACAGGACGTTGGGCGACTCATTTACAACAATGATTGCATACACAAATGATACGATTACGGGAGTGCGGCTACCGGAATGGAAAGGGGACAACATTACCACTCGTGTCATCATGGGGTCTAGAAAGGAGCGATTGCCATATTGCCATAATACATCGGAGTTTGGAGCATTTGCATGTATATTCAACGGAGTTTTAGCAGCCGTCGAGAGATGAGATTGCATATATCGATCGTAGAATCGTAATCGATGTCCTTTTCTAACTACTCTGCTCTGCGCAATCACGCTATTTGCATTGAGGTAGGCGTCGAGCAACACTCAGACTGAGTACTCAGTGCTTAGTTCATGCTGGTAGTAACCATATGGCTGACGCATATCTGCAGCGATTTTGAATTTCAAATTCCAACTCCTTGCCCTGTGCTACGAACAAGTACAAGAAGGCAAAACAAAAGCCCGAATAGTGGATTCTCACATACATGACAAGCCAATTCACAGTAAAATGATGCTCATAATCCATAGTCAGGTATTCCTGTCTATCTTCTTGCGCCAAAAGTTTCCGAATTTCTTTATTTCGCAAATTGCCTCTTGAAGAGGTCATCGTTGCCCATTGAGTGAGGTTGGGAAAAGCGGAGTAGCTATTATAGTCACGTGACAACGATTTTCGCTTAAGCCATGCCCCACACCACCGACTGGTAGCATTTGCGAAATACCCAAATCTTTTTGACGAGACCTTCAACGCCAAATTAATTCGACTCGACAACCACGACAACAAGTCATCAATCCTTCGCGATGGCTTCCCGACCAACTGTCACCATCTTGTCCGCTGACGGATCTGCCAGCGGATCGACCCACCCTCTCCCAAAGGTACGATCATTCCGATTACGAATTTGATGGCGCAAAACCGAATCTCGAATTTGAGAGGCAGGATAAATTGGGAATTGAGCTGATGGAAACTGAATAGGTCTTTACCGCGCCAATCCGACCCGATATCGTCCAAACTGTCCACACCGGCGTCGCAAAGAACAAGCGTCAACCGTATGCCGTGAGCGAGAAGGCTGGTCACCAAACCTCTGCCGAATCATGGGGAACTGGTTAGTAGGATTTTTTTGTAAAGAACAACCAGGGGAAATACAATACACAGGAACGATGGTCTCACGAAGGCATAGCTTTTGGCTGGACAACAGGATTGGCAATAGGATTTTGCGGGGTTGATTGAAGCTAATTCGCATTCTACAGGTCGTGCTGTTGCACGTATTCCTCGTGTTTCTGGAGGAGGAACTCACCGTGCCGGTCAAGCAGCTTTCGGTAACATGTGCAGATCTGGTCGTATGTTCGCTCCTACAAAGGTCTGGAGGAAATGGCACCAGAAGATCAATCTTGGCCAAAAGTGAGTAGATGGCAGTTTGGTTGAATGGCAGTGTATTAATTGTTTACAGGCGATTCGCAACCGTTTCTGCCTTGGCTGCTTCTTCCGTTCCAGCTCTCCTCCTCGCCCGTGGTCACCAAGTCTCCCAGGTTCCAGAAGTTCCGTTGGTTATCAATTCTGAGGTCTTCAAGGGTATCGTTAAGACTTCCGCCGCGACTGGTCTCTTGAAGTCTGTTGGTGCTTCCCCAGATGTTGAGAAGGTCAAGAACTCCCGCAAGCTCCGTTCTGGCAAGGGTAAACTCCGTGGTCGTCGTCACAGACAGCGTCGCGGTCCTCTAGTCGTCTACGACCCGGAGGTTGACGGAAAAGATCTCTCTCTTGCTTTCCGCAACATCTCCGGTGTCGAGACTTCTTCCGTTTTCGCTCTTAACCTCCTTCAACTCGCACCAGGTGGACATCTCGGACGTTTCATCATCTGGACGTCCGCTGCATTCAAGGCCCTCGACACAATCTACGGCTCCACCACCACCCCATCCGCCCTCAAGAAAGACTTCCTCCTCCCATCAAATGTCGTTCAACAAGCCGATATTGGTCGTCTTATTAACTCTTCCGAAATCCAGAGTGTTATTCGAGCTGCCAAGGGTGGATCTACCACCAAGCGTGCTGGTGTACAGAAGAAGAACCCACTTCACAACAAACAGGTTCTCCTCAGACTCAACCCATATGCCGCAGGATACAGCAAGGAGAAGATTGGAACCAAGGGGCTGGATGCTGGCAAGCCACAGCGCGCTTCAAAGACTCAGTTCGCTGAGGTTCTCAAGGAGGATTAGAGTGGTGTGACTCTTTCTTCGTTATGTCTTTTTTTCGGGGTTTGTTAGCAAAAGGAAATGCATGGAGGGATGTGCTTTGTTACGGCGCAGATCATGGAATCAGGGCTTAGCTAGCTGACGTCTGCATAAGATAATGAAGATAAGATGATTTCCAATGCAGGTAGTTCTACCCGGTTTTAATGACCTAACTTGTGGTTGGCGTATTGATGTACTGATTTTTCAACGATTACTTGTGCCTTAAATGACATTATCGAAGCTCGGTCGCCTGTACCGACGGGTCAGACTTCACATAAATTTCCGCTTCTTTTCGTTGTCCTCTCAAGCGAGCTTAGCTCTCGCTACTAAGACAATGCCAAATTTGTGTTCGATATCTGTCCGTCAATTTCCTCTTCGCCGCATCACCTACCTACACATTTCTCAGAGATAGCCTTTCTTCCGGGAAGTTAATAACAAGGCGTTTTCGATGGCGTTCTTGAAGTTTGGAATTACCTTCCAGAGGTCGGACGTTGGAAATCTAGGCTTAAAAGGTTCGATATCAAATTCATTTTGAAATCAGCGGGGGGTTGATTTCGAGACTTGAGAAGGGGATTAGGATATGAGATGGATTGGAAAAAGTTGATTCTTCGTCCAGTTCGCGGGTTTGGTCTGGTTTGGATGGTGTGGGGTTTAAGAATAGATTGGGTAATATGATGGGGAAGTACATGGCTAGGTGATTGAGGCTCGCGGTTGACAGCCTGGAAGATAAGTGGTATTCGAGGCACGGTATTTGCCTAAAATAGGTGACGCCATACGATATTTCGTCAATCATGTTGGGTAGATATGATCTTCTCAAGTCTATTGAAGGAACGTTGTGATTTAGCTACTTAAGCGCTAGGAAACTTACTTTGAGTTTATGATGGTCAGGAGGCTCTGCCGGTTTTTTTGTCCTCGGAGAGGTGGGGGGCTGTAATGCGCTTCTTCTACTTGATTTAGGAGAGGTTCCTGATAGGAACGAGTGAGTCGGGTGAGAAACTTGATGGAATTCTTGACTTGTCATTAGAGCAGAATCCTCATCACTTGGAAGTTTATTGCCTGTTTATTTCACGCTACAAGTCAAGGCGTGGATAGAGATATCAAATAGCTTCTGTCTAGAAGGGCAAAAGCATTTTGTGAAGTACTAGAAGTTTGAGGTGGGTGTTGATATCTATAAGAGTAGTCTATGGAAGTTGTAAATTACATTCATCAACTGTGAAATTATATAAGGCTTGGTCTACCCCGAGAGCTTGTTTGGCTACATGCTAATTTGTCACATCACTACTCCAAATATAGAGATTTCAAGGGAAATGAACTTCTGTTTGTGAGCTATACCTCGCCTATTTCAAGGAGTTAAATGCAATTTGATTTTTGACTTTAACATGAAATGTGCTTCAGATTGAATGAAAACATCCATTTCTCTAAATTTCATTTCTTAAAAAAATTTGGTGTTGGAAATGGGATAAGTGTGCTATACAAGTAAGGGATGATGGGGATGTGGAGAATTGTTGTCGAACGACTTGGATCGAAGTATTGTTCGTGTACAGAAGGTTTGTACTTTTCTTCTCTATAATACTGAGTTCTACCACGGATTAACTCTTCATGCAAATTTATTACATGGATAAAAGTCTTTGTGACGGGTATTTAAACACTTTCGTTGAATGGAAGTTTACATCTCGGTGCAAGTATGCCGCTCTTTTGAGTTTTTCTACGCCTGTTCCTCACAGCTCGCGGGGATTGATGCTGTTTTCTGAGGCTCTGAATTTGTCTTTCTCAAACTACCAACCAGAATGCTTAATTAGTGTTGAATAGTATCAAAATATTCATGTTAGGACATTATTGTGCAGGAAGAATATTTGATAGTTCATCTATATAGACGGAGGAGGGACACATAGGTTGTGGAAGGTAACGAGATATTATCTTAAGTCTAGGGCTGAGAGCGTAAGTTAATGAATGGTTCAATGGTGAGAGAGCTTTGGAAATTGAGGGTCGGCAAATGATGGGAGCGAGGAAATCACTTGTATAATTACAGACAGGAGAGCTGACGTTGTGAGATTTATCTTATACTGGGCAGGTACTACATGCATTGCTGCGAAGAAAACATAGTTAACGGGTAAGATGCAGAAACGAGAGGGTTTTGAGAACATCTGAATTTGCCTTCTAATCTTGTTGCGAGAATATGGCTTATTGCAGATTTTGTAATGGTTGTAGACTCGTTATCATCGCTTGTAGAGCAAGTGTCACAGTTCTGAAAGACTTAAAGGCATTGCGCAAGCCGTATAGAATGGAAGTAGAAAATGAGTTTAAATCTTACATGTCATACAAGAATCGAATCACCTTACCCAAGGTCGCTAGAATGGATCATCTCCTCTATCATCTTCACTTACACACTTACATCTATAATCTACTCAATTTAATCTCAATACCACCTATTACACATCCTTCCAACACCACCTTCTCCTCACATCACCACGCCACTTGCCACCAATACATTCATTTTGTATTTACTGTTCCAGTCATATGTTATGCATCATGCGATACGCTCTACCTTCTAAATGAAGCGACATCACGATAGTGGCGAGTATCCCATCGTGCACTCCGTATATGCCTGAGGAAAATCTCATAGGAGTCAGGTTACCAAACACCCGATTAAATAAGCTTAATATGAAAATTATTCTTCAAAATGGCAAGATAGGTAATATTCTGTAGGAAGACAACAAACTTCGAGGACTTGGCACACATGACGTAATTGTCACCATCCCCAAATCGTAACACCACCGCGTCGCAAACCCATCCCAACCCACCCACACCCGATCGATGTCGCACCCCTCACCCGCTTACCAGGAAACTCGAATGAGTTCCCCCCACGGTGACGAGGAAACCCACAATGATTCAAAATCCAATATTATGTTCGCGCGCGCACTGAAAGATTGCGCAGTACGACGGTCGCGTAGCGCGGGCGCTACGAGTACCGAAGTACAAGAATGTTTTTGGGGGGGAGATAAGGTAGGTGTAGTCATCGTGCATGCCAGATCAAGTTACACTTATTGAATGTGGTTTTGCGCGTCACTCGAGATGTGTTTGAGAATTCTGACAGTGAGATGGTAAGGGTATATGGGAGAGGAGATATTAAAACATTCGTCGGGATAAAGAGTTTTGATCACCAAAACGAAACTATTCGGTCTGTGGGTATTTTTTCTGACAGCGGGAGGTCTGAAGCGTGAGATGTTGGATGTGCACGAGGTGGGTGTTTGGGAGGGCTGGTTTGGGACCTGTTTCCGGTGCGTGAGCGAGGGGGGGTTTGGTGGTTTGGGGATGGTTGTGATTTGGTGGAAGAGGGATGTGAGTTGATTTGGTATCGTCTGCATGTGTGCAAGAGATGTGTGATGGTGTTGAGATGGCGCATAGCATAGATAGAGCAGCAGCAGCATAGTCAGATAGATGGCGAGCTGGTACACCTGAGTAAGGATATTATATTTCAGCTCGATGGGCTGATGGAGGTTGTGATGCGCATGATTTTGATGGCGTGCGGATTAGTATGGCGGTGGTCAGTGGTGGTGTATTTATTCAGCTTGGCGTCGAGAGAGGTTGGAGCGGTGGCTAGAGGAGGGGTAGATTTTGGTTCCTGGTGTGGTGGGTTGGTGGTGCGTCTGGTGATGCCATCGTGGGAGGAATTCATGATTTTTCTTGATCTTGACATGCAGTACAGGTAGCAAGTCACTTACTGTGTTGGCTCCCTTTGGTGTCATATTCTCCGACTGCACAGAAACAAGACTGGAAGAGAAACAATTTCATCTCATCTTTTACCTTGCCTGATTCAAGTCAGGGCAATCAGGGGCAACTATTGCGAAATAATGGAAAGTCGATGGACGATCAGCAGATCCTCTCGGCTTTAATCATCGTGGGTTGATCTTAGATTGTTCACATGTCCGTCGACCAGCTTGATGGAAGGATTACGCCGACCAATGCGACTGCTTGATGCTGTGTTCGTCCCATCTATCCCAAACGGTGGTGGCCGCCAGAGGGTATAGGGGAGGGGTGTGTAGAAATATTCTCAATCGTAGAGCGTGTGGTCTTCAGCCGGAACAGCTCTGGATGAATGGTTGCAGCTGCATCTACAACATCGCCAATGAGATGACTCTACGAGTCTGTCAGAAACGCTCTCTCTTGGTCTGCTTTTCCTGCTTGCTGCTGTTGCTTGCTGCATCTCTAACGGCGCCAGCCAGGAGTCAAGGGTTCACCCGACCAACAGCGCAGCCAAGAATAGGAACGACTTTCCTCGCTGGTCATTAACCAACCATCATGCCAGCCAACCCATCCTCCAGCCTTCTCACCTACTTTTGGCTACTTTTAGGGCTTGAGCTGGCCTTTGCCAGGTCCGGTTTTTGGTCTGCGCGAATGATGGCGTCGGTGTGAACTTCACACTGCCTTGCCGGCCACGACTGAGGATTCCGCCGTGGAGGTGGGAGTCTAGCAATCCGAACCCATCAAGCCATCGTGGGTGGCAGTGGTTGGTTTGGCTGACTCAAGAGGGCCGTAGAGCGGAAGAGGGAGAGGGAGAGGGACCTGGATGAGAAAACACATCATGCGCGGATGCCCGTCCAATGCAAGTATGCTCGTTGCATAGATATACACGTATCCCTCCATACAGTTCGTGGAATCTTCAAAGAATCGGTCCAGCAGACGAGCAGGCGAGAAGGCGAACAGGATCACTTCCTCATTCCCGCTTCCCAATTCATCCAATTATCCCGTACCTGCCTCTCGACTTCTGCATATCTGCCCATACCACTTACTACCACCTACCTATCACATATCTCAAGAATTTCCCTCCTCCCTCTGCTGCTCCTCTCCTCCTCTCCTCCTCTCCTCCTCTCCTCCTCTCCTCCTCTCCTCCCTCCTGTCTTCGTCAAAACCCAACTCTAAAGAATCCAAAGATCCAATCCAAAGAATCCGCCCTCACATAACTTCAATCCATCCTGAGACCGCCCTCCGCCTCTGCCTACCAACATCTCCCTTACGAAATACCATCCGTCAGGAGACCCAAAAAACTCATCACATCCACCATCTACTTCAAGACTCAATTGTCCGCTTTGAAGTTCCATACGTTTGACCGCCCGTTCAATCGTTGCAAGAAACGCTCTCGCTCGTTTCGACCCCCCACCTCCCGAAGAATTTCGAGTGTCAACTTGAAACAGGGAACCTCCTTTCGAACCCCGTCCCATCGACCCCTCTCAACCGCCAGAACATCCACATTATATGACCCCTAGACCCCCAACGAGAGAAGTCCAACCTCTTCATATCGACTGAATAAAATTTATACCATTTCGAAATTACCTTGGACCCCGAATTCACCCACCACACGTCGATTAGGAAAAGTGCAAAAGGATTAAGCGGGCCATCTACACTTGATCTCGCCAGAAGCCCCATTTATCGTGTCTCACAGGGTCCTCTTTCCGCGCCATACGCCGCGCCCCAAGAGAACGCGGGCCACCAATAAACGATTTTGTTTCATACAGATTCGTACAGATATTGAGCGATCGGAAAAATGCCACTGGTTACGAAATTACATCTACGGCGGAATAGAGATATGGCCATGAATTCTCGCGTTCACGATGCTTCGTTGCAGGTTCAACTATCTCAAGGACATAGAC